ATACAGTGGTAGGATTGACTAAATCTGACAACTGTATACAGTGGTAGGATTGACTAAATCTGACAACTGTATATCGTGGTAGGATTGACTAAATCTGACAACTGTATACAGTGGTAGGATTGACTAAATCTGACAACTGTATACAGTGGTAGGATTGACTAAATCTGACAACTGTATATCGTGGTAGGATTGACTAAATCTGACAGCTCTATACAGTTTTAGGACTGACTAAATCTGACAACTCTATACAGTGGTAGGACTGACTAAATCTGACAACTGTATATCGTGGTAGGATTGACTAAATCATTTCACACAAAAAGTGGTTGTAGAATTACTGATTTACTACCTGGTAAACCTTAGTAAGTACATGTGACAACACTATTTTTGGTTGTAGTATTAAGTACTTTAGATACATCTATGGTTACTTTCTATGGTCAGCATTCAACACACTGCAGGCAGCTGATAGTTGTTTATTTTTTTGTGTTGTATTTTTGCTTAACTTTATATTAAGCATTGACAACAAACTCTTCCAGTGTTGTTAAAATTGTTTCCATGAAAAGTAATCACACCATTTAAACCATTTAAGGTTCACTAACAGGTGTACAAATTAATGCAATCAATTAAGATTTGTGTGACAACCACTGTAATTACTATAGGGCATCAACATCACTGATCCTGGCCCTACTAATTATTTAGCAGGTAATCGTTATCTAGCAACTATTCAGAGAATAAAAATCAATGCTTTCTTGATTAAATAATACTTATAACTATAACAGAGAGATCTTTAAATCCATTTTTGTAGATATATGATGTTAACACCATTATACACACATATATACAACTAACACTTACTTCTAATAACATACATCATCTTTTACTCCATTCAATTTACAAATGAACACATTAGATTATTTAACATCTTTCAATAAATATGTATGATATTACTGTTTATCAAAACGTTGACAGTTACGACATGTAACACAGGTAACCAACGGTACCCTATTAAGCTGTAGATTGGTATCTGTCATTTACTGTCGTAAAAAGATGTTTATTCATGTTAAATAAATAACTTAATAGTATTCAATAATAGGTATACAGTAAATATCAATATTTTCAATCTATGAACATGAAGATGACTCCATTTCGTGAATGTCAAGATAAACATTTTGACAAGTCAATAATTTGTGATCATGAAGTTGACTGTGAAAGGACACTAAATCAAAATGGCAAGACTATAAAAAAAACATAAAAACATGAGAGTATATAAATATGTGTTGTGACCACATGATAAACCTTAATACAAGGTCTCAAAGCTTTGATTTTATGTGGTAAACCTTTCCATTCTGAGTGCTGATTTTATATTGAAATAAACAACAAATACAAAACTATGGATACATGTGGATGTTAAACAGTGTATCTCTATGGTAACAGGACTTTTTATAGACAGGTTGTCCTCTCACTAAACAGTGACCAAATAAAATAATAAGTGTATTATGCATTAAGGTTGTTCTTTAAGAAAGCTGCAAGTTAATGTGATTGGTGGGCATCACAATGATATTGTACATATATGACAACTTCACGTAGAAATACAATTATTCATTGATTGTATGATTTGAAGTTGTGTAAATTTTCTTCTTTGTGCCCTTTCCCCCCTCCCCCCCTGTCCCCCACCTTCCCCCCAAGAAAAAATATATATAAAAAAAAGAGAAAGTAATAAAAGGTGCATAGATATATGACATTTATATCAACAACATTCAATATTTTATGAAAGTTAACTAGAAATAAATCAGTAAACCCCCATATTCCTCATACAGAACTTACAAATCACAAAATACATCTGATGTCTCTGTAATCTGTCTTATCTGAAGCCAGTGTAGACCTTCTGGTAGAACAAGACGGAAACTATTTACAACAATGACATAACTATTCTATTCTGCTATACCAGAAATTTAAGACTAGACATGGTACAGGTGTATTTCATGAATAAATGATGGAACAGTCATCTTGGAATGAAAAAAGAAAATCACCTTGTTCATGTCAAACATTTTATCAGGAAAAAGTTAACATTTATTTTTCAATGAATGCATTCTACTTTGGACTAACAGATATCCATTAGCAATTTATTTTCACAACATTCAAGTTTGAGAACAGTCACAAAACACATACATGTTAACTTTATAACAAACATCTCAAAGACTGTTTAGATATGGTTGCAAAAAGTACTGTAAGAGAGTGAAACTGGAACTAAGCAGGCCACAAGAGAAAATGAAACTGGAAATAAGCAGGCCACATGAGAAAATGACACTGTGGAAATAAGTGGCCACAAGAATGAACTGGTTTACAGCATTAGAAAAAGAGTATCATACAATCTGTAGTATTGACACCATCTTCTTCTAGCTTGTCACATCATTTGCTCTGTTGCTCTGACATGCACTCAAAGGCTTGTGTTGTATCAAATAACAGATCTATACTACAGATATTATATGGTATTCTGATAACCCCTGCCAGCAGTGAAGGCTGACAACCACCTGCTATAAACAATATTTTAAGATCAATTAAGTAAAGACAAAAGTCTCAGTCTCATAACTATTCCAACAAAAGTTAAATATACTAGTACTCTATTTATCCTGCAATAACATTATATCTGTCTCATCCAAAGTGAATAAGAAGATGACTTGGCTGGTGTCATGTTGATGTGATAATAGTATGATAGATTTTCCCCTGGCCGTGGTATTTGTATGTAGGTTCCTAATGTGAATTTTAAGGGCCCAGTATATGTTGGCTGGGTAGCTAAGTGTATAAAAAAAAAAGACTGGGATGAAATAGTGAAAAGGCTATCATTTTGAATAAGGTAGAGAGAGCGAAGTCTATATAGGCTACAGAGAGTGTTGTAGATCAGAGAAACAATGTACACGTCAACAATAAGCCAACAAATCAAAGCACAAAAAAAGTCATCTTTGGTCCATAAAATGTAGGAATTTTGGTTATTGTTCATCTGTTGTCATGCATGCGTGTTCATGAAACTGCTTTAAAACTGAGTATTATTAAAAGTAAAATTCTGACCAATCGTACATAATCAATCAAAAATACTTTATGGCAAAAATAAATATATAAATTAAAAAGCTTTCTTATGAAATAATTCTTACATCAATATATTGACGGCTTGCAACATAATCTTTGCTTTGGCACAAAAAGTATCTACAATGCATTAGACTTACACCCAATCACAATGATTTCAACTTGGGCTGCTTATCTTCATATAACTGGTAAACAGAAGGTGGGAGAGGAAGCATGTTTCATCATTAAATATTAAGATTTAGGTGACTGTGTGAAGACTCCAGACTAAACATTAAGATTTAGGCAAGAGTGTGAAGACTTCAGACTAAACATTAAGATTTAGGTGACAGTTTGAAGACTTCAGACTAAACATTAAAGATTTAGGTGACTGTGTGAAGACTCCAGACTAAACATTAAAGATTTAGGCAAGAGTGTGAAGACTCAAGACTAAACATTTAGATTTAGGTGACAGTGTGAAGACTTCAGACTAAACATTTAGATTTAGGCAAGAGTGTGAAGACTCCAGACTAAACATTTAGATTTAGGCAAGAGTGTGAAGACTTCAGACTAAACATTTAGATTTAGATGACAGTGTGAAGACTCCAGACTAAACATTAAGATTTAGGTGACAGTGTGAAGACTTCAGACTAAACATTAAGATTTAGGTGACAGTGTGAAGACTTCAGACTAAACATTTAGATTTAGGTGACAGTGTGAAGACTCCAGACTAAACATTTAGATTTAGGTTAGAGTGTGAAAACTTCAGACTAAACATTTAGCTTTAGGTTAGAGTGTGAAGACTTCAGACTAAACATTTAGATTAAGGGGACAGTGTGAGGACTTCAGACTAAACATTTAGCTTTAAGTTAGAGTGTGAAGACTTCAGACTAAACATTAAGATTTAGATGACAGTGTGAAGACTCCAGACTAAACATTTAGATTTAGGTGACAGTGTGAAGACTCCAGACTAAACATTAAGATTTAGATGACAGTGTGAAGACTCCAGACTAAACATTTAGATTTAGGTTAGTGTTTGAAGACTTCAGACTAAACATTAAGATTTAGGTGACAGTGTGAAGACTCCAGACTAAACATTAAGATTTAGGTGACTGTGTGAAGACTCCAGACTAAACATTAAGATTTAGGCAAGAGTGTGAAGACTTCAGACTAAACATTTAGATTTAGATGACAGTGTAAAGACTCCAGACTAAACATTAAGATTTAGGTGACAGTGTGAAGACTTCAGACTAAACATTAAGATTTAGGTGACAGTGTGAAGACTTCAGACTAAACATTTAGATTTAGGTGACAGTGTGAAGACTCCAGACTAAACATTTAGATTTAGGTTAGAGTGTGAAAACTTCAGACTAAACATTTAGATTAAGGGGACAGTGTGAGGACTTCAGACTAAACATTTAGCTTTAAGTTAGAGTGTGAAGACTTCAGACTAAACATTAAGATTTAGATGACAGTGTGAAGACTCCAGACTAAACATTTAGATTTAGGTTAGTGTTTGAAGACTTCAGACTAAACATTAAGATTTAGGTGACAGTGTGAAGACTTCAGACTAAACATTTAGCTTTAAGTTAGAGTGTGAAGACTTCAGACTAAACATTAAGATTTAGATGACAGTGTGAAGACTCCAGACTAAACATTTAGATTTAGGTTAGTGTTTGAAGACTTCAGACTAAACATTAAGATTTAGGTGACAGTGTGAAGACTCCAGACTAAATAATAAGTCCAAGGTTAACATCTGAAGATTCTAGACTACATAAAAAGTACACTGTCTTTAACATCATCCAAACTGTATTTAGTCCTCGTTTATCTTCTTTTTGTATAAGAGAACCAATGCAACAGACTCTGCCATGACCAGGCAGAAGTTCTTTTCCTGATCAATGAAGTAAATGCACAGAGTCATTGTTGGACACAGTATATGGTCCTTTTCAACACAGCAGGCGAACACTACCATTGTCAGCTCCTAGTAATAAAGTTCTGTTCATTGGTAGGATAGCCATACTAGTCAGCACACCTTTAAAAGTGTCAGCCTTCAGTTTGGTAACGGTGAAGGAAGCCTACAAAGTACAAACAAAGACTTAGTTTAAAGGTCAGTGAGAAAAGAAAATGAACAGTTCTTTTGAAACTACATCTAAATTAATTTTTCATTAGTAAGATCCATAAATATTACTACATTCAACAAAGAAGACAAACAAAGAAAAAACAAAAACAAAAGAAAACAAGAGGCCCATGGGCCTTAACGGTCATCTGACAAAAAGCAAGCCAAACTCTAACAACAGTGAGTCTTCCATTAAAAGAGTGGGCTTTATTCATTTGAATAAACTTGGTAGCCCTTCCTCCCAGCATCCTACAGGCCCAATATCAGCACTCTGAGCCTTTTGGTTACTAAGAAGAAGTCGTTTTAACATATTTGAACCCTGTGATCTTGAAAGTGGGTCAAGGTCATTAATTTGAATAAATATAGTAGCATGTCATCCCAGCATCCCACAGGTCCATTATCAGCACTCTTGGACTTTTGCTTATTGAAGAGAAGTTGTTTGTATATTTTAACATATTTGACCCCTGTGACCTTGAAAGTGGGTCAAGGTCATTCATTTGAACAAACTTGGTAGCCCTTCATCCCAGCATGCTACAGACCGAATATCAGCATTCTGAGGCTTTTGGTTGTTGGGAAGAAGTTGTTTAAAAATTTCAATATATTTGACCCCTGTGACCTTGAAAGTTGGTCAAGGTCATTCATTAGAACAAACTTGGTAGCCCTTCATCCCAGCATGCTATAGACCCAATATAAACACTCATGGATTTTTGCTTGTTGAGAAGAAGTCGTTTGTATATTTTAACATATTTAACCCCTGTGACCTTGAAAGTTCGTCAAGGTCATTAATATGAACAAATTTAGTATCATGTCATCCCAGCATACTACAGGTACATTATCAGCACTCTTGGACTTTTGCTTATTGAAGTGAAGTTGTTTGTATATTTTAACATATTTGACCCCTGTGACCTAGAAAGTGGGTCAAGGTCATTTATTTGTACCAACTTGGTAGCCCTTCCTCCAAGCATTCTACAGGCCCAATATCAGCACTCTTGGACTTTTGCTTATTGAGAAGAAGTTGTTTGTATATTTTTACATATTTGACCCCTGTGACCTTGAAAAAGGGTCAAGGTCATTCATTTGAACAAAATTGGTAGCCCTTCATCCCAGCATGCTACAGACCTAATATCAGCATTCTGAGCCTTTTGGTTGTTGAGAAGAAGTTGTTTAAAAATTTCAACATATTTGACCCCTGTGACCTTGAAAGTTGGTCAAGGTCATTCATTTGAACAACTTTGTACGGCTCCATGCCAGCATGCTATGGGCCAAGTATTAGCCCCCTAGGCCTTCTAGTATTTGAGAAGAAGTTTTTTGAATGAAAAGTTTACGGACGACGCACGGCGAACGGCGGACGAAACACAATGGCTATAGGTCATCTAGACCCTTCGGGTCAGATGACCTAAAAATATGAAGGCATGTGGTTCCATTGTGAATGTATTCATTATGGATTTAAAACCTGTTGCTTAATAACACGGTTGACATTTCACAGATTTAACTTTGAACTAAGCAGTCCATTCCATTTAGATTTACACAGTGACATTAATAATCAACCTTGGAAACATTTCTGGATAAATTTAAACCTTGATATTACCTGGTTCTCTATGGAAGAATGAACACCAATTCTGTTGCCAGTAGTTCCTGAGATTATTTGGTTTTTGTAGAGAGACATGCAATGAACTGGTTCACTTTGACCTGCAATACATGATACATAATTATTCTCAACACATATATCATGTGGTCCCAGTAGACAGGTAACACAACGTCCCTGTAGATAGGTAACAAATGGTCCATTAGACAGGAAAAACATGGCTCCATTAGACAGGTAACATGAACAAAGGTAACAAGTAGTCCCAATTAAATAGTTAACAGGTGGCACAATTAAACATGTAAAGTACACACATTACACTGGTAACAGGTGGTCCCATTCAACAAGTAAAATCTTACTCCATTAGACAGGTAACATGAACTAATTACATAGGTAATTTGTGGTCCAATTACACAGGTAAATGGTGGCCTCATTAGACAGGTAATATATCTTACCATTAGATGGGTTATAGATGAGCATTAGACAGGTAACAGATGGAAGTACAGGTATTTAAAGATATAAACATAATGTTCCTGGCATTGTTTACCCACTGATCATCTTTAAAACAGTTTCAGTTAAGTCTTGTTCAGGTGCCATGTTTTATTCAGATGTATCTTTAAGTTAAAAAGGTTTTGCCAACCTGTTTGCTGCAGTAAGGAAATGAAAAGTAAAAGTTAGAGCAATATTTTCAGGTTTTTCTAAAGACCTCATGGTCCTATCCCAGACTAGATGCTCACCTTTGAGACAGGGAAAGTCCTTGTTGTCCTCAGTGTTCCAGATCTTCATCGTTTGGTCAAACGACGAGGTGAGGAAGGTTGTCTTATTGTATGCTTTCATCTGGAAACATAATAACTATAGATATAATTTGTCTAGACAATGCGAAACACTTCACCAAATAAACCAATTTCAACATCTTATACATTAATTCTTAATGGTACAAAGTTAATGGAGTACTGGCAGATAAGATATGGTTTTGGCCTAAATAGTTCTTACATGTTTAAAGGTGATTGTAAAATTTTTTAAGAACCCAACCCCTGAGAATCCTTTAGCTTTAACATTCCAGCAAGGTTGTCCAGATACAAATTCATAAGTGATATTTTTTTAACCAAACAAAACATCAGGACCATCGTCCTTGCCTAGAATATACATATACCTACGTCCTGGAATAAAAAGACTTACCTGTAAGATGTCACCTTCGTGACCTTTCCAGGACTTCATCATTATGCCTGTGCGAAGGTCAAGGATGGACAAAATACCTGAGGAGAATCCTACCGACACCCAATGGCTGTCTGGACTGACTGTTACACAGCGAATCAAACCTGACCAACATAAATAGATACATTAAACATCAGTCCTGTCTAACTAACTAACCCACTAATTAGGCCTATAAGCTTATGACAAGACATGAATATGTAATCAGAACTGTCACTGATCTTTAAATAATGACTAACCCTTAGCACCGATATTTAAATAACGACTAACATTTAGCACCGATATCTAAATAACGACTAACATTTAGCACCGATATCTAAATAACGACTAACATTTAGCATCGATATCTAAATAACGACTAACATTTAGCACTGATATTTAAGTAACGACTAACCTTAAGCACTGATATCTAAATAATGACTAACCTTTAGCACCGATATCTAAATAACGACTAACCTTTAGCACCGATATCTAAATAATGACTAACCTTTAGCACCGATATCTAAATAACGACTAACCTTTAGCACTGATATCTAAATAACGACAAACCTTTAGCACCGATATCTAAATAACGACTAACCTTTAGCACCGATATCTAAATAATGACAAACCTTTAGCACCGATATCTAAATAACGACTAACCTTTAGCACCGATATCTAAATAACGACTTACCTTTAGCACCGATATCTAAATAACGACTAACCTTTAGCACCGATATCTAAATAACGACTAACCTTTAGCACCGATATCTAAATAATGACTAACCTTTAGCACAGATACTTAAATAACGACTAACCTTTAGCACAGATACTTAAATAACGACTAACCTTTAGCACCGATATTTAAATAATGACTAACCTTTAGCACTAACCTTTAGCACCGATATTTAAATAACGACTAACCTTTAGCACCGATATTTAAATAACGACTAACCTTTAGCACTAACCTTTAGCACCGATATTTAAATAACGACTAACCTTTAGCACCGATATTTAAATAATGACTAACCTTTAGCACAAATTCAATGACGTTTTTGCTTTTGTTTGCATCTATGTAATTTGCCAATCACAATTTTATTTTTTAAGCAATATGTCTTTCACACTCCTAATTGTTTTCTCATCCATGATTACGAACAACAGAATTTATCATAAATAATTAACTCTATACTAATCAGTGTTGTTTCATATCAAACTTTTCATAAACTTTTCAATTAATTTATTGTCTTCATATAATTTTCAGAAGTGAAAAATATTTCAAACATCTATTTGATAAATCATGTAAGAAACCTGATCACGGAGACTTAGTGATACCACGACTTTGATATTGATTGGAAGTCTGTGATAGTACTGAAAATGAAACTTAACTATAAACTTTCAGTTGAGAATCATGTCGGGATTCAGTTACCCTTTCAAATATGTATGATCATCTATGCAACACTTGTATCCTCCAAAGAATAATCTAAAACACTTCAACATCTTTTTAGTTGTTGCAAAATTAAGACATTATGGTAAAATATTAAGTGTACAAGAATCTTTAAATGTATGGATGAAGGGAGATAAATCGAACAATGTAGATGATATGATTTTTCATTCCAAATAGAAAAGGAGCAAAGTAATATCTGCATGAAATAGTTCAAGTTGTCATACAAAACACAATATCCCCCTTATAATGTTTTTGAGTTTTCTTTTTAATCTATTGATCTGATATAGATGTGTTAGAAAAATAACAGCATTAACTACTTCATGAACTAACTTCATAACATATTTTATATCCTCTCCATGGAGTTACATATGCATTGTCTTTTCATGGCGTAAAATATGGTCTTAGCTATACAAAGTCTTGCTAGCAGCTGATCCAGGCTATAGATGAAGAGCCCTATAGGTGTACATATAAAACAAAATGATCAAACGAAGATTTTCCTCTTGTCAAAAGGAAACACATGTCTGTCCAAATGAGAAAATACAGACACAAAAAAAAAACTTGGTCTATACAAAAAATCATGTAGATATCAGATGTGTTCTTCTGAATACCAAATGGCTAATTAACCCCATCTAACACTGCCTGCTGTAAGATATCTCTATGTACCTGCTGTGCTTGTCGTACACCTGTATTCATGGGCATAACTGGCTGCTCGAAGGTCCAGAAACCTGATGAAAAATGAAATATTGACATAAAATACACTGTATACAAATTTTCTTAACTGCTGAAAACCTTCTTGTGGGAGACATTTACAACCAAAATCTTATTGTTATGAACATCTACAGTCAACAACATTACTGTTTCAAAATTTACAAGTAAAACATGTATCTACCAATGTTTTCTGTACATAAAAAGAAATTGTTACGGGTATGGTTTATTGTGATTGGTCAATATTACCTGAGGGTGGAGTCGTTGGTGGCAGTGATGATCATGGTGCTGGGTGAAGGACTGGGGATTAGTGCTGTTACAGGGCTGTAATGGGACGATTCAAGGCGACGAACTACGTCTCCCGTAAATGGGTCCCAGATCTAAACCAATCAAAGTCAGTATTAGTTAATAAAACAAGGTCATAGTCATTCTGAACCCTGCCTAGGAAGCCTAGCCACCGGCGTGATACCTCAGTGAGATGTTTAGAGGTAATAATCAATATGATGGATGGAATGGAAGTGGTGAATAGAGTCCTATTTATCAAGCTATTTTGAACCATTTGGAGATATATTCCTGAAATACTGGAATCAGCCTAGTTAAAGGATTGTGGAGATACACTTCGGAAACTCAGTGATTTTTAGTATTGTTTCCATGGTAACCCTAAAAATATTGAAACTGTAAACTGCTATAGATCTACAGCAAAAGGCACCACAAGACGACACAATAAGCCTAGAGAGTCAACACATAACACATGGCTAAATATACTAAAATGTACTCACATGGACGGTGCTATCACAGGATGCTACAAGTCGCACAGACTCGAGGTAGGCAACGGAGAACACAGACTTCTTGTGATGTTGATAAGTCCACTGACACTTACTCCTGACACAAACACAAATCAATTTACTTTAATGTAGGGTAGAAAAGGTATTATATTTTTTTTCAGGACCATAAGATCATTACATACTTGTGAGCACCGTCTGTCATATTATATCACTATTCAGGACCATAAGATCAATACATACTTGTGAGCACTGTCTGTCATATTGTATTACTATTCAGGACCATAAGATCATTACATACTTGTGAGCACCGTCTGTCATATTGTATCACTATTCAGGACCATAAGATTATTACATACTTGTGAGCACTGTCTGTCACATTGTATTACTATTAAGGACATAAGATCATTACATACTTGTGAGTACCGTCTGTCATATTGTATCACTATTCAGGACCATAAGATCATTACATACTTGTGAGCACCGTCTGTCATATTGTATCACTATTTAGGACCATAAGATCATTACATACTTGTGAGCACCGTCTGTCATATTGTATCACTATTTAGGACCATAAGATCATTACATACTTGTGAGCACTGTCTGTCATATTGTATCACTATTTAGGACCATAAGATCATTACATACTTGTGAGCACCGTCTGTCATATTGTATCACTATTCAGGACCATGAGATCATTACATACTTGTGGGCACCGTCCCCGTAGCTTTTGATGGACCAAAGCTTCACGGTTTTGTCCTTGCTAGCAGTGATGAAGGAGTTTTCATTGTCCAGCACAGTCAGTGACCGGATACTACTACTATGGCCTTCAAATGTTTGCAGCTTGATCTGCTTAAAGTTGAACATGTTATCCCGCTCACTGAGACCTAAAAATACCAAAATTTCTTCAGACTACAACATCCTTCCTCTGACACTGACTTTGGATATGAGTATAAGAATATTTGAAACCTTTTGATTGTCAGTTTAAATACTTGAAGAATAATTGCTTGGACATTCTTTCCAACAATGCTTACGTACTCTGCTTATTTATTCGGTAAGGCAAATAATATCTGTCTTACAGAATTTATGTCCTAAATCTACATCCTTCATTCTCATACTTCAGACTGGGAAATCTCCCGTGTTAATGCTTTTTTATCATATAACCTCAAAGGAGGGAAACCTGATTGAATTAAAGAATTTGGGAACTAGAGCTGTCATCCTGAGGATGACTGATACCCTCTCCCACCTAGCAGATGCAAAGAATTTATACATTAATTGTTATAGTTTCAGTCTGTGACCTCAATGTATTATATATGACCTTGAATTTGTTGTTATAACTAAATGAAAAGGTTTTATTCAGTTTAAATAAATTCATGCATGAAAAACAGAATTTATTACCAACACTCATTGATCTCAGTCCCCAGCTGACATTGACCTCAGTCCCTAGCTGATATTGACCTCAGTCCCCAGCTGACATTCTGATACCTTTCATTCTAAGTCAGCCCCAATCTACATTTACACAACTCAGTCAAACACCATCAGTCTCATATCATTCCTTCTCAAAGACCATTGTCTCATATGTCTCTGTCTAATACCACTCAGCTCATACCCATTCATCACACACATCACTCTATCTTATACCATTCCATCTCTCTCATCACTCAATCTCACATACCACTCAGCTCATACCCATTCATCACACACATCACTCTATCTTATACCATTCCATCTCTCTCATCACTCAATCTCACATACCACTCAGCTCATACCCATTCATCACACACATCACTCTATCTTATACCATTCCATCTCTCTCATCACTCAATCTCACATACCACTCAGCTCATACCCATTCATCACACACATCACTCTATCTTATACCATTCCATCTCTCTCATCACTCAATCTCACATACCACTCAGCTCATACCCATTCATCACACACATCACTCTATCTTATACCATTCCATCTCTCTCATCACTCAATCTCACATACCACTCAGCCCATACCATTCATCACACACATCACTCTATCTTATACCATTCCATCTCTCTCATCACTCAATCTCACATACCACTCAGCTCATACCCATTCATCACACACATCACTCTATCTTATACCATTCCATCTCTCTCATCACTCAATCTCACATACCACTCTATCTTATACCATTCCATCTCTCTCATCACTCAATCTCACATACCACTCAGCTCATACCATTCCATCTCTCTCATCACTCAATCTCACATACCACTCAGCCCATACCCATTCATCACACACATCACTCTATCTTATACCATTCCATCTCTCTCATCACTCAATCTCACATACCACTCAGCTCATACCATTCCATCTCTCTCATCACTCAATCTCACATACCACTCAGCTCATACCATTCATCACACACATCACTCTATCTTATACCATTCCATCTCTCTCATCACTCAATCTCACATACCACTCAGCTCATACCATTCCATCTCTCTCATCACTCAATCTCACATACCACTCAGCTCATACCATTCCATCTCTCACATCACTCAATCTCATACACCAGTCAGTCCCACATACCACTCAATGTCACATACCACTCATTCTCATATAACTCAATCTAACACACCACTCATCCTCATATAACTCAATCTAACATTCTCATATAACTCATCTCACACATCACTGTCTTGCATCACTCAGTCTCACACATCACTGTCTTGCATCACTCAGTCTCACACCACTTAGTGTCACACCACTCAGACTCACAGTCTCACACCACTCTATCTCACACACCACTCAGACTCACAGTCTCACACCACTCCATTTCACATATAACTGTCTCCCAAACCAATCAGTCTTACATACCACTAAGTCTCGAATCACTCCGTCTCACACCACTCTATCTCACACACCACTCAGACTCACAGTCTCACACCACTCCATCTCACATATAACTGTCTTACAAACCAATCAGTCTTACATACCACTAAGTCTCGAATCACTCCGTCTCGTACCACTCCATCTCACACACCACTCAGACTCACAGTCTCACACCACTCCATCTCACATATAACTGTCTCACAAACCAATCAGTCTTACATACCACTAAGTCTCGAATCACCCTGTCTCACACCACTCTATCTCACACACCACTCAGACTCACAGTCTCACACCACTCTATCTCACACACCCCTCAGACTCACAGTCTCACACCACTCCATCTCACACACCACTCAGACTCACAGTCTCACACCACTCCATCTCACATATAACTGTCTTACAAACCAATCAGTCTTACATACTACTAAGTCTCGTACCACTCCATCTCACACACCACTCAGTCACACACCACTCCATCTCACACACCACTCAGTCACACACCACTCAGTCTCACACCACTCCATCTCACACACCACTCCATCACACACCACTCCATCTCTCACACCACTCCATCTCACACCACTCAGTCTCACACCACTCTATCTCACACAACACTCATTCTCTTACCACTCAATCTCACACCAATCTATCTCACACGCCACTCCATCTCACACCACTCTATCTCACACCACTCCATCTCACACCACTCCATCTCACACACCACCCATTCTCTTACCACTCCATCTCACACCACTCTATCTCACACGCCACTCCATCTCACACCAGTCTATCTCACACCACTCCATCTTACACCACTCTATCTCACACACCACTCATTCTCACACCACTCCATCTTACACCACTCCATCTCACACCATTCCATCTCACACACCACTCATTCTCACACCACTCCATCTCACACACCACTCATTCTCACACCACTCCATCTCACACACCACTCATTCTCACACCACTCAATCTCACATATTACTCATTTTCATACCACTCAATCTCACACATCACTGTCTCTTTTGCCACTAAGTCTCACACACAACTGTCTTCCATCACTATATCTAACACTACTATGTCTAACATGACTCTTTCTCATGCAATTTTCTCACACCACTCTGTCCTCACACACCACTCTGTCCTCACACAACCTAGTCTCCAAAACAAACTTACTGACTACAATTTCCCCCACCCCTACCAACACCATCCAATAGTCTGCGTTTGTTAGTCCTTTACATTAAATTCTCCCTAAAACTCTGTGTACACTGTATTGTTTATAACATTCAGGGGGATTTAACTTTATTTCCAAAGATATTAAAGATAACATGAAATCAAATATTCTCAAACTGAATCAAAACCGCAGGAAAAAATCTTATCATAGGATTCATGTAAACTTGGAAACTAACATAAAACATGCCTTTTTAATCACTACTAACGGCGGGTAATGGGATTTAATCCCCATGAACCAGCCACAATGGGAACAAGTTCAGATATTGGCCCAATGAAAACAAATACACAATATCTATTTACCCAATTCATGTTCCCAGTAAGCCAGCCAGTTCCCTCTCAGGTGCCTGCGTTTGTGATGTTCCATTTGTTCACTGTAACAACAGAAAGACCCCATCAAACAGTTCTTACTCACACACAATAGTAGAACACGTTTTAACTTTATTACCTAGTAAACTAATATGAGTTTATTTGTATAGCTGATAATATGCCCCATTCCAGCATATCATAACTTAAATATGATAACAATAGACTGTCAAATGATTCAGTATTTTATTCAAACATATAGCTGAATAACACAATTATACTACTTAGTACAGAGTGCCCTTTTCAATTTAATGAAAACCTGATTCAACAACTACGGTATTTCTGCAATGCACAATCTTTGAATAACTTTCATATAAAAACAAAATGAGGTACAAGTAAGTATAAAGAAATGTCAGAGGGTAGTTCATGAATAAATCTACCTTTTTGTTTCATCAGGATCCACTCTGAGTATGCGAGAGTTCCTGTGAATGGGTCCAACCTTGAAGGAGTCTGAGCCCTGTGCTGTGCTGGAGGTAAGTTGGATCCTGTTGCCTAGCAATGCCACATTACTTCCAATTCCCAAGGCAGGTGTGGCTAGACAGGGGAAACAGAGGCCCACATTTACTGAAAATGTTATTATCTACTGATAATAGAGAGGATTATGAGGCCCACATTTACAGAAAATGTTATTATCTACTGATAATAGAGAGGATATTGAAGTCCACATTTACAGAAAATGTTATTACCTACTGATAATAGAGAGGATATTGAAGTCCACATTTACAGAAAATGTTATTATCTACTGATAATAGAGAGGATTATGAGGCCCACATTTACAGAAAATGTTATTATCTACTGATAATAGAGAGGATAATGAAGTCCACATTTACAGAAAATGTTATTATCTACTGATAATAGAGAGGATTATGAGGCCCACATTTACAGAAAATGTTATTATCTACTGATAATAGAGAGGAAAATTGAAGTCCACATTTACAGAAAATGTTATTATCTACATTTGATAATAGAGAGGATAATGAAGTCCACATTTACAGAAAATGTTATTATCTACTGATAATAGAGAGGATTATGAGGCCCACATTTACAGAAAATGTTATTATCTACTGATAATAGAGAGGATAATCAGGCCCACATTTACAGAAAATGTTATTATCTACTGATAATAGAGAGGATATTGAAGTCCACATTTACAGAAAATGTTATTATCTACTGATAATAGAGAGGATATTGAAGTCCACATTTACAGAAAATGTTATTACCTACTGATAATAGAGAGGATATTGAAGTCCACATTTACAGAAAATGTTATTATCTACTGATAATAGAGAGGATATTGAAGTCCACATTTACAGAAAATGTTATTATCTACTGATAATAGAGAGGATAATCAGGCCCACATTTACAGAAAATGTTATTATCTACTGATAATAGAGAGGATAATCAGGCCCACATTTACAGAAAATGTTATTATCTACTGATAATAGAGAGGATAATCAGGCCCACATTTACAGAAAATGTTATTATCTACTGATAATAGAGAGGATATTGAAGTCCACATTTACAGAAAATGTTATTATCTACTGATAATAGAGAGGATTATGAGGCCCACATTTACAGAAAATGTTATTATCTACTGATAATAGAGAGGATTATGAGGCCCACATTTACAGAAAATGTTATTATCTACTGATAATAGAGAGGATATATTGAAGTCCACATTTACAGAAAATGTTATTATCTACTGATAATAGAGAGGTTAATCAGACCCATGCTGTAAATCACTTACATTTTGTGAATAATTTATTTTTCGCGAACTGGCCTGTCAGACACATTAGCGAATACATGATTTCATAAACGCTGATTTGGAAATTACTTTCAATTCGTAAATGATGAGCTATTATAGACCAGGTCTCTTCTGGTCTATGATATTGGCTAACATGAATGCCATCAAGAATTATTTTTTCATACAAATAATTGCAAAGGATTTGAATTAATGATTGACTCTCCTAGCTTATTAATGCGAGAATGTGAAATATAACTGATTTACAATATTTAGATATAGCAGATTTTCTCTATTTTCAAATTGGTCTACATGATGGATAAGTGGTTTCCACATTACTATTCATCAAAATGAAATTTTTTAAAAGGAATCTCATCTTAAATTTCATCTGATCAGCTAGAATCATGCAGAGTAAGAAACACAGTTTAGGTAACACTCACCTTCATGTACAGGGGACGGTGGTTCTGAGTCACTACTCTGGGTTGGACTGAGCTCACCATCATACTGCGAACATAGCTGCCTGATCATGTCGTCATTTGGTAGACTGTTCTCCATGTATATACTACAACAGACACAAAACTTTTACATGGATTCTAAATATCAACAAATTGTGTTATTGATATCTACTGCAAATACAATTTAAAACCATGTTTTCATATTTGTCTTTTCACAAACTTCCCATACATGATACAATGGGGCAGATCATTTATTTTTAACTATTGCGGATCAGGGGTATGGTATCTGCCTGACTTCCTGTCTTTTATACCTGTAAATCACATTTACCTACATTTACCACATACCTGCCAAATATACGACAGAAAGGTATATAGGAGGCCATAGCTAGCTCAGGGGAGAACACTGTGACCAGATCTTGTAGGGCTTTCTCTTTGTCCTTTGTTCCATACTCTGGGGAGTCTTCTAATACAACATAGAAATTAATTGGTAAATATGTAAACAGCAGCAAAGTGTAAAAAAACTTACGTCCATTTTAGAGAGCCTTTAAAACACATTTAATGTTTCATTACAACTTTCAACTTTTGTCAAAATGACAAAAAAAAAAAATGTTGATTGATACATGTGATAATTTTGTGTTGCTACATAATTCTGTCAGAGCTCCATTCATACTAAAAGTTAAAAAAAAGTTTTCTACCAACTTTTTTTCAGCTGTCATTTGTCTGTTCTCAGTTTATAGCCATCTTGTAGAAAAAGTGTTCTCTGAACACATGTTCACCAGCTTTGAAATTACAAACAAATTATCACTTTGACAAAATGGCTCCTTTTCTATAAGTGCTCCTCAATTATGAATATTTGCCTACAATGTACGATATTACAATAATGGATGAACTGAAACATTTTTAATAGACTATTATGAAAACATTATAATTTATGTAGTATGAGTGTAAACACTTATTTACCTCGCTCATCATATGGAGTGACAGTGAGGCTATATGGGGATTTTCTGGAGGATTGCCACCCTCCAGGGCTCAGTCCTGAGGAGGGGGAGGGGATGAAGTTGCCGAGGGAGACTGGTGTACCAATAGTGTACTCGTTAGTACTGCTGTCCATCCTGATGTTACAGTACGAGTCATCAGTAGAGGCTGTAATGATTATTAATAATGGTATCACTACATTGCTTATTATATATTCAGTTACCACTTACAACAAAAGACAATAAATCTTGATATGAAAGTTGACATATCATTACAAGAATACCCATATATTTTTCTTTAGTCAGAAATCTTTAACAGAACTTATTGTGTGGCAACGTTCTTGGAATGAGATTAAAATTGAAATTAAAGCTATTTGACCAGTACCTTTAAACAATGCAGATATGAAATATAACAAGAAAATGTAACATAATGTTCTCATCCATAAAATTGATGATTATATAGCGTGGTGATCAAGCACCTACCCTGAGATTTAATGGGTCGTGTTTGGTCGGCCAACTCTTGCTGCACTGCTGCCTGTGACACTTGCGGTTGGTTACCGTGAACTTGTGTGAAACAGGAAAAAAAATCAATAAGGAGTCCAGTCATGAGATTCCTTGTCATTTCAAAACCTACACGTAAACCAATGATGAAAACCACATCTATAAATTTGTGGCAGACCAAAGTGCGTACCATACTTCCTCCTGGAAAGTTATGGGATGCTGAAGATATGAGCTTAATGACAGGTAAAACGGTATCCCTGATGATTGTGTCCTGAAACAAAAATAACACATTACAACATTAACATCATCATATATTCACTTCTGAGCATTTTGATAAATTTATCATTCTTGAAACATGTCCATTAATCACCAATTATGAATTTTGACTCAGGTCAAGTTTGTGGTCTGTTATTTAGGTAAGTCTATTTGTTTGACATTATCCAGTGTGTGATGTATATAGCTGTGTATTAAATGATATCTGTACAACATGACTACATATACATGTATTATATCTGGGATGTGAAAACAAGCTTAACTTTTACATTAACTCCAATCCTTATGGCTTTAATATTTGTTCTCTGTGACAAGAGATTTCATATAATTTTTCTGTGATAAAATCTGTAAGTAATATAATTCAACATTTTGGACAAATTTTACCTGTATGTATACTGTAGTACATACCTTACTTACCTGTTATGTATCTACAAGAGACAAGACTTACTTTTATGCCATATTTTGCATTGCAGAGAAAAGAAAGTCTAACTTGTATTGTAATGTTATTTTCAATACAGAAATGCCTAATGAATACATGATATATCAGATATCTATCTTACCTGTAAAACATCCATCAGAGATATATCAGACATCTATCTTACCTGTAAACATCCATCAGAGATATATAAGATATCTATCTTACCTATAAAAGATCCATCAGATATATATCAGATATCTATCTTACCTGTAAAACATCTAACAGATATCTATCTTACCTGTAAAACATCCATCAGAGATATATCAGACAGGTAAGGCAGTATGTGTCTCAATAAGACCAGAGCACTTATCACACCAGACTCTGCCTTCTGTGTAAGACGTTTCTTGGCTGTGTTAACCTAATAATAAAACATCAGAGTAAAAATTATTCAAAAGCATGAAGTTTTAATGAGCAGTTTTTTTTTAGAATAATACAGATTTCACAGGTAAAGATTTCACAGGTAAAGATATCATCACTAGAGCAATACCACAAGATTGGTGTGACTGATTACTGCTATATTTATGAGGTCACAATAATTATGATATTATTATCACCGTAACATGTATCGTGAGATGGAATCTGCAGTGACAACAGAATATAATTCATTACAATGTCATTTTCTTATATATTTAGTAGAGTCCTACACTGTGATAAACCAGGCATTTGATAACTGGTTATTGGAGTATACTACAATGAATAATCACATTCACTTAGACAAACCACTCTGGTCTTGTTTCTTTCTACTGCAGTACATACCATGTCTACTATACAGGGGAGGTACTGCAGCAGGATCACCTGTTCTCCATACATCTGGGCAATACAGGATAGACATTCCAACACCTTGTGAGCATTCCGGTCACCACACACAAGCCTTGACGACTTTGGAAACTTCTTGTCTGATCATAGAATGAATTGTATATATATAAGGTTTTTGTGACTGCGTTCTGAATGTATCTGTATATACATACAATTCTGATCACAAGATTTCAAATCATAATATTTCTGATCACAGGATTACAGATGAAACGATATTTGATCACAAGATTTAAAATCACAGAATAACATATGACAGGATTTTAGAACAAAAGATTTCATGCCACTGCATTACAAAGCACTGGATCTTAAATCTCTGATGATAGGATTACAGAACACAGGATTTTAGAACAAAAGATTTCATGTCAATGCATTACAAAGCACTGGATCTTAAATCTCTGATGATAGGATTACAGAACACAGGATTTTAGATCAAAAGATTTCATGTCAATGCATTACAAAGCACTGGATTTCCAATCTAAAATCTATGATGATAGGATTACAGAACACAGGATTTTAGATCAAAAGATTTCATGTCAATGCATTACAAAGCACTGGATTTCTGATCTAAAATCTATGATGATAGGATTACAGATCACAGGATTTAAGATCAAAAGATTTCATGTCAATGCATTACAAAGCACTGGATTTTATCTAAAATCACTGGATCAAAAGATTTCATGTCAATGCATTACAAAGCACTGGATTTCTGATCTAAAATCTATGATGATAGGATTACAGATCACAGGATTTAAGATCAAAAGATTTCATGTCAATGCATTACAAAGCACTGGATTTCTGATCTAAAATCTATGATGATAGGATTACAGATCACAGGATTTTAGATCAAAAGATTTCATGTCAATGCATTACAAAGCACTGGATCTTAAATCTCTGATGATAGGATTACAGATCACAGGATTTTAGATCAAAAGATTTCATGTCAATGCATTACAAAGCACTGGATTTCCAATCTAAAATCTATGATGATAGGATTACAGATCACAGGATTTAAGATCAAAAGATTTCATGTCAATGCATTACAAAGCACTGGATTTCCAATCTAAAATCTATGATGATAGGATTACAGATCACAGGATTTTAGGTCAAAAGATTTAAGATCAGAAGATTACAGATAAAAAAATTAAGATAATAAGATCATTAGATAGCAGGATTATAGTTCTCCAGATTTTAGATGACAGATATGTAAGAATATTGAGATATTTAGTTTGATTTTATATTGCTTGACTCCTATTATTAGTAACACCTATGGCCATTAAAGGACAGCCTTCCTACATATGTAAGACCAGTGCATGTGTTTGGTGTGTTTGTTTTTAGAAGTCTGCAATATGTTTGTGTAAGTCTTCTTGTGATAGTGGGGAACTGATGCTGAACCTATAATGCTACTACTCAGTGAGAGTAAATGATAAATTAACAAGCTTCTGAAACACCATATTAGAAATTTGACCAAAAGTTATTTAAATATAATACTGTAATTTAGGATCAAATCTACAAAGTACAGTACTTTAAATACCAATCATCTTGAATGAGAAAACAAAGCTATTTTTAATGCCTGTCAGAACACCCTCACCTGCTTCAACTAGTACAATCAGCTGTTCCTCTCCATAGTAACACAGGGCCAGCATCCTGAGGAGATTACGAGACAAGAATTTGGCAGTGAGAACAGGCCCAAGTCTCTGGGACAACCACTTAATACTTTCTGCGGACACATCACTGATGTTAACCACCTCCTCTGCTGTTCTTTCTGACATACTGTGTGCAAACTCATCTGTCTCACTGCGTACCATACTAGATTTCACTTCAGTTGCACCATTTTTACTTTCTACATCATCGACCATATCATCACTTTCAGTGTGATTCTGGAAATTGAAAAGAGCAAGTTTAATGTTTTTAACATACATGAGAATCAGTACTTTCTTTCAGTACAGGAATCAGGAACGTAAGACAAGTATTATGCACTACAGACTGACTTTGAAAACTTACCTGTAATTGTGGAGTTTCCCAGTCTCTATTTTTATCTGTCAATGAACCTCCCTCACTCTCAGCTACCATTTGTAGGTCTTGTGATTTGTCAATTAGGTGAGAGATACTGTGAATAGATGCCCGCTCTGCACTGTCTGCTCCATAAGCCTCACAATCACTCCGACAGTCAGATTCATCATCAACACTTATATTTAGAGAATCCTCAGACCTTTCATCTTCATCATCAGCCTCATTCTGATTGTCCTCACTAAGGGATATAGTATCTGCTATTTCATCATCAATGTCATCTATATCATCTTGTGTTGATTCTGTTGGGAATTCAGAGAACTGACTCTCTATCTCCATGTCTTCATCTCGGTCTTCTTCCTCTAATGGAGGTAGTGTCAGACCTTCATCATTTGCACGTTTCACAAGGTCATCAAGTGCATCTTTTTCCTGTTGATCAATGAAGAGTTCCTCAAACACATAATTCTTATATCCTGCAACTGCTTCTACCAGAAGGGTGGCAAAGTTGGATAGAAATGTCTGAAGACCCAGTCTTAGCAGCATCTGTATCAGGAATGTTTTGTGATAGATTTTCATCAGTTTTGGAGAGGGATTCTCACCACTGAAAAGTTTCACAAGATGCTGAAGAAACCTGTTACTTGTTTCCTTAGGTCCTATCTCTTGACCGATCAAATTAAAGAGTGACCAAGCTGCAGGTATTGCTGTTACGTCATCTCTGAACAAATCTTCTACATATGGTAGTATTAATTCTAATCCTTCTTGACTAAGATGTCCTTGAAATGTCTCAAGAAAGTTTTGAAGAATTTTCACTTTCTCTCTTGCAATGATTTTAATGACCTTCTGTTTTTCATTTGGTGGGTAATTGGATGACCATCTGGCCTGCTCAATGTCACTGTCCTTGACTTTGAGCCGACAAAGACACATATAAAGATCAGAGAAATATTTTGGAAAGGGAAACATGTCAAGGACTGGGTGAAGGAGCTGAAGTGGTGTAGGGGGAGGTAACCCTAACCTATTCACTACTGGGTAGCTAAAATCAGTTACTTCACCATCATCATGTCCTGAGTTAAAGTCTTTTAATTGCATAAGTAGTTCCACTGCTTTAAGTAATGGCCTAAAACATGAAAATGAAACCATCATATAACATCATGCTGGAAAGACTTTTCAGTCAGAGCATAGAACAAATATCAGAGCAAGAAAACATTTCTATAAAATCATGTGTATATCAACAGCTTTAATGTAGAATTTACATATCTAAGAACAGACCTTGCTGATTTTTCTTTAAGATACAAGTATAATTGAAAAGCAATACAGGAAAAAACAATATCCATCAATGAGTAAAGGTATATCCTACCCCTGGTATCACTAATGACAACAATGTACCTGGGGAAGTCGTCATGTCCTTCCCTGAATTTTGACTTGAGGACATTGTAGCGATGGATGAGGGATGACTGTGTGGGCTGCATGTGGAGGGAGGAAGTCAGAAACATCTCACACACCAGACAGCCAAAGGCCTGCATGTCTTTTGTCAGTACACCTAAGGACCCACTCACAGGGGAATGTGGGGACTACAACAGTCATGAAATCTTTTTTACCACAGAGTAACTTTTACTTGACATTGACATTGTACATGCACAAACATGATGGATATTTACTAATTTTCTAAATATGCATTTCAATAAAATAAAAACATCAATGAATCCTGCTTTGTTTTGGCTGCTGTGAAATAGAGAAGTTTGTTGTCATTTGTTGACACTACAGCTTCAATCACATTTGTAACACTGTATAAATTTGTGATGAATTTCCTGCAGAAAGACTGTACTTTATGTACATCAAGTCTTCACATGCATTTTTTTTATTTCTTTCAGTGAAAGTTATGTATATTGTGACATTAATCATTCAAAGCAATGTACTTCTTTCATTGAAATATGAACCCCTTTTTGACTTTGCATCTCAGAAATAATACTTTAAAAAGAAGGAGCCAACGTCAGGTATGAGTAAGTGGGTATTAAGTGGGTACTTCGCTGTGAGTATGGAAACCAGAAGGTATGCAGGGCGATTAAACTGAAAAAGCCTCTGCAACAGAGGCGAAACTAGTCGACGAATAAAGTCAACACTCTCTTATTGGTAACGCGTGAGTATGTTGTGATTAATACCCTCTTCATACATACTCAGAAATAATACCATAATATTCTTTAATATTGAGATACATTTTGGTTTGCTTCTTGGTTATTCAGGTTTTGGCTGCACTGCAGGAAGGTTTGAATATGTTTGTCTATTATTAAATGTACCAATTCAGAATAAATCCTGACAAATCTTCAAATGTTGTTACCATCCTCAAAAGCTTTAGTCAAGGCTGGCCAGAGGCCAAAGTATCAGCCTTATTTCATACAGGAGCAAATGTTATCAGGTCAGTAAAACCATTTGGACCTCAATGATTACACAATATATTGCCCATAGAGGTAGAAGATACCCTATGTTTATCTAGGTGGACATATAATACTATATATATATCTTTTCACCATATCATGTTACAGACCAAATACTTTACGCATAGGCCTCTTGGTTAATCAGAAGAATATCTTGAACACCTTTATTTATCATAGCTTATATTACTCCTGTACAGTAGATGTTTGTACAATATTCACAAACCTTCACATATGAAATACTACAATAAAAACCTTAATCACAATCTCCAATTACTAGAAAGGCTGTCCACTGTACCTTTACACTAGTTGAATTTGGTAACTCCATCATTGTATGACTGGAGAAGCTATATAAAGACTCGAGTTGGTCCAGTTCAGAAATCGGGTCATAAGACTTAGGAAGAAGAATGGTGGCTAGCTCTGGGCGCTGGACATTCACTGTTTGACTTGTACCAGATGACCTGTAGTAAAAATTGAAAACAAATTCAACAGAATTAAACAATCTTCTGTAGCATGAAGTGAGATAGTTGTCATTCAACAACAGGTTCAATATGTTTGTGCCATAGCATTCACCTCTGGTCACCTACCAGGTATATAAATGAAAATCTATCTTGTATTTATCACTAGTCATTAAAAGTTGAATGTCAGTGAGAAGTAAGTACCATAGAGTTTTTATTTGTCATCATCAGGAGACAGATCACATGAACTGCCTTCAGTGAGTATAGGCTCAACACTATGCTTTTCTGTACGTGAATATACTTTATGATCCACTAACGATCATAATCACTTTGTGTTAAAGCCCTATATGTGGATTTCTTGTCAACAGTTATTTGTCAACAAAACAATATGTCCGCATGTTGCCTGTGTAATTGTTTTAGTAAGTTAGTTTACACGCTACCTCTTGTCACCTGAACTTGTCTCCTCCACAGAATCCCCCAGCATCTGTATAAAAAAGTATACGAAAACAGTTGTTATAAGGTCAAGTTTGTATAGTTAATACAAATTTATCATCAATATATTACTCATATGTATACACAACTAGGCCACAGCATCAGGGTCACAGTTGTGTAAACACACCATACTGAACACTGAAGAAAGAGAAATATTTTCATATTCATACAATTTTTCCCTATCTATATGGAAAATGTTAAAACCTTGGATTATATATTAAAGAATCTACAGATTAGGTTTTACCTACATCTGCATAGATAATACAAACAAAATCTCCCACACATACAAGTACTGATCTTTACACTATTGAATAATAAGTCAGGGAACTTTTAACATACTTTAACATATTTTATCCATCTACAAATAAGCTGTTGCCTGGTAATATGCCCATCCAAGCCTTCTTTCTGACAGAGTCAGAATTTGTATGTTGGCCACTGGGCTTATTGTCCTGTGATAAGCCAACTCCCTGACTTAAAATAAGAACTTGTATGTTGGACACATGGGCTTCTTTCAATACAGGGATACACTTCTACAACATTTACACAAACAACAACAAACTTTCATATACATCAGATTACACATTGAATTAACTGGAGGTTGGTGTTGGTATATACAAGGCTAGTCTGACAGGATGAAGAGAGATTGTTGACATGAATATGAAATATCATCTAATCATGGGTTATGATCATTAGACATCTGTGTGATAGTACATTTGTAGATATTATATACTTTTAGGCCAAAGTCACAATTAGATAAACTAACTGGGGATTCAATGTCCACAGAACTACATATCTCCCTTTTAAATTTAAGAATGTTAAAAGACAGATTGACAAGATTTTTATATCATGTGATTTCAGATTATACAACTAAAATAAGCTTAACTGGTGTATGGAGTAAATGTTTTTGTAAACTATAACAATGTGAACCCTTGTGTTACTCATATATTTTAACAGTGAAAAATCACTTCACTCTTCTCCAGCTCTTTATTTCAATTTTCATCTACTGATGACAATGATGACATCACCAGTAGTAATAGACACACCATTATGATGTCAATATTTGTAGGGAAAACATATGGTATTAAGTTATGACATTTAAGTATAAATCCAGATGTTTTTATACACTCACACAAGTCCTACAGATCCAGACCAAGGCTGGACTGTGGACAGTTTGAGTGGGCCAGCCATTCTCGTTCAAATCTAACTGGCTGACTGTAGTAAGTTTTGTAAATGAAAAAAAGACATGATAAATGATACAAATCTCTTCAAGGGCCCACCTTGATTCAAGTTTGATCAAAATCCCCCACAGAATGAAGCCACTACAGTGCTGACTAAGATTTTCTGAAATACTAACTGTTACCTTGACCCTACTATCATGCAAACTCATCAGATATTATGGGCCTTTACCGGGTATATGAATGTGAATTTTAATTAAAATTTCTCAAGGTATGAAGGCACTAGAATGTTAAATAGATATTATGTCCTTAATAAATGTAAGCAGTTTCATAAAAATCCCTTAGAAAAGGCCACTATTTTCCCTACAATGGTTCCTGCCCTTCCCATCCCAGGGGTCAAGACCCACTGTGGATATAAATTTGATTTACTTTCACTCAAGGATGCTTTAGGCCAAAAATTATAATTGTAAAGAGTTTTTGCTCTATTTCTCCTATTTGTCCCCACCCTTATGGCCAAATAATGTGGGGGAAGGCCGGGTTGTCAGACCTACTATTGTTACAAAAATTCGTCCCCTTTAACAGAAGATGCTTCAGGCAAAATTGGGACAGATTTCTTCAGAAGATTCAGGACTTTGAAGAATTTGCTATACATGTATATTTCTGTATTTAGCCCTGTCCCCCTCCTGACCCAGCAGGTCAAGACCCACTGTTTACAAAAAAAAATTACTTCCCTTCACCAAGAATGCTTCAGACCCAATTTGGGCAAAATCCAACCATTCCTACAGGAGGAATAGGATTTTAAAGAATAAATTATCAACTTTATTTAAATTTACAAAATTTGCTATAGTTGTTTGTTTTTTAAAATTATATTGATCACTCTTTGTGACCCAGATGGAAGCATGAGTGGGGTCTTACTGTGGGAACAAACTGAAGTACCCAGGGAAAACCCACATGTTCGGCCAGACAAGCCCTTCAGGTCAGGTGAGCTAAAAATAGTAATGGTGACCTTGATTTTCGAACCTTGAAACTTTCATCTCACCATAGACATATAAGTCCTTTCTTTACATGTGTGTGAAATTTGATCAATATCCCTGAAGAAATGAAGCAGCTAGAGTGCTAATGGAGATAGGCATGACGTAAAAACTTATGTACATATGTGTGTACAGGAACATCCCTATATCACCTCAAACATTCTTTGTGGGGGGGGGATGATAAGGTTGGTGCACACATCTATTTCTGGAAATAAATTATGATATTAGGTATGTGTGAAAAAGGAATTCATTTGTGTGTCTGGGAACCTCTCTGTTGACAAGGAATGTAATGCTGACTGTGACTCATTCTACACAGAAAAGCTATGAAGATAAGCAAGGATAAAACTAAGCTGCATGTAACCAATGAATATAGCTGTCAATTAAAAGTGTAGTTCAGACTCTGACTCACATACACAAGCAAGGGTAAAACCAAGCATTCTTATGACCCTGAACTCATTTTCAAGTTCAAAATACTTGTACCTGCTGGATTCCGTGTACCGTTTCAAACCCAGTTAAACTGGGTGGGTAGAAATACATTTTCTCAATCTGTTTAGAATATAGACCATGTAAATATTATTTAATAGAATACAGTCTCAAAAAGAGAGTTTACAGGCCTCATTACAATACTTGTTCTTTAGTGTGGTCAGTATATATCAGCATGGCATAAGAAACATTCCTACAGTTGGAAACTCTGCACCACCTTAGTACTTCTATTCCAACTATTCTATTGTAGTTATTATATACCTTTATCTGACTATACACTACATATGAAGATCTGACAATGTAAACATGACCTTTCAACTAACCAATTAAACTGCAACTTGCAAACATATGTCAGCTGTATGTTTCCTTTTATTTCAATCAAATTATTTAAAAACAAGATATTACAGAATTGTAACATGATTGAGAACATGACATTACAGAATTGTAATAATACCCATTAAACATTACAGAATTGTAATGAACCATAGTAAGAGTTGAGAACAAAGTATTACAGAATTGTAATGATACCATTAGTAAGAGTTGAGAACAAAGTATTACAGAATTGTAATGATACCATTAGTAAGAGTTGAGAACAAAGTATTACAGAATTGTAATGATACCATTAGTAAGAGTTGAGAACAAAACATTACAGAATTGTAATGATACCATTAGTAAGTATTACAGAATTGTAATGATACCATTAGTAAGAGTTGAGAACAAAACATTACAGAATTGTAATGATACCATTAGTAAGAGTTGAGAACATGACATTACAGAATTGTAATGATACCATTAGTAAGAGTTGAGAACAAAGTATTACAGAATTGTAATGATACCATTAGTAAGAGTTGAGAACAAAGTATTACAGAATTGTAATGATACCATTAGTAAGAGTTGAGAACAAAACATTACAGAATTGTAATGATACCATTAGTAAGAGAATTGAGAACAAAGTATTACAGAATTGTAATGATACCATTAGTAAGAGTTGAGAACAAAACATTACAGAATTGTAATGATACCATTAGTAAGAGTTGAGAACAAAGTATTACAGAATTGTAATGATACCATTAGTAAGAGTTGAGAACAAAACATTACAGAATTGTAATGATACCATTAGTAAGAGTTGAGAACAAAACATTACAGAATTGTAATGATACCATTAGTAAGAGTTGAGAACAAAGTATTACAGAATTGTAATGATACCATTAGTAAGAGTTGAGAACAAAACATTACAGAATTGTAATGATACCATTAGTAAGAGTTGAGAACAAAACATTACAGAATTGTAATGATACCATTAGTAAGAGTTGAGAACAAAACATTACAGAATTGTAATGATACCATTAGTAAGAGTTGAGAACAAAGTATTACAGAATTGTAATGATACCATTAGTAAGAGTTGAGAACAAAACATTACAGAATTGTAATGATACCATTAGTAAGAGTTGAGAACAAAACATTACAGAATTGTAATGATACCATTAGTAAGAGTTGAGAACAAAACTATTACAGAATTGTAATGATACCATTAGTAAGAGTTGAGAACAAAACATTACAGAATTGTAATGATACCATTAGTAAGAGTTGAGAACAAAACATTACAGAATTGTAATGATACCATTAGTAAGAGTTGAGAACAAAACATTACAGAATTGTAATGATACCATTAGTAAGAGTTGAGAACAAAACATTACAGAATTGTAATGATACCATTAGTAAGAGTTGAGAATAAAACATTACAAAACTGTAATGATAGTATTAATAAGAATTAAGAACAAGACATTTCAGAAATTTAATGATACTATTGGTAGGACTTGTGAACAAGACATTTCAGAAATTTAATGATACTATTGGTAGGACTTGTGAACAAGACATTACAGAAATTTAATGATACTATCAGTAGAACTTGTGAACAAGACATTACAGAAATTTAATGATACTATTGGTAAGACTTGTGAACAAGACATTTCAGAAATTTAATGATACTATCAGTAGGACTTGTGAACAAGACATTACAGAAATTTAATGATACTATCAGTAGAACTTGTGAACAAGACATTACAGAAATTTAATGATACTATTGGTAGGACTTGTGAACAAGACATTACAGAAATTTAATGATACTATTGGTAGGACTTGTGAACAAGACAATACAGAATTACAATGATACTGTTAGTAAGACTTGAGAACAAGAATAACAGAATTAGTTAAAGTAGAAATATTTGATTTATCTCACCTGAGATTGCATCATGTTTTTTGGTAGCCTGGGTGGCTGTTGCCCCGTTATTTGGGAAACAGGGATCCTATGGGGATGGGGCATTTTGAACAGCTGAACCACACCCCTGTTGGTCACATGTTTATGCTCATCCACCAACTGTAGGTTTACATTCTTTGATTTCACTGCTGCTGATCCTGTCAGCTAACAAAATAAACAAAAAGATCCAACATGTGATCATCAGTTCTGTTTAGATGTGATGAAATTAAACTACATGATTGTTTCCAGATTAACAGTGAAACAGTATACATATATCAAGGACAATATACCAGATTAATTGACACAGGGATTGTCATTAATCACATTTCTGATTTTAAGTATACCCAAAAGAAAATTGTCCATTGATCTCAATTTCTCTGACAAATTGATTGTTCACAGACAACATGGCCTGACCAATGACCTACCTTGTAACCGAAGGTGAGGTCTACCCAGTGATGTAGATTACTTGACACCTGTTCACTTTCTAGAACCTCCATGTGTTTACTGATAAACTCTTCTGCAGTTGCACTCCAGGGAGGTAACTCCAGATCAGGCAAGTCCTCATGCATAGAAGTGAAGATGGTTGGATCAGTGAAGAATTCTGGTATACATTCATCAGGAGTCCACTCCTGCATCCTTTGCATACTACTAGGATACTCATTTGGAACCCATCGGGATCTTACATGGGTGCACAGAATCGATTTTGATGTGCGTCGTGCTTTATATACATAGTATGTTATGTCTGATAAAACATCAGAAACATGATGAGGAATGTGAGAATCATCTGAGAGTCCTGAGAATGTTTCATATGTCAAATCAAGTTGATTATCCCCCTTGTTTAACCTATATTTAGATTTTTTCAAATCACGAAATCCAAAATCTGGGCCAGAAAAATCCATGACCCATGGCAAAACAGGATGGTGATTGGGATCACCTGTTCTTCTCCCTGCTAATGAGTTTAGCACCATTAAGTATCTGAAGTTACTTATCTTCCGATTCATCCACTGTTCTACAAAATCAGGAAGATGTTTGATTTCAAATTTAAAGTTCTGACTAGACTGTAAATATCTTCTTGCATCTTCTACCATAGTGTCACTCTCACTAAAAAGTCTCTGAAGTGTTGGAGCCGTGATCACCTCATCTCCAACATGTCCGACTTCAGTGGTCCCTTGACTTTCAAGGGCATTAATGGTGTCTGAGTCCTGAGAACCACTAGACCCAACACTCAGTTTTATAGGCCTCACTGGTACATTAGAAACATACACCCAGAGTTTGTGATCAATCAAAATATTCCTCATGTTTAGATCCCCAGCAGACAATCCATGTTTGTGGAATGTTCTCATGGACTGGAGGATCTGGTACAATACAAACAATGGTTTGCTTAAAGATGATTCAAATATTGAAGGACTAAAGGTGACTACGTCATGGAGAGATTGTGCAAAGTATGGCTGTATAAGATGAAAATACACATCTGTTTCAACTACAGTTAAAATTGAAACAATATTCTGAAGGAAGGTTGAGGAAGCACTTGGCTGATCAGTCATGGGTTCAAACTGGTAATTTTTGCTCTTGTTTAGACAATTAAAGGCCTGTGGATGTAATCGATGGAGGTATTGCCTCACTGCTCCTGTGAACTACAAAAAGACACAAAGAAAAAAATCCATGGTTAGCATTCATGATATCGTTATAGGACTTATGTCATACTTTTGTATATGTAATCATGCTATATGACCTGTTGTTACTTCACGGTGAGGACAATAGATACATGGAAAATCTTGTCACAAACTTTTCCTTTTAATTTTGTAGATGCTTGCTAAAATGAGAATTTCTTAGAATTGCTTTTAAAATGGAAACTCATGTAAAATCTTTCATAAATTTTAGCTTCAACATGTAGGTAAACAGATTGTATCCTTTTATCACATTTATAAATAATGTATGTACCGTGCAAATACAGAGCTTTAGCAGTTAGAAGTGTATTGAAATGGATTTGGGAGAATTCTGAAGATAACATGGTTGGAATTTTTCTTGACTGATTCTAATCTTACCTGCGTTTGTCTTTGTGTCACCCTGCTTTCCTCAGTTCCATGATAACGATAATATGCAGATCTCCACAAATTCTGAAAGTTTTCTTTGCTAGTCTCTGACAAATGTCCCAGCAGTGATGCATCAAGATCAGTGTTATACAAAGATTCATCCTGGGGCCTGAAGTTAAAGAAATGTATCATTGTTTTTTTTTTCCAACAAACACTTTTATACCTGGATATTAATCAAAACTATAAAACTGAGAAAAAAACAAATTAAAGAATTAATTAATCAGTTCTTATTATCACATTTGTTAAGCAGATGTATTGTTCTTATTGAGGTTGTATTACATAGATATTTCATACAGTTTGCAAACAATGACAACAACTGTGTTTTTACAATCATTTCACAAACTTACCAATCAATCAGTTGATCTGATTTAAGTATGCTTTTGACAGATATCCTTAGCCATGGATGTTGTAACATTGCCGTTGAAGGCGCAAGGAGACGCTCAGACTCTGCTACTGTCAACAGATTACCCCATTTATGTCCCTCTACATTTCCCTGAACAGCAAGCTGCAACCAGTTTTCAGACACCTGCCAATAAACAGAAAACAAAAGACTATTAGCCAATGAATATATTTATCATATAACATTTCTGAATTCAATGTTTTTTCAGTCATTTTTCAGTCAAAACTGAACACTATTTGAAGAATTTTAAGGAATGTTATATAATTACTAAACAGATATAGCTGATTCATTAAATGTATGCTGAGACTAATCATGTGGGGAAAAAAGATAAATCCTATCAAAGTTAGCGAATAAGCTCACATATTTGACATGTCAAATATAACAGTTGTATTTCTTCTGAGGTTGAGTATATAATTAACATTAATTTATGAGTGATGTGTGAGCATTTCATTTGGAGTAATGTGGTTTTCCACAAGTTTTATAGAAATTATATCATAATGATCATGCGCTGAAATCACATTAAACAATTCAGATCGAAGTTCCTCCGAGTATATGAAAAGATGTCAACACTTGATTTAATTTTTCAAACTCTTGATCTCTTCTCCAATGTGAGCCTAGGACTATAATATCACTTACTATCATATCTTTCCATTCCAGAAGTTGACCTTTGGCCTACAATATAGCTTACTATTCCGTGAGTTTAAGGATTGTGCTAGAGGTAAATTTCAAGTAACAAGAGGCAAGCCACACAGCATGATGCTGGACCATCTGATGTTGTTTAAGGACAATTAAGGCTATTTCTTTACACCAGTGTTTACAACCAAGGTTTCGGTTTTCTCTTGTTCAACATACATGAGCAGGAAAATATAATAGGAAGCATGGGCCACTGTCCCTAACTCTTTGTAATGCTATAGTAAAATAAATTTCACCAATTAACTCCCTTGGTTTATAGATTTCAGTAATTTACTTCCTTGATTTATGAGGACAATGACTTTGTAGTGATGACTTTTGCATAAAATCAACCATCCTCTGATCTACAGCTACCTTTTGTGTTTTATTATTGTTTTTAGGCCATTTATGTTAATCCATATTGTTAAGTAATGTGTCAATTGTGGGTTTATTTCATAACAACATATTTTCTGACAATTAAGCATAGGAAATCAGTGTATAATTAAAACCATTCCATACTGTATATCCTTTTCTTTGTTTTTCCCTTAGTAACAGTGATTTTTCTCTTCTTTTTACTTATAGAATGTGCAATCTGCTTTGAATTCTACTTTGAAAGACCATATCATTCTCACAGTACAAAGTTGAAACCAAAGTAAAATTACAAAATCATTTTTTTAAACACTTTGTAGAAAACAAAATAGTTTTGTGTCATCTGTTCATGTTATGTCCTGGTTATGATCACATTTCTTCTGACAAAGACACCTGATATTATGCGGTTTCCACTAGTACTGTAGGTTGTAGCGCTTCAGAAGAGGTAATTGCAACTACCAGACTTGAGCTCACATATTGATATTTATATATGAATAATGGATGAAAAACAAAAACAAAAAAAAAATACAAGTGTATATGTATGTATTACTTATTTTTCTCAAACAAAAACCTTAATTAATGTTCATTATAATTTACAATGCTTACAAATCATTCCATAAATATTTCCTGATAACATGTTAAGTTTTCACAGGAAAAAGTTTGTTCAGACGGCCGGTTTTCATACACACCATCAGAGGAAGCAGCATCAATATTGCACAGCATCGTCACTTACCAAACAGACGACTCTAGTTTTGGAAATACGTTGAGTATATTCCCTTGGGATGTTCAACGCTCTGGGAATTTCATCTCGGGGCTCCATCTTTTGACCTGTCCCCGAGCTGACAGAAGTCAGCGATCAAGGCATCGCATTATTTGCAACATCAGTTAATGAAATGATAGTTGACATGTAAAATCACAGGTGGGTGGAAGGGTCTAATGAAAACAATGCAGCTTCCGGGTACTGGAGATTTCATTAAAGAGCGATAACTCTAACGGCGTTTCATGCATAAATTGGATAGATCATCAAGAGAAATAAACGAATTGAAAAATGTTCACAAATAACCGCAAAGCTATATTACTTTCCCCATACTCCTACACTTTGAAATGCAAAAATTAATAAAATAAGGGAACCAGAGGCTATTTTTCTTAATCTTAAGCGATTTTATATCTTCTTTAATTCTTATTTCAAATTTGACGTCAATAATGTGAACAAATCAAAATAAGTAAAAAAAAAAAATAATAACAAAATACACACAACCATATATTTATCGCCAACAAGCCAAATGATAAATAGCTCTATGATGAAGTTGACTAAATAAAACCTTCGAAATACCCAAGATGTTGCAATTACTATCCTATCAATATGAGGATTTAGACAAATCGAAAGGACTTTATACCTACTTCTTTATTTTGAATGTATTGAAAAGTAATAGTCCTTACTTATTATAATTATATTTGTAGTTGAGGAAAGTAGATAAGGTGTACACAGCATTTCAGATAGATTAAAGTGTAAGTAATTACATTAAATGTATTTACATGCCTATCTTCCTTGAAGTATCATGGTTAGACTTTTCTTATGTCTATAAAGACATAGTTCTTTGAGATTAAACCAGACTTCCATATATATACAAAATTTACAATATTTTCACTGTAGCTACTACTATTTCTGATCTCCAATGCATTAGATAATGTCACCATGACACGCTAAATGAATAAATATGTTATGGAAATATTTCGTTCTAGTTAATTGATAATTATAAACATGAATTTTTTGGATTTTTTTTATACGCGCTTTGTTTGAAGGAATATTTTCATTTCAAGGAACTTTGATACACATTAACAAACCTTGAGAAATCACCACAACCAACCTTCATCAAACAAAACTGACTAAAAGACAAAAAATATAAGTTATAACAGAGTTAACATCATGATCAGTACAGTATTAAAAATATATTATACATAAATCATGAGCACCAAATGTACAACGCGCAAACTTTTTATCTTTAAAAACTTGAAAACATATCATGGCGGTGGGTGTGAAAAACCTGAAAAAGTGTCATATCGGCAGGTGTGCGCGTGGGACGAACAGTCCTATTCGGTGACGTCTACTGAGGTAAAGTGATGTTATATATTAAGACGACCTTGTCAAAACGACAAGGATTAAAACAAAATTGATGTTCTGTTTGTAAGTTTTGTTTGTTTATAAGTGCTGTTAGTTGATAATTCAAACCAAGCCCCCAGACTAGCTTCTTATCAACTCGCACTTACGGTGTTCTGTACGCTTACGTCATGTCGAGAATTCCGTACAATATATTGTTCAAAATTTATCAATAGTTCAACCACACTGTGCTTCTTTTTTTTAATGTGTAGTAATCGTATTGTTATTAAAAAAAATTAACTAATTTTGGATGCTTTAGAATAGCAATTTGAAAGATCGCGGCAATATTTACGCAGAAAATTGCCGCTAGAGGGCTCTAACTCTTTTCGATATTTCAGCCAATGAGAAGGCCAGGATCGGTAAATTTTGTCTGAAAGGCCGTCGCAATAGGCAATGCGTACTGAGTACGTTTAGCCTAAAAAGAGAGAGATACCAAAGGAAACCAAGTTGACGCCCACCATTTTTTGGTCTTCAACTGTTCTTTAAAAGTTGTATTTTTTCCCTTCTTACATTATCCTTGCTCTTAACTATGAGAAATTGGACAAGTTCTCTCAAGAAATCACGATGATATCTTCAAGTTTCAAATACAGTAAAAGATAGTCGCCTTTCAGTGCTTGGTTTTTCTGATTTCTCCCAAAATAAAAATGGCAGAATAAGGGACCAATGGCAATCATCATATGAGATTTGAGAAAGATTCATGTCGTAATTCTCTGGAAATACTGCAGGATATCAAACTACATGTATTACTGTGAAAATCCAAGACGGCCGCCTGTCGGCCATATTGTTTTCTGGGTCAGCCAAACTAAAATAGTACAATTCGCAAGGGGTCCCTGCATATGAAATTTGAAAAAAATCAATCCAGTACTCCAAATATGACGATAACAAACTCTTATTTTCAAAATTCCACGATGATCGCCTCAAGATCGGACATATTTTTTTATCAGTCCGAAAATTGTTTAATGCACAATTAGGGACCAACGTGAACATACATATAAAATTTGAAAAGAAAATATCCGTCTAGTACTTTTCAAGAAAAAGCAAATGCTGTTAAAGGATGGACGACGAACGCATGGCGATTTGAACAGCCAACCATCTGATGGTGAGCTATAAACAAAATAACAGTCATCTTCTTCGTCATTTTGGTTACAACAAAACGTACGATTTCTACTTCACATTATGGGATCTATTTCAAGCTTTAGTTTGTGTGAATGAACCCTCTACATCCATCAATAAGGGATTGTTTATAGACTTTTACAAATAACTGTCTACAATTCGATCTTTAGAATTAGTATAAGAGCCAGTGACCATTACACTCCGTAATTTCTTGATAATGTGCCATTGTTTGACATTTCAATTTTTCTATTAAATTTCAGGGGATATCTTCCTTGTTCAAAATTTACCATACTATTTGGGATATGTTTTCGTCTTTCAAAATTAAAATAATGTTTCTTACAAACTTACCTTTATAGATGAAAATATTGCTTTAAGGCCCTTCTCTGTAATTCTCTGATATATATTTTAATGCCAAGGTAATTAATATCATCTCATCAACTATATTGAAATAAATTCCATAATATATCCAGTGTTCATAAGCTTTCACGTTTCTACCATTTCGAATTTACAGCTAAGTCCCTCTTATATGTATAGTTTTAGGGCGAGTGTAATACGTTGTGAAGGTCTCCGGTGGTCTCTGACAAACTGACCACGTCATTTGCATACATAAGTGGGAACAGGTTGAGTAGCTGAATTTCAATAGATTGACAGTTTTTTTCCCAAAATGAATTGCACAATCGTATACATACAAAGAGAACAAAATCGACAACAGAATTTTCTCCTGGCGTAATCGTTCAGTGTTCTGTCGGCCTGAACACTTTACAACAAATCCCCAGATGCTCAAAACTTGGTTAGAGTTAAGAAGTGATTAATGAAACTTTTCACATTCTTTGTCATTTGTTGAAACAGGTTTGATCAATTTTTGGGGGTCCTTGTTTTTTATCTGTAGCAATAATTTACTTTTTCAAACAAGGATTAGCCAAAAGCAATTCTTTTATTTGAACTATATTTCACCTACCCTTAGTACACAAAATCAGAGCAAATATCTGCTACATTTCACCTACCCCTTGTACACATAATCAGAGCAAGTATCTGTGCTGCATTTCACCTACCCCTAGTACACATAATCAGAGTAAATCTCTGTGCTACATTTTACCAACCCCTTGTACACAAAATCAGAGCAAGTCTCTGTGCTACATTTCACCAACCCCTAGTACACATAATCAGAGTAAAAAGCCTTCTTGAGATGCACATGTTATCAGATATAGAAAGGGGCGTAAGGTAGGCTTCGTTTATGTACGTTTCATTCTGTAACAAATATCGAGACTAAAAGAAAACGTATCAAATCAGGTCAAAAGCTTTTTTTTAGTAAGATCATCCGTCAGAGAAATTAGTGCGGGCCTCTTTTTTGGTACGATTGAAGAAATTGACATCATTGTATGACAATATTTGGTAAGTATTTCTTTCTGTTAAGTGGGAAGAGATAATTAGTTCTTTACCTTTTGGTGTTCATTTCCTCTTGTAAACTCACCTAAACCACGCCTTACATACCTTAACAGTGTCTATTTTATAGCATTATGACACCACTTTTCGTCCGTCCCCTACATAGCCTGATGCAAATACATGATTTATCATCTCATACGATTTTTTTAAAAATTTTCTATAATATCACAATAACGAACACCGAAGGAGGAGTATCTAAACCTTGAACTTACAACCATTCAATCTTGTGGTCACATACCCTTATTTCTGATGTTGTCTAGTACCTTACTGGAATATCATTATTATCTGATGTAAAGACGTTATGCATTTCTATTTTATTTAACATTTCGCCGTGACTTCAAAAATTAAATAAATATCAGTTCGTTTTAAATGTCCCTAGATTTATAAATGTAGCGGTTCGATGTTGACGATAATTCCTCGATATTTCTCTTTCTTTGGTGACATCACACTGAATATGACGCTGTGTCAGTCAAGGATTTCTTTCAATTACATCGACTATAATCATACACAGAAAATACTTGATTATTTATATTTACATGAACCCAAACGGTTTTATTGAGAGAAAAACATAATTAAGATGGAATCCAGTAACGGGAACAGTGGAAACCTTGAACGGTCGGGAAGAGAGCTCCATGACATCATAATAGGCAGGAATAGTTATGCCCCCGTAATACCAATAGCCGTCTTGTTATAACGAGGGGAACAAATGGTAATATTCATGTGTGATGGGTGTTGATATACTACTAGTCACAAGGTAATTACAATAGTAATACAAAAATAAAGACACTAGTCAGGAATCGTCCATGGTTTTCTGAACGCATAACAAAAATAAAAATCTAGCCTCGGAAGAGATTCTCGACCGCGTAAGAGTAATGAATTAATCTAAAGCCAGGGAAAGACACCATATTGCTCCATACGTAAAATAAGTGAGGATTCTCTTGTCCATAGCCAGAAAAAAAGTTTAGAGATATTTTACGCCATTTTGTGGACATTTATTTCATTTCCGGCAACAATCAAGTGAGAAATAAGAATCTTCTTACTTTGTAAGTATAATTTCATTTCACTCTGGCTTAGATAAAGTAAACGTGTCTATTAAATCATTAGAATAAGCGGTTTTCTTGTAGTATCATGGTAGCTGTAAATGGCAGATATTTGTAGACAGACATCATATTGTCGCTAATTTACATACTCATGTTGCTGACATTCGTCATCGATATCAATAATCTAAAGCATCATTTGGATCTCGACGCCACATACTGACGTCACAGTGGTCACGCGCTGGATAGCATTTATTTTAACAGAAATTACACATTTATCTGACCAGTTTATGGTGTCAATGCCTCGCAAATATAAGTATATGCACAGAAAGACAGAACAAATATTTTGAAATATATGTATCAAAGAGAAATCTCAGCAATCGCTATCATATTTCAATTGTTACAATATTTACGTGACCAAGTGCATCGGTACGTTTGCCTGTTTTCATTATATAAAACAACTAGATATTACCTGGTGTTTTCATTGCAGGCAATGGATAATTACTTGGAAACCCAATTGGAAGAGCGCAGAATTGTCCTTGTTGGAAAAACAGGTGTCGGGAAAAGTGCGACCGCAAACACAATTCTAGGATGTAAACGATTTAAAGCCAGTCCGTTAACAGTGTCGGAAACTAAGCAGTGTCAACACGCGATTGAAGAAAGATTTGGCAGAAACATTATGGTAGTTGATACACCCGGCTTATTTGATACCAAGGACGAGGTCGATGTCACTTGCCGTGAGGTTGTGCGATGTCTAGGTATTGCCTCTCCCGGTCCACACGCAATTATTATCCTGGTGGTGTCAATAGGCAGATTTACACAAGAAGACCGCGAAACTGTCGAAATGCTTGCCGGTATATTTGGAGAACATCAGATGTGTGAACATTTGATAGTGGTTTTCACTAAGAAAGATCAACTCATGTCTCACAACTTGACGATTGCCCAATACGTATCTTCAAAACAACCGTATCTGGATAGCGTTATCGCCAGATGTGATCGTCGCTTCCTTGGATTCAACAATGAAGGCACGCTGATTAGCAGAGACCAAGATGTGCGCAAGCTCTTCAAGATGATCGACCAAATTGCTAATGAAAGGGGTAACATCTCCAATGATATATTCCGCGAGATTGAAGAACACTGCACACCTACACCTGGAGATAATATGGAAGAATTGATTACTTATATCGACAAGTTACAAGTTGATGGCCATCCAGCGAATACCCAAATACTTTCTTCCGATGAAGAAGACACAAATGACCTAACGCTGGACAAGACAACGCAAAGCATGCACACAAACCAGACCGAAAACAAGAGAAAAGAGTTTTAGACTTCTACAAAGATGGCAACAGATAGAAAAAGTAACATACGAGGAAGCTAACGAAGAAAGAACATTGCCGAAAAGGAGTTCAGGAAAATTTGATGCGTGTATCATTCACGATAAGGAACACGAACACACAGGCAGTAGAGTTATACCTGTTGAAACGCCACCGGAGAACAAACACAAGTATGCAGTACAAACAACTCAAGATAACGGCATTCGAAGCGAAAGATACCAGCAGACGGATAACCAGGACGAACCAAATGAAGAAGAGCCCAGACGTACAATCCAACAACTAGTGGAAATAAATACATCAAAGAAATAGCTGAACGCGAACAGCTCCGTCAAGAATTTGAAGCTCTAAATGGGGCAGAGAAAGTGTGGAAGATGATACGAAATATTGCTGGCAAAGTATGGAAAAAGTCGTTATTTGAACGTATCGATCAGAATATGTGATACATCCATAACCATCCGTTAATGCTGACTACAGTGTACATACCAATACCAATGGGACAGTTAAAGAATATTCACATTTATCAAGATGGATAGTTTGGGTTCATTTTCTGCCATAAAAAATGTTTGTTGATCGCCATACGTGACAAGGTCTGTTACAGAATAATAACATTTATCAAAACGGACCTCATTTTGACACGGTACACCACAACCAGCATTGGTTTTAACGGAGAGTTCCATTTCTTTTATTCATATACACTGAACAAACATTATTTAATATGGTCGGTTTGATTTCATTCACACAACAAACAAATCAACTTGGACGCCTTTGTTCTATTCGGCCACAGAGTGTGTTAATCACTGACGTTTATAACAAATGTTCTGCTTCTTTTTCCCGATTTATCAAAATGAATGGTTTCATCCTCATTCCTCCATAGTATACACCTGGTGACATTAACAAGACAAATGTATAGAATGAGAATCAGGGTAGCTATCTAACGGGTTTTACGTCCACGAAGGCCTTTCAGCGTATAAGAGGGTAGGACACAAAGCCTAATACAAAACATGTTACCCCAATAAAAGCACAAAGCAACCATAAAGGCGTCACTTTGCTTTGTAAAGTGATTTTTTCTCAAGGCAATCCTAGTTCTCACGGAGAACGTGACATACTTGTATAAGATAAGCTTAGTATGGCGAGCGCCGTCAGTGAAACAGAAAATGCTTACATAGCATCCCGGAATTCTCGTGCACAAATACCTTGGCCAATGATTAACCTGATATCTGAATTAAAATATCACATCGATAACCTGAAGAATTTCCGAAAGACTCAAAGTGAGATATTATTTTCAATGTTAAAGCCTTTGTGAAATGTTATTTTGTGATCTAAATGAGTTTAAAGAAAGATGGATTCAGCACAGATTTCATGATTGAGTATGGGAATGGTTTCCTGAATACGGGCCCGGATCTTCGGATCCGTGTCAATTATTCTTTTGTTTTATATTTTGCCCTCGTTTGTAGATTTGTTTTTCTAGATTTGGGATATTATGAACGTCATTTTTATGGCATTGTACTAAGTCAATGTTGTAACCATAATTTAAAAGTTCAGGAGTGTACACATGGACATAATAAGTAAGTACATGTGGCACGACAAATTACCCAAATCTACACACAACCTGCCCATATCTACCCAAATCTTACCCAAATCTACCCATAACTTGTCCTTATCTACCCTCAACTTGTCCAAATCTACCCAAATTTTTCCCAAATCTATGCACAGCTTGACCAAATCTACCAAAATCTTATCTATATCTTACCCAAATCTACCATAACTTGCCCAAATCTACTCACAACTTGCGTAAATCTTACCATAATCTACCCTCAGATTGCCCAGATCTACCCAATCTTACCCAAATCTACCCACAAAATGCCCAGGTCTACCCAATCTTACCCACAGCTTGCCCAGGTCTAACCAATACTTGCCCAAATCTATCAAAATATTACCCTAACCTTACCCAAATCATATCCAAATTCTACCAAAATCTATCACTACCTGCCTAAATCTTACCCAAGTATATCCACAACTTGCCCAAATCTACCCACAACTTGACCAAATTTACCCAAATCTTACTGAAATGTGAACAAGTATACTGAATCTTATCTGAATAATTAGCCAGTCTCTGCTTCTATTACCTCCCTTTCAACGTAACTGCTTTTTTGTTACATAAAATATATTGTTTCCATTCATATTTCACAACGGTTAATAAAGATATATTTCAATTTGTCAACAATCAATATTAAAAGAACAAATATATGGAAAATATAAAACAGATTTAAATGCTAATTAATAAAACTTCCTGAGTTAGGCCAGGACACTTGGAAAAAATCCCTCTAATAATGATCTCTGTTACCAAGAGGTATCAACAAGGTGGCAATATCTTTAGGTACTGAGATGGTGGTGATGTTATTCAATCCTACATGTAAAGAAGCAAGATCTGCAGACAGTTGTCCATTCCATCTGTATGAAGGCCTCCTTACCACAAAATACTGTTGTTCCCGGAACTGCAACATCTTCAATACAATAGTTACACAACTTCTTAATGTAACTGCTACCGAACAAATGTGTTACTACCATGGTCTTTTTGTTTTCACAAATAATCTTTTTTTCCGCTTTAGCATTTTCTTTCACAATCAACTTCTCAAGTGTTCAACCATAGCCAATAACAGATAAGATTTATGATTAACCACATCTTCTGTAAGAAACAACACTGCACACAACCAAAGAAATATGAGCATGGTTTTGGTGGGAGGTGTTAACTGCAATGGTCAAATTTCGGCATGAAATGAGTGATTGTTGTTGAACAACCAGAAAGTGAGAATGAGTTGACTTGACAATGACCCAGTTGGAAGACATTAAAGCACTTTCATCAAGTTGAAAATGAGATTGGCAGCCAGTAAGTACCTAAATATATTCTTTCTCCATTTGTTTTCAGTAGTCAGAAATTACCTAGGTATGCCTCATAGTAGTTTAGTACAACAATATAACGTAATTGTACTTCATAATTCTTGGAAAACAAAGTGTTCATAATAAGGTAACAGTTCTTTTCACTTCTTTATTGAAAATGAGCTGAAACTATTGCCAAGATGATTCACCCATATGTGTAGGACGGTTTCATCAGAAAAGAAAATACCAGCAACATTATCACAATCCAAACTTCACATATTCATCATACCCACTGACTTTTTAGAATATTCGAAGCCCATGTCATAACTAATCACTGCTGTTGTGCAACTTGGAATCCTTTTTACATAAATTATTACCGTGACACTGAAACTGCTGGTCATGATATGTTGGTGATATATTGATAAAATGGAAGCTTCCAAAGGACGAGCCTCTAGTGGTATAAGGTAAAAGGATGAGCCCCTAGTGGTATAATGTTAAATGATGAGCCTCTAGTGGTATAAGGTAAAAGGATGAGCCCCTAGTGGTATAAGGTTAAAGGATGAGCCTCTAGTGGTATAAGGTAAAAGGATGAGCCTCTAGTGGTATAAGGTTAAAGGATGAGCCTCTAGTGGTATAAGGTTAAAGGATGAGCCCCTAGTGGTATAAGGTTAAAGAGCCTATAGTGAAAAAAGCTAATGGATGAGCCTCTTGTGGTATAAGGTTAAAGGATGAGCCTCTAGTGGTATAAGGTTACATGATGAGCCTCTAGTGGTATAAGGTTAAATGATGAGCCTCTAGTGGTATAAGGTTAAAGGATGAGCCTCTAGTGGTATAAGGTTAAATGATGAGCCTCTAGTGGTATATGGTTAAAGGATGAGCCTCTAGTGGTATAAGGTTAAAGGATGAGCCTCTAGTGGTATAAGGTTAAATGATGAGCCTCTAGTGGTATAAGTGTTCATTGGAGATGACAGCTAAGCTCTTGTTATAAAAAAAAACTGTCTGTATAGCAAGCAAGTTATGGCGTGGCATAGCGCTGAGCATTCGTACATTTACTGTCAATGTTGCCTTCAAATAACTGGTCAATATTTGTTCATATATATGACCTGATCAATGTCCAAGGGATCAAATTTAATGACATCTCGCATAACAACCAAGAGTATTAAGATCATGATATTAGATCAGTGCCATGCTGTGATAAAAAGCCTACTACCTTGGTTCATATGTCAAATGTGTATCGAACCACTTCTGTTGATGACAAAAGGTTGGAAGTTTATTTTTTCTCTAATGCTTGAATGAAAGGCTTTCAAACTTTGTTCATATAAACTGCCTTATTTTGAAAACTTATTACAGTGACTGATCATATGCATAATTAGTAGATTTGATAAAGAAACTTATCTGCAATATGACTATTTTCCTAAAGGAACAGTCCTTGAAACCTTTCCTGAGTCCACTTTGCCTGTAAATTTAAAGTTAGCAAAATTGTGATTTTCAATGGAGGAGAGTCTGTAAAACCATTTTTCTTTTTGTTTATAATTAACATTCATTTTCTTGTTGTAACTTCAAAACTTTATCAGTAATTTACTTGCTGCAATGAAAGCCATGCAGAATGGATATAAACACTTGTGCTTCCAAAATGTTTGTTGATATTTGTTTTTATTTTAGCAGTTGATGCATGCAATATATCAGTCACTGCACTGAAAATTGTAATAGATACATCAATGTGACAGAATTGGATATATTTAAGAAGAATTATGTGAAATAAAACAGAATCACACACTACAATTTCTAGTTTTTACTTCTATTACCCTTGGAAAAGGTAACTAAACTTGCAAAATTATATTGTCTACCTCACCAAACAAATGGTTTGCTAGGAATAAACATTTTATTCTTTTGAATTTAGCAGAGACCTTGCACCATTTTTAGCATGCTTACAAAGATGTACTTAACCATCAGATTTATTAAAAAAGAAAAGAAAAAAAACTGTAACTACAACATGACTTCAAATTCTGTAGAGATCTGTTAATTGAGATCCTACACAGATAGCTGAAAACCTTGTGATGATATTTCAATTCTCTGCACAAAGTTAAAACAAATGTTACAAGTATGAATGATGTAAACATTGTACATAGCTAACAATATTCAAGATAATTAAGAATTACACAGATATTTCTACTCCTATGTCACATATGTAACTGCAATATCAGAGTGTCTCACAAAGGACCAGACACACAAGTTTAATCTTAATTAGTTTGAGCTACAGATGTAGAATGAAGACAAATGTTGGTTTGGAGTAACAGCCTGATAAATGTACACACAAATTTCTGGTCTATACCATCATTCATTTAATTTGCTTTGAAAAAAGCTCAGTGATTCTTTATTGATATCATTTAACATTAATAATCATTCATTGCTGAATAGAATAAACATGTCTACATTGTAGGTTTGTGTACATATTGCAGGTTTGTGTACGTGTATACAAACAGAATAAAGGTAAACTGTACAATTGGTTTATGTACATTGGCCACAGACAGCTGCAATACTAAGTAAAACACACAAAGATATATATATTGTCAGTAAGCAAAATCAAACTTAAATATTATGAAAAAAAAGTGATTAAAAAAACAACAGGTTTGGAGGCATAGATAAAATTCTTCATCTCAGTACATGCTCTTTTCCTCAATGAAATACAGAGACAATTCGGAAATCATTCACTTGACAAAGTTCATAATACTATTTCAGTTTAAAGAAGTCCAACTACATCATAACTCTTTATAAAATTAAATAGTTTTGCATTTTTAGAAGTATACAATTACTGTAAATCGTAACTCTATATAAACTTTCATAGTTTTGAGTTTGGAGAGGTACAAATACGTCACGATTATATAAAACCTCCACTGTTTACAGTCTTGTGAAGTCTTACTACTTTATACACCTTTTTACATTCTCGTAGTTCAGAGTCTGTAGAAGGTGGATAGATTTCATTAACCAGACAGTATCACAATATGCTTAAGACATACTATGGTAAAAAGTTTTAAAGTCCAAATGGACTATCCACACAATATATCTATGTTATCCTCAACATATTATATATCAAAATCATGACTCCTTTGTAACTACAATAATGTTCAAACTGTATATACAACTTAAATGAAATATTTCAAAAAAGAAATTTGTTATCCAACTTGATTAATATTGCCAAACAGATGTTGATATAACGATGTATGCCCAAGCTTGGAAATGTACAGCATTAATACAAAATAGTGTGTATAAGGTGTACATCAGTGTGTACCATGGCTGTGATTACCAATGACATCATTAACTGTAACATTAGCTAATCAATAAGGCCCTCCTAGTAACTAAATTCTAATGTTATCAATTATCCATAGGCAGACACCCTGCTCACTTTTTGTTTTTCTTCTTCCCAGATTTCTTTGGTGGTGGTTCACTTTGAGATTTTGCTTCTTTAGCCTTGACTTTCCTAGCCTCCCTAAAGGCCTTAATGTTTTCTTTGCCAATTAACCGATTGGCTTCCTCAAATATTTCTTTTTTGTATTTCTTCTCCATGCCATCAACTTTGACCATCAGTTCATAGGCCTTAAGGATTGATACACATCTATCCCGCTCATCTATCTTCTGACTTTCAAGTGTAGTGGACGGAAAGTCAGTTGGCCAAGTTTGTGGACAGAACTTCACCTTCTCAAAGTCTGTAATGTTACCCTCACCTGCTTCCACCATCAAATCATAAACTACCTGAATAAACATGTAGAAGATAGGTTACACCTGTATGGTCCAAAACCGTCTACTTATTGGTATTTAGTAAAAGTTAAGCATTGCTTCGAAATAAAGGTAAAAAAAGTGACTCCAAAAGGCAAAATATTTTAAAAGAACTACCAATTATGCTAAAGCTATTCTCAGACTAAAGGTAAAATTGTTCAATGCATTTTTGATATTGATGTTAATGACAACTAGAAGTTGTTCTTATATTGATATATGATAACTTGTAAAAAAGAAGCTAGCAACACTGCAGTCCAGGAGCACTACATTAATTAAGACACAGTACACAAACCTTTGTGTCATAGATGTTTGTACCATCAAGAAGAATCTCAAACTGTTTAAACAGGGTCTGAGAGGCATTGCCACAACCATGGAAAACCTGAAAAGATGGAGTGTGTTGATAATAAACATTTAATCTGAGTAAGCAACTTACTGGCAAATCAGTCAAATAATTCCCGTTTTTCAAGACATCTAAGGATAGTATCCATGAAACATAAAATCATGTATATTTTTTGTAGTTTGTTTCGTTTAACTTATAGCTAAACCTTTGGTTTTTGTGAGTATAATGTATATGATTTCTGCAATTGTGCTGCAATTAAGTTTGATTTAATTTATAATCTGATATATGATGTAATTTAGAGTTACAATCAATTTACTTTTAAAATTTTTCAACTAAGTTGTAATAATTTCTGGAAAATTTTTATCATCAAATACCATTTGTGCATAAAGTTACAAGGCTACTATATATTTCCCTACCTTAGGGAATTCTTTAGAAGTGAGAAAATCATGTAGTTTGCCATCTGTTATCAAACTTTTATTCTCCCCAACACAAAACAGAAAACAGTCTTTCCTGTCCACACACAGAATGTGAGAAATGCTGCCTTCTTCCTCTCCCAATTTGTCTCCATAGCATGAAATGGCCACTGCTGACTTTGTTTCACAAATTCTTTCTACGGCACTTCTACTCTCAGGGCTGTCACTGATTTCTGTAACCTCATACTCTATCAAGTGCAAAGAATCCATGTCAACTTTAAACATTAAGAACAAGGAAATATGACTGACAGAACAATATATGTCTTTCTCAGGTACAGAAGAACCTAACCATGTACTTAACAGCTGATTTATAAATTAACAATCACTTCCTCACTTTGTCACATGCAGTTGATAGACCAGAATAAACCTGCTTCATAAGTTTGTTAGAGTTTATCTGCACAACATTTCAGTACCTATACAGCAAATCACTGAGTGTAAAAACACAAGTTTCCTATTGAAAGGTATGAGAAAAATTCTGGATACTTAAGCACACATACTTTTAATCTCATACTGACAGGCTTATTCAAATATATTGGGCAAATGAATTCCTCTTGATTATCATATTACAAATGTATTAAATCAAGGTTTCTTGGTTTTACACATGATATAGACAAAAGATTAAATAAGTCCTAAAGATACTAAACATACATGAATATTTCTATAGAAACATGTTTTTGTTTGTTACATTATATGCATGAAACAAAGATATCAAACCTTCCTCCACTTTGACTTCTGAGTTGGTCTCGGACCATTCGTCGTCCGAATAAGGAACAATTGGTTGACTTGGATTCTCATCAACTATGGGAGTATCAACTTTCTCTTTTTCTTCATGTAAATATTCTGTTGTATCTTCGGATGTGTCTTTTTTTTCAATAAACATGTCTGATATGTCAACATCTATCTCTGGTTGGTTTTCCTTCTTTTCTTTCTTCTCCTGACCTGTGTTTTTCTTCCCTTCCTCACTCTCATCCTCTCGCCCACGCTTTTTTGTTTTTTTATTCTTTTTCTTGCTTTTAGGAGCAGTTTCTTGAACATTTGTCTTGGTTATATTCTTGTCAAACTGCAGCATCCTTCCTGATACAGAAAGAAGTGAAATATACATTGTTTATTCTGTGACGAAGCCTATAGATATTTGTATGAAGTTTGTTTCCTGGCATTTCAGAAAGACTATCCATTAATTAATTAGTAATCAGAGAAATCACGCTGAGCACATATTATGTAGTTGAATTAATACAAACTTGATAGCAAATTTAATACAGATGACAAACTCTGCCATTGCGATACATGAACATCCATGTGTGTTATTCAAAAACATGATATACACCATGAGAATCCTGTATATAAAATTGTGAGATGGACAAACACGATGTAAGTTAACAGTGGTAAACAATATTGTAGCTATTTCAATTTAATTTAATGTGGCTGATCATGCAATACTTACTTGGGTATCTTTGTACAACAGTATCAAAGTAAGCTGGGTAGATAATACCACGCTCATCTCCAGCCGACAGGATCACATTGTTGGCTGAACGGAAAAACTTGAGTCCATCTGTAAGATACAGAAATAAAGTTTAGCAAATTTTGAATATGCATATTACAGTATATTGTATAACATACCAATATACAGATATAGATATATTAACACAGTGTGACAAGGCAAACATTCATTTTTCATTTTCATGTTTTGCTTTTGTTAGATTTGTGGGTACTCTTAATCAACAAAGTCATGTGTCTACTAGCTGTTAAAACTACTACAAGCAGATTTATTGACCTATATCTGTCCACGAAGTCAACTGTCAAGGAAATCGTAATTATGAAGAAGAGGCCTAGTGGCCTTGACAGTCACCTGAGATAAGCAATATTGAATATAAAGGTTAAAGGATAGTTATCAAGTGTCATGAAATAGAAATTGTGACCCTGAATATAGACAGTGTCAATACATGCATTCCATCAAAACTGTCATCCCATACTGATAATTTCTATAAAGTTATTTCCTGTGGGAAATAACCATTGTTATGCTCAAAAATACAATTTTTCTATGAAAATTACAGTAAAGTCTAAAAAACCCATTCCTCCTCATTTTGGTCAATCTGAGTCAATTTGACCCCATTTGCCCTCTGGGGGATGGGGATTGTGTAATTCACAATTTAGGTTAATTTTAGGCCAGGGAAGGTTTCTGCAAAATTTCAATGAAATTGTATCAGGGGTTTTTGAGAAGAAGTCAAAAGTGTTAAATTGTTTACAGACACACAACACCACATGAAGGGTATTAGAATAGGTCACCATGAGACTTTGTCATACGTGACCTAAAAACCACAAAAACTAAGTTTGGCATCCTGTAATACAAGTGACTGTTTGTTTTTATTACATTATATTTGTGTCTTTTATTCGTGTTCATTCCCGTATGCATCGGTTACTTTCGATTTGTTAAATGTATATGTCTAGTAGGCCAGGAATAGGCATACTGTTGTAGGTTACATATTGTACATGTTGTGGACAATGACTGACCACTTGACCTGTGACATGCGCTGTTTAATTCTTTCTTCCTTATCCTACCTAAATTTTTCTTCCTTTTTTCATTCTAATTTTTGGGCCTGAATCGAAAAGACATGTTTTTGATATTTCTCTTTACTCTCAAGTCCGTCGTGCCATACATAGAGATCTTTATGTTTCGTCTTTGAAAATATATATATGGAATGACTGTGTACTTCATCTGATTACATGTACAGCTAAATACCCTGTATAATATGGTATATATACTACATGGTATATCATTACATATCCCAAATCTCCATCTAATAATAGTTTTCTTATTAGTTTCAATTCCTGTACATACCAGCCAAGGCTTTCTTCATGTCCAACATTATAATCACCTCACAGGAGGACCTCATCCCTGAAATAACATCATGCCAATAGATACAGATATTCATAAGCCTTAGTAATTGTGTCCAGATCTAGTCCTAGTCACATTATAAACAATATTTGTCAATCCAGACAATATTGTAAAATTGGAAGAAATAAATGTGTGTATACTGAACCCAGTATTTATTTTGTGACTATACATGTATGATCATTTTTACTCACCTGTTTTTATACATCCACCTATAGCTTTATCATTACAATTTATACTTTTATACATTTTACACTTGCAGCTATATATAATGCACAGCTAGTAAGTTTCCATTACATGGTGTCATATTTTAAAATGTTTTTCAGATTACAAGACAAAATTTTCAGCAAGTTATCATTTGTATATGTAGCTAATTAATCTATTTAATTAAAAAAGATATTTAAACTTGCCCAAACTGCAAGTAATCATTAACATTAAGGTAATTTTGTGAAAAATTTGATATATTCATTGTTGAGAGAGTAATGAAAACAGACAAAGCAAGAAAAATAATTTTCCACACTTCATATTTGTTATTAACTCTATAGTTCAATTTTTTCTAATATTTGAGGTTACCTGGCATACACTTTGAAATACTGTAAGTTACATGATGTACACCTTCCCAATTCTGCTGAATACCTCAGGTACAAATTGCAATAATTCTGGTGAAGTGTGGTACACTCTGTAATATTTCTGATGACCTGATGGTCACCTAGTAATACATTTGGTTACCTGAGGTAAACATTGTAATACGTCTGACGACCTGATGGTCAATTAGTAATACTTTAGGTTACTTGGGGTAAACATAGTTATACTTCTGATGACCTGATGGTCACCTTGTTATACTTTTGGTTACCTGGGGTAAACATAGTTATACTTCATATGACCTAATGTTCACCTTGTAATACTTTTGGTTACCTGAGGTACACATTGTTTTACTTCATATGACCTGATGTTTACCTTGTAATACTTTTGGTTACCTGGGGTAAACATAGTTATACTTCCGGTGACCTGATGGTCACCTTGTTATACTTTTGGGTACCTGGGGTAAACATAGTTATACTTCATATGACCTAATGTTCACCTTGTAATACTTTTGGTTACCTGGGGTAAACATAGTTATATTTCATATGACCTGATGTTCACCTTGTAATACTTTTGGTTACCTGGGGTAAACATTGTTATACTTCATATGACCTGATGGTCACCTTGTAATACTTTTGGTTACCTGAGGTAAACATTGTAATACTTCTGATGACCTGATGGTCACCTTGTAATACTTTTGGTTACCTGAGGTAAACATTGTTTTACTTCTGATGACCTGATGGTCACCTTGTAATACTTTTGGTTACCTGTGGTAAACATAGTAATACTTCTTATGACCTGATGGTCACCTTGTTATACTTTTGGTTACCTGAGGTAACCATTGTAATACTTCTGATGACCTGATGGTCACCTTGTAATACATACCACTAATAACTCCATTCTCGCCTGGTTCTCCTGCTGCAAAGTGAATGTGATTCCTTCCCATGCGACTCAGACCCTGCAAAACAATATCAATCAAAATAAAATGCTTACTTCATGTTATCACTAGTACAGGATACATATTATTAACTTAGCCAGTTGTTATTACAACTGAAGTAAATGTGTGCAGTTTGGTCTGTTGATTCTATGCATTGGGTGATCATGCCTGTCATCCCATTTTCGAAAATCTGTCAAATGTTCTAAACCTATATCAGTATGCTTCCACTTCAATAATGTCAGGAATATTTTAGTGAATCTGCCTGTATCCAATTTTGGCATTTTCAGAGAGTATGATAAACAGGAAAGGTTACATTTTGTAAGAATGCAGAATCATTGGATGCATATCTTCAACAGTCAATACTTTTTAAGGGCAGACTCAAAATGACTGCAATTGATGATGGGCTTTAAAACAATCCAAAATAAAGTTGAGGCACAATGAATTTTGACTACATTAATGTCAGCTGGTCATTCAGAGTAAAGGCTAGGCACTGTGACCTTCAGTCGTTACCATGAATTACAAGAGATCCCACAGGGACCTTGGCACCCACCATCCTTTGATCTTTATTTGTTCTTTGAAAGCTGGACCATTTCCTTTCTTTTCTCTTCTCTGTTTTTGCTCTTAATGATTAGAAATTTGAACATTCCTTTGCAGAAACAAAGATGATAATCATTAACTACCAAATGCAAGATGGTCACGTGGAAGCCATTTTGTTTTTTTTTATCAGATTCAAAATCAAACTCTCACATATAGGGACAATGGGGAACCTACAAATGAAATTTGAGAAAGATCAACCCAGTTTTTCTTAAGAAATAGCGATAACAAAATTTTTATACAGACAAACAGACCACAGACATATATGGCAATTTGGATACCATGGTAAACTACACTATAACCTCAGGTCATGGTTTATAGTAGGTTAGGGTTAAATCTTAGGCCATGGTATTAGCACTAGTGTCTGTAGTCAATGATTACCGTTTTCTGTATGATTTCCCAGCTTTTCCAGTAAGTACCATGAATGACTTGGTCTACCTCGTTAGCACTGGTGATGGGTTTCAGGTCTAAATCATCTACCTGAAAGTAAACAAACCTGTGTACATACCACTCTGGGGAGGACTACATTAGAGCTGAAAATCTAATTGTGATGATTATGGGTATAGTGCAGCCCTTTGACAGCTATTGATCACAGAAGCTATTAAAAGACAATTATAATTTGGATCAAAATGACAATAAAACGATCAAAAGATAATAATAAATGTGTCAATTATCCCACAAACAACAGTGATCTTTAAAACAGAAGTGACCTGAATAACTTCAAACAAAACTGATATGAAAGAAGGAAACAAGATCTTGCTTGCGAAAATAAATTACAGTTCAAACTATCAGAGTTCGCATTACCAAAATCATGACATTATGTTTAAAATCATCTTAGCAAGGCAGGAAACTACTGCTCAGTAATAGCATTTTCTTTAAAACAATATGTCGATTATAAAATGATTTTCATTTTTCAAACTACTGCTCAGTAATAGCATTTTCTTTAAAACAATATGTCGATTATAAAATGATTTTCATTTGAAACACTTACTGCACTGCAATACATGTTAATACTGTTAAGATATCACAGGCTTCATTTAGTTCTTTATCACTTTGCAAAAGCCATATTAAATGTAGCCCGACATATGTCTGTTCTTGTATACACAGAAGTTAGCATTGACGAATCAGTAAGCAGTGTGAATTGAGACTTTACATGTCTTCAGGTTAGTGTTTGTTAAAATCAAATGCCTCTTACAACTATTTGGATAGTCTTGACATGACTATCTTATCAAAAAGTGAATTGAAACACTGTTGTTCTTTGACATTACACATGCCAATATCCTGTGGTCCATGTATTCTAATTGCTTGTAATACAGAGTTGAGGCCTGTAATTGTGTCAGAAGGCACAAGCATGGTGTTATGGCATGATGTGTAAGAAATCATACTAAATCAATGATAATTAAGTGACATGAATGTGGTTAATTTGATGGTATCAATTGCTTACAATTGTCATTTATAGCCTGTTAAGACCCACAGCAATCATTGTCCATGTGAATATTAGTGACCACATGGAGCGATTATTGTGACATCAACATCTTTATCCATACTTATATGTGCAGTGTCATGATATGTTTGAAAAATTTGAATTTTAAATGAAACAGACTAGAGAGGGTTCAAACTATCACTAGACAGAAAATAATTGTTTTTATCAAAAACATCATATGTTCTAAATTTCCCTGCCTATTCGAATTGACAAAAGGTTTGCCAAAATCACTTTCACGGCTGTCCACTACAAATCATGTACCAGTATTAGTTGCTCCTAACATGGATTAAATTACTGGTACATTATTGTACCTGTAGGTACATTGCACATGTTCTGATACACATTAAGATACTGATATAACATCTATGGTGTGTCATAAAATCTATATTTCCTCTGTTGAAGATCTTAGGAACAATGCCAATAAGTTCTGAGATCTATGGGAGATAAGCTCTCTGGTGAGTGTAACCTTTGAGAAATTAACCTTTGATATATTTCTACCTACCAGGCCAATCACACTGGAATATTGAGATTCATAGGGTATTATCTTTATGGTCAAAGATTCATATCAGTTTTACTGCCACAGTTTATTCTGTAGTCTCTCAGAGATTACCTCCATAGTGTGACCCTGATTGGCTCGTATCATCAATCGCTTGTTTTCTGGATTTCGCTTGAGAGCAAATCTCTGTTTGTCATTGTTTGCAACAACTCGTTCAACATCATCAATTCGAAAATCTTGGAGGGAAGGAAGTTTTAAAACATCCTCTACAAAAAGGAAACCACCTGAAAAAACAAGTGTTAAGATACAAAGCTGAAGATATGTACCAGAGTTAATATTCACTAATTATGATTTCAATACAAATTGATTCTTTAAAAAAGTCTTCCATCATATTTTATTTTTTCCAAAAATCTTTCATCATATATTTTTCTATATATATAAACCATTATATAGCATTGCTATGGTGTAACCTTACCAAAACCAGATGTGTATTACCAACTCATGAACTGCCGATGGCATATACATGTATATTGCATGAGAAAAAAAATTATGTTGCCTCCCCTTAAAATGGGATAAAATTGAAAATGATAAATATAGGCATTGAACTACCTTAAGTTGGCAATCATGGGCAACATTAAATACTTAAATACATATAGATAGACTCTTGATTCGTTCCATTAACACCCCTCTGAATCCAAATCATTATTACATTCTTAACGACCCATCAACACATAAAAGGTCATTAGGGCTGAATTGAAGGCAAAGGAGTTTAAGGGACTGTTTCTGAGATGAACTCAGTAGATTTGAATGCCAATTCTAATAATCAGTACCATATTTGATAAACTAGCTTTACTCAGATAATCCATGAAACTGGACAGGTAGTGCTTTTCAACTGCCAAATGTACAAGATTATATCAGATATATATAGGAAAACAAAGAAGAACACACGGTACTGATAAATAGCTTTTTGAAATACAAATTTATACTATCAAAGTAAAACATAACTATGGTATTACTGCCTCACAAATTTCAATACAGAAATATTCAAAATATGATCATCTGATGTTTGAGTTTGTAGCAAATAGCTCAAGAGACAATGACACTACAAAAACAAAGGTGGGGTATAATAACGTTGCCTGCAGTTTTTGTTTTACTTTACACTGCAATTAGTACCTGGCATTAAGGTGAATCCCTCCTTCTCTGCTCCATGGCGCAGAAGAAATGATAGCTTCTTTGAGAGATGGAAATCAGAATTGGAATCCTATGAACAGAAAAATACCATACATGTAATGATGACTTTTTCATCAATAAGAAGTACTAACATGGTAGACCTAATGTTGATTTTGTCAAACTGTTTCCATACCTTATGTTATTAACAAAGAAAGGACAAACATTTCACCAGTGATATATTGATTTAAGCTGACATGCAAGTTAAAAAAAATCCATGCTGAGATAAAAAAAAAAATAATATACATTTTTTAGAATGCTTTCGAGACCTCCCCTATGCTAAAAATATATTCTTGTCATTGTATCTAAGGAAGTGGCAGACATTTTGGTTTAAGCCTTGCTTGGAAATGTGTACAGGCATCCCAGGGTATAAAAGGCATGCAACCTGTTGAACCAGTTATCATAATTTCAATGTCAGCACAACGCCACTAAGACATACATTGCATGAGAACATTTACTCGCTCCTATTTTTTTTCATCCAAGTGACTGAATAACCTGGAAATGGATGTTGAACATGAATCTATTACAAACAGATACAATATTAGCCAAACAACTGAAGTACACATTTATTTACATTACAATTTACACACCTTGAGCTGTGCATTTGGGAGGAAACAACACATGATATATCAACAAATGAACATCCACGATAAACCCTCCCTTGTTTTCCAGAGTGCAGACATAAATTCTTGCGTATTAAGCTTGACTACTTCCTATTATTTCTTCACAAAAAGAGTTCACTAGTAAAATTTCAGACAATCTACAACAGGTCACCACTTCACATGGGTTTTACTGGTCAAGCATTGTAACAGGGTCATAATTAATTAGTTATTATACTGATTGTCAAATATAATAAATAAAATATTTTATATTTATTTGTCGTTTAGTACAATATACAGAATTTGTTGTTTTATACTTACTTGTATATTATCTGTAAAATTCGCGTTACGTTTTGCCTGTCAATGTATAGCAGTACGTATACTAGGTATAGCGTGAGTACGTTTCTTTTTTGGCGCTTTACATATGTATGTGTGCTGTACGTAAGTTGTGGTCAGCTACGGACTGGACTTGTTACACTTGACAAACTTTCACGAAGTTGCTAGATTGGTTGAAAGTTTCTGTCTTGTGGATTTCTTTTTCTGTCCTTAGTAATTCGGTATAGTTAATTTCTATCTCTCCGAGTGAATGGTTGGACTATTTTGTCAGTAACACTGTCCCTGTATATTTCAGGGTAAGTTTAATACTTTTTCTATTTCTAGTTTTTTCCCTAGTTTATCCCATCTGTTTGAATGAGTAATTGTGTAAGTGAAATATTAACAAATTATTTTAAAAGTGTAACTGCACAGTATATTGTGATCAGTATTTCATTTAATGTATATATATTTCTTGAAACGTTACGTTCTGTGATTATGTTGTATTTGAATATTGTAAGTAAGAATATGTATTGTATTCATTGTAGCATTTGCACCTGCTACTGTGATGTCAACCCCTCAACTAAATTATGTGGTATCATCTGTGTTGTGGCGTGTAACAATAATGCACGTAACATGTTGTAAGTGAACTTTTATATATTTAATGTAATTGAATTATTTCATTGTAATGAATACTAATATATCTGTAAAGTTAAATGTGTATTGTGATACTGTTTTCACTTATTTGTTAAAGTTGTGATTTGTTGAAGATTAAATTGTCAGTAGATGTCAGATGTGTGTGAGAGTCTGATTTTGTTTTATCCTATATGTTACAGAATGTCTCTGTTTTAATAAATGTAAAACATCGAACCCAGCAGCTTTGTTATGACCATTCTGCTACAAATGGTGCCCATGTAGGGACCAAATTCTGATTGAGGGTCCGGACACAAGAGGGTTTATACGCCTATGGACAAGATCATCAGAACCAAATTCCGCCACAACATTTTAACCCCAGGTACATCTGCCGGAAGACACCACTAACGGATGTTGTTGACAGCCACACATGTGTTTACCATTAGGCCTATAGGCTTCCATGGACAAGATTCTCCACTAGTGCTGTTTACCTGGAATTTTGACCTATGCTGAAGATGGATGATAAATTGTGACACTCCTGCAATGATGTGAATTATTTATGTTACCTTTCGTCTTTTCTATTTGGAGTTTTATGTTGTCACTTGTTTATTTTGTGCTATTTGATCTATTTGTGATGTGCAATTCTGATGTGACTGTGAGTATGGAGGCCTTATTGTGCCTCTCTCCATCTGTTTCCCTGTTTCAGTAAGTATTGAGTATGGAGGCCTTATTGTGCCTCTGCCCATCTGTTTCCCTGTTTCAGTAAGTATTGAGTATGGAGGCCTTATTGTACCTCTGCCCATCTGTTTCCCTGTTTCAGTAAGTATTGAGTATGGAGGCCTTATTGTGCCTCTGCCCATCTGTTTCCCTGTTTCAGTAAGTATTGAATATGGAGGCCTTATTGTGTCTCTTACCATATGTTTCCCTGTTTCAGTAAGTATTGAGTACGGAGGCCTTATTGTGCCTCTGCCCATCTGTTTCCCTGTTTCAGTAAGTATTGAGTACGGATTTCCCTGTTTCAGTAAGTATTGAGTATGGAGGCCTTATTGTGCCTCTGCCCATCTGTTTCCCTGTTTCAGTAAGTATTGAGTATGGAGGCCTTATTGTGCCTCTGCCCATCTGTTTCCCTGTTTCAGTAAGTATTGAGTATGGAGGCCTTATTGTGCCTCTGCCCATCTGTTTCCCTGTTTCAGTAAGTATCTGTTTCCCTGTTTCAGAGTATGGAGGCCTTATTGTGCCTCTGCCCATCTGTTTCCCTGTTTCAGTAAGTATTGAGTATGGAGGCCTTATTGTGCCTCTGCCCATCTGTTTCCCTGTTTCAGTAAGTATTGAGTATGGAGGCCTTATTGTGCCTCTGCCCATCTGTTTCCCTGTTTCAGTAAGTATTATTCCTATTCCTTTGGTTTATTTGGTCAATTTTGCAGTGTGTCTTTATTGGCTTGTTTTTATTTGCTGGTAGTTGAGGTACTGACCAAGACATAAGCTGACATTGCACTAACATGTCATATCCTGAGTGGGTTTGATCTTTATTGTTTGTGTGCTGAACTTTTGCGCTTGCGGTTCACTGCTTGATGCTTCACAGAGTTGATATAGATTACTTAACTTTTACTTAGTATTAATTGTGCAGCTATACATACCGTTACATTTTGGTTTGTTTTGTTTCTTAAGCTTCTGGACTTCGAAAATTTCTTTTCAGGCATTGTGTGCTTAACCATGTTGGAAATTACTTTTATTTCAGCTTTTGTATTTCTATAATCAAAATTACTTGTGAATTTTTCACTTGGACATTGACTTGTATTCAAACTTAGTGTTGTTGTACTTTGTTTTTCAGCTACCTGTATTTTGTGCATTTTTGTAATTTTGCAGATAATTTGTGGACTTTTTGAAATGTTTTAATCCTTACCATTTGGATTTGCTTATTATTTGTGTGTCTTGACAACATCCCTCACTCTTGGACTCGGATATATGCGATGGACTACATGGACAGATGGGCTGTGTTCTTTAGTTCTATCACATTTTTAAAATATATTTTTGGATAGCTGAGAAGTATTGATCATCATCACGCAACTTTGAAGTCATCAAGTGAGTGCACTCTTTTTTTTTTGGTCATCCGTACTTTTAATCATATAATATACAGGTGAGTTTCACTTCGGGCAGTCAATGTTGAAAGGTTGATAACTGGTTTGACAGGTCGTAGGCCTTTTATACCCTGGGATGCCTGTACTCGTTTCCAAGCAAGGCTTGGACTAAAATGTTGATCACCTCCTTAGATACACTGACCCAAAGATATTGATATCATAGGGGGCATTTTGGGAGTATTTGGGAAAGGGAAATTTTTGTTATCTCAAAATTAATTCTATTTAATTTGCATTGTCAGCTTTAACAAGCAAGGACTTTCTGTGTGTACTCATAATGAGCATAAGGTGTATACAGTACATACCAACCAACATTGGTGTCTATGATAATTGTGTACCTACCCTGTGTCTTCCTCCTCCACTGCCCTGACTACTGTTAGAATAGTAGCTCCTTTGACTCTGATCGCAATAAAACTGTCTGCTGTCTGTAAACATCATTGGATTAGGAGGTCCTGTGGGTCCATAACAATCTCTCTTCATCCCTCGACCATATGGAGATTTATTTCTGGTTTTTGGACTGGGATTTCTGTGTCCTGATGTTGGACGTCCGAAATTGGCTCCCTGACTAGCATTGTGTGACCTTCCTCTTTCCTGAGGAGGAAGAGGATCATGGAAGTCTTCATTTGGACCACTGTTGTATTGCTGTCCGCTATTTGAATGACTTCGAATTTCATTTCCGGAACAGTAGAATTCACCTCTTCTTCTTCTTCCTCCTCCAGGCCCATATTGAACATTGCCTTGATGTCCAGGTTCCCTACTGCAGCCATTATGAGGCAGCGGATTGGAGAAAAAAAAACATTATTGAACAATACATGCATCAATCTTTTCGAAAGGATACCAAATAAGCAAGCTTTTGAAAAGCTTTGTTATTGTAATATTTAGTTCCCTTCCAGACTACAATCTATATTAGAGTATAATACTTTTTACCTCTTGCACCAAAGTACAGAGGAAAAGTACCAGCTTGTCCAGTTGTCCATCTGTCTTCTGACTTAAACTTTTTCAATAATGCATTTGCTCATATGTCCAACGAAAAAATCTTAAAGGTTGTAATTGCTACTTTTGTACATGTTGTACCTTCTCAAAAATTGTTTGAATTTTGACCATAATTTTATGCAAGGTTATAACTGTTACAGGGTATAATCTGTATATGCTGCTATTTACTAATAGCTTATTACATATACAAAAATGTATATACATAAGGGGGTTTATTAATGGTTATATGTATTTGGTTTTGCATTAATGTACAGTGTACGTATATATGGATGTATCATATGTTTTAGTGTTATGTATTATGTCATGTCAAGTATGCATATTTTGACACCTCACTGTGGACTGACCACTTGTGTAGGTCGTGACCTTAGACAAGACTTGCTTTTCACTTGTAACCAGACCCGGGCACTTCCACCCGAGATACACGCAGCAACGGTTTATATTACATTTATATTACACCTACGTCCCAAAGGGAATTTATAGGAAACCTCTGCATCACAGTTGTAGGGTAAATGTCTGTTGTATATAACTAATTCTAGTTATTTAGTAATTAGTTTCAAATTTTCTGTTTAATTATATATTTTACTATGCAGTTACGTTCTGTAGCCCATGTAGCCGGTTATTAATGAAATAAACTACTAGTTTGTATTGTTTTAGTCTGGTAAAGTTTAGTTGTTCAGAACTCTAATGTATAACATTTATTCAACATTTCTAATTATGTAATTTGCACTATTTCGTAGCTTAACGTAAGTCTGTCATAGAGTTATTTCCCTTGTTTAAACATGGTCAGGTCTATAGTATATATATGTATGTGTCAGAGAGTGAGAGTTTATTGTCTTTTTTCGTTTTACATTGCAGGGTTTTGTTTCTATTATTTAAGAAGGGGCAATCAAAATGCCGTGAGAACCCACCCAATGATCCTTGTGTTTCTTAGCTATAAACCAAGGACTGTAACATGACAACTGTGGACTTTGCATTTGACCAAGACTTACATAATCCATCTCTAATATAATGAATGTTGTGTATTTACATGACAAATGATATTTGAATAGGGCACAATATATTAGATCATAAAATCCACAGTAATCTGTCTAAAACCAGATCTTTCATTTCACTCTGATACTCTACCTTCCTATGTTCCTTACACAGAAATGTAGAGTATCTGAGTGGACTGATCTGGTTTCAATCAGATTGTCATCAGCAGTTAATAATCATCTGTGCTAAGTTTGGTTCTTATGTCACAATAATTTTTGAAGTTGGCTTTCACAATTATTGTGGTATATTAACATAATGAATTAAAAACCAAGTAGAAACTACTGAGGTTGTTTTTAAACAACAAAATCTAAACCAGATTACAATGAGTTTTGATAGGTATTAATTGAGCTAATTAATTCAATAATTGCTTATATTGTTTTGAATCAAAATTGTTAAGTGCAGTGTGTTCGGATGTGGTTTATAAACACCCATGGTTACTTTCAGTGCCACTATTGTGCACTTGCATTTTATCTCCAAAAATAATGTTTTTCCATCAGTTTGAAATAAAGCCGTATTCATGACATTTGAAAAATCGACGTCATGACTGTATAGCTATAAATAACTACAATTTTGACAGCTATAACTCAACACTGGTCTGACCTGGCATTATAAGTATATGATATTGGATTCCATTCTAAGGAAAGTTCATAAAAACAAAATATTATAGAAGACACCATATGTGAACATAATAAATTCATCAAATGAATTAGATACCACTAATAAAAAGTAAATTATGCATGGGCGTGTGATAGCAGTGGTATGGAATATTAACCGGACGAAATAGTGACCAGTAGCCAAGATTAACAAAGATTGTATTCAACAGTTTGCAATCCCGTAATTATATATTCCTTACCTTTGATGGTTACGTTGATAATACGCCATTATTCGTCGTTTCGCCGTCCCTGTTAATCGGTTTAATGTTTTTGAAGCATTCACTTTGTCGATGTGGCCGTTGCGTTAGCCTTGTGCAATTCTAAGAAATACTCCACAAATCGAAAGTAGGTTTTCGAATCACAACTCACGGCATTCTTCATTGGAAACTGAGTCGTAAACTTTCACTTTCAATTTCCACTGGTTTTTTTCCACTGGAAACAAATAAATCCGGCAATTTCCATCCAATGATTAAAGCAAGATAATGTTGTTACTATGTGTAAACATATCTATAATGTACATATCACAGATGACATTGCTAACGCGCATTTACAGACACGAACTACAGCTGGACTGCTTGCGTTTATCAAGTTTTGGCGTAAATATAATTTACCGATGATACTTTAAATACTGTAGTTGTCTCGAATGAAATATGGATGTGATATAATATTGTTTTCTTGTACAAATTCTAAATCTGTTTACAACATCGTAATCGATATTAATATGAAAAGTTTGCTCAATCTTCTATTTAATGTTTGAGGAACGAGTCCGAACGGGTACTTTTCACAAAGGCTGGCGCTAACCGGTTAGACGATTTACAAGATCGGGCAGGATCGAACAGGATCGGGCAGAACCGGGGTAGACTACGGCCGTTTAAATGATTTTTATGAATTTCTTTTGCATTGATATCGTCATATGTTAAACATTATGACAAGTTTTTAAGGAAAAATGAAGAAGTATTACATAAAACACTCATATCTGTTTTGGTCGCGCAAGACAGGATCAGGTAGAATCGGTCGCTTTATATGTAGAATTTGGGCGTTAAATTGTTTTTAGTGTAATTATTGTGGTGTTAAATAATTTCAGTTAAAATATGACAGATTCCTATTAATTAAAAACGGCAAAAACATCGGATTTTTTTCGCAGAACGTAATGTGCCGCACAGGACCGAAAGACGATTTACAGGATCGGGCAGAATCGGCCGGTTTATAGGAAGAATTTGGACATTAAATTGTATTTTAGTGTAATTATTGTTGTGTTTAATAATTTCAGTTAAAATATGATGTTTCCTATTGATAAAAAACGGCCAAAACATCGTATTTTTTTCGCAGAACATAATGTTCCGCACAGGACAGAAAGACGATTTACAGGATCGGGCAAAATCGGTCGATTTATATGAAGAATTTGGGCATTAAATTGTATTTTAGTGTAATTATTGTGGTGTTTAATAATTTCAGTTAAAATATGATGTTTCCTATTGATAAAAAACGGCCAAAACATCGGGTTTTTTTCGCAGAACGTAGTGTGCCGCACAGGACCGAAAGGCGATTTACATGATCGGGCAAAATCGGTCGGTTTATATGTAGAATTTGGGCATTAAATTGTCTTTTGTGTAATTAGTGTTGTGTTAAATGGTCTCAGTTAAAATATGATAGTTTCATATTGATTAAAAACGGCCCAAATATCGTAGTTTTTCGCAGAACGTAATGTGCCGCACAGGACCGAAAAACGATTTACAGGATCGGGCAGAATCGGCCGGTTTATATGAAGAATTTTGGCATTAAATTTGTTTTTTTTTTTTTTTTTTTGTAATTATTGTTGTGTAAATTGGTCTTAGTTAAAATATGACAGTTTAACATTGATAAAAAACGGCCAAAATATCATATTTTTTCGCAGAACGTAATGTGCCGCACAGGACCGAATGACAATTTACTGGATCGGGCAAAATCGGCCAGTTTATAGGAAGAATTTGGGCATTAACTTGTTTTTTTTTGTGTGAAATTATTGTGGTGTTAAATGGTCTTGGTTAAAATATTTAAGTTTCATATTGATAAAAAATGCCACTTTAAAATGTTGAAAAACCGTTTGTGCGGTTCCCCCGTTGACTTGTCGAGGCACCACTAGAATTGGATTTCCAGCGTCGTACGTTTTCACTATAAAAAGTCCAAAATGTACCTTCACCACACATGCGCAGTCTATTTACACTGTACACTATACACAATGAATGTCTTAAAATCCGCATTGAGGCTAATATATATGGATCTGGGTGTTTTAACGAAGAGGTACACCTTGCGTTCGAGTTGACTTTACAGCTTATCTTGACTATTCACATGATTCAGGGCAAAATCGGTTGTGTCACCATGAGTATGTTAATGAGTAGATAGCGTAACTTGAGAGCTATTGTAATGAGGCATACTGTGAAATAAAATTTTCAGCTGTATGACACTAGTGTACTGAGTGTACTTAGAATGTATGACCTTTTTAAATGAGACTTAAAAATGTACTCCCTACTTGTTCTCTCTATACGTCTTATGTCATCTTTACTAAACATTTGCAAGAATGGGTGCTGTCATCAGAAGCTGTGTTGATAAAAAAGGCTACCGGCTTGATAGTCTGAAATCTTGTAATGGTTGATTGTCTGATACTGGTTAGAGATGGGCATTCTGCCAAAAAGTGCTGACGTGTCTCTGGAGCTGTCCTACAAAGCTTACACGTAGGGTCGACTTCATATTGGTTGAATTTGGCCCTGTTGCTCCAAAGTGTATAAGTTCCCAGTAAGAGTTTTGCCTTTACTTCTGCTCTTTGGATATCGTATGAGCTACTTGAGATGTCATCGTATAAATGATGGACTCTTCCGACCTTGAGTGTTTCAGCATTGACATATTTTAGTGAAGGTTTCGTCTTTCTGTGTTCTGTCCATTCTTCTTCTACTTTGTTATTTATGGCGGTGTTTATCATCTTTTTCCAAACAGTTTTTGGTGGTAACTCTTTCAACAAGTCAAAGGCAGTTGGTAAATCATACTTAAGTAGTATTCTTCTGACAGATGCGAAGAAGCTGGAGGAACTTAACTTCTGTAGAGCTAGCTGTCGTGTGGCGATCTCGTATTCAGTACTGTCCTTTCTGTGTGCTATGTTGTAGAATAGGTTAAGAGTATTCTTGTGTATTACTGATTCGAGGGTCGGGATTCCTAGAAGTGCTAGGGCTATCGAGCTTGGCGTTCTATATGGAAGGTGTTGGATCTGTCTAAGAGTTTTTCTTTGAAATACTTCTAGAGTGTTGATATCTTAAGATGCCAGGTGGTGGATCTCTAAGCCATATAGAAGTCTTGGGGTTACATAGGTATTCCAAAGGTTAGCCTTAATTTCCTGTGTAACTCCACTTTTCCCATGGAAACCAGCACCCATTAACGAATAGGCAGTTCGTCGTCCTAACTGTATCCTTTTTGTTGTGTCCGGGCGGATGTTGATATTGTTCCTGATTATCCCAAGATGTTAATTTTCTTCAGCTATCTCTATCTCCTTATTGTATATCTTGAGTTTAACATCTGATTGTTGTACATTGTAGAGCAGTACCTTGTTTTTTGTGGGGTTGATGTTGTATATTGAGCGTTTCGTGAATACTTCTACGTAGTCTAGCATACTCTACATCGCAGCTTCACTATGTGTCAGGAGGGCAGTGTCATCGGCACTGGTTGTGTGGGGGATGTGTATGGATCCTATAGTGGCACCGTTGAATTTCTCAAGATCCATTAGTAGGGTGTTGTTGTACCTCTTGTAGTGTGACGTAGAGACTATCCCGCCCTGTCTAACTCCCTGTAATATTGGGAAGCTGTCTGATACTTCTCCCTGCCACTTTATTCTGGTAGTTGCTCCACTGTACATGTCTTTGACAATGTTCCAGATTGGAGATTCCATCTAAGTAGAGTTGAATTACGTGGTCTACACGTCAAAAGCCTTCTGTACGTCTAGCGTTACAAAGTATAATGGCTTCTTATCCTGGCTGCTTCAGTGATACATTCGGACATCATAAGTGCTGAGTTCAGAGAGGAAATTCCTTTGGTGAAACCTGCTTGTAATCGGGAAATGTGTCTTATCCAGAATAGTGGAGTGTCGGTTCTGTAGAATGTGTTCAATGATCTTCAGAAGGATAGGGGTTATAGTGATTCCTCTGAAGTTTGAAGGTAGCTGTATGTCGCCTTTCTTAAATACAGGTGTAAGTTGCCTTTCTTTTAAAGAGTTCGGGATTTTCTTCCTGGCAAAAATTCCAGCAATGATGTTCTTTAGACTGTTTAGAATGACATTTTCCCCAAACTTGATGTGTTCAGCAGTGATACCTTTGATGTCTGCAGCTTTGTTGTTGTTTAACTTTCTTATGGCTTGTAGTAGTTCACCATCTGTGGGTCTGCGTTTGGAGGTTGCTTCACTCCTCGGCGTGGAGTTTTGCCCTCCTCCCTCGGCTTCGGGTCTTCCAGAGAGGACTTCTACTTTAAGTGCCTTTCTTCCCTCAGACCCTGAGGTTAGGGCATCAGGTAGGTCATTGGCGGAGGGTACTATGGTTTCCTCAGCATTGGCTCAGATTCAGAAGGTTCTTCAAGCCAAATGTTCTGCTAATAGGAAGCAGGATCTTTCCGGTTTGCTTTTAGGGGTGAATGATATTGAGGGGTTCAGTCCTTCTCGATATGCAGTTCACGACCCCTCAATAGAATCTAATCCAGCCAAGGTGGACCTCCTTTTGGACCACTGCTGGCCTGGAAGATCAAATGACATGATTCATTTGTCTCCCAAAGAGCATAGTCGGATGGAAAGACTGCTTCGCCTTGCCATTCACGTGCTGGCTTATGCAGATTCTTTTTCCTCTGCTTTGTTTGTAGCTTCTTCTCGTTCGGAGGAGAGTCTATCTGACAGCAAGGCTATGAACCGGGCCCACATGGATGGGACTGCGCTCATTCTGGCCGTTTTGACGGATTTCATCCTGGCTTGTCTTGCTTCAGTCTTGAAGCCAAGACTAGCTATTGGAGAGCCTTTTATATCGGATCTCATGACTGCTCCCCTGTCAGGCTCTGAAATGCTCGGAGGGGTTCTCTCCTCTGTCATGGACAGAGTCAACAATGACAAGTCGGCTTCAGCTCGGTTGGAGAAACTTAGGCTAAGCCTAAGCCTGGACGGGTGCAGCGCCCAGGCAAACCTAAGAAGGGCCCTAAGACGGCTCAGCATCAGGCTCAGTCGTCTGTTACCTCGACTTCTCGAGGGGGGCACTCTTCTCGGGGATGGGGTGGTCGGGGTCACAAGGGAGGAAGGGGGAGGCAAGCAGAATGCAGGTAAGAAGGGGCAGAGTTCCTGACTCTTTCAGTCCCTCGGTTCCTCCCTGCCCCTTGCCCTGTCGTATAGACGATCCAAGGGGAAGGTCTCCAGCTCCCAAGGCCAGATATTCCCGTTGGGGGTCGCCTTTCTCATTTTCTGCCGGATTGGCAGCAGCTTACCGAGGACAAGTGGGCAATTTCGGTGGTGTCCGAGGGTCTGGGTATCCCTCTTCTAAAGGATCCCCTCTATAGGGCAACCTCTATAGACCTCAAGGACGCTTATTTCCACATTCTGATAAAGAAATCGGCCAGGAAAATCCCTCAGATTTACATCTCAGGGCAGAGTGTTCCAGTTCAGGGCCATGCCCTTTGGTCTTACCATGGCCCCCTTGGTTTTTACCAAGCTGCTTCAGGTGGTTGTGGGCTATTTACACAGTCGCGGAGTAGATATCCATATTTATTTCGACGACTCCTTGATGCTGCATCTAGATCCAGAGTCTCTGAGTCGCAGCACCAGGTCAGTCTTGACTACCCTTCTTCGCCTGGGCTTTATCCCTTCTCGAAAGAAATCCGAGGTTTTTCCCTCACAGGACTTTGTGTTCCTGGGAAACCGTTTCCTTACGGATATCGACTTCGTTGTTCCACCTCAGTCCAAGTTCCAGAAGGCCAAGGAATTGGTTCTTCTGCTCAACAGTTTGGACTCTATTCAGGTCAGGTGGTTTCTGAGGCTTCTCGGATTTCTCAACTCCCTTTCGGATGTTATCCCTCTGGGTCGGCTCCATCGACCTCTTCAGATGTACCTACTGTCCAAATGGAAACCGGCCTCTCATCAGTGGGATGTTCACATTTCCTTGGACAATTCAGTGAAGGCGTCGGCAATGTGGTGGGCCTTGGAGAGCAATGTCCTGAGGGGCGTCTCTCTTCGGAGATCACCCCCTACAGCTACCCTGTATACGGACGCATCTATGATGGGTTGGGGGGCCTACCTCGACGGTCATTGTCGTTCGGGTGTCTGGCAGGGAGATCAACTCCAGGAGCATATCAATGTGCTGGAGATGAGGGCAGTTCTGCTGGCTATTCAGTCTCTGCGTCTGTTGCTTCAGGATCAGTCCATCTGTCTGGCTACAGACAATGCCACAGTAGTAGCTAATCTGGAGAATCAGGGATGGACAAGGTCTCACAAACTTTGTGCTCTCGCTTGTCAGGTCCTGCTCCTGTGTCATTCCATGGGGCTTTCCCTAACAGTGAGACATCTTCCAGGTCATCTCAATGTGTTAGCAGACACCCTCTCCAGGTCTTGGAGTCCAATTATCACAGAATGGACTTTGAACAGGTCAATTTTCAGAGCCATTTGTATGGTGTGGGAGACTCCCCTAGTCGATCTGTTTGCCACAGCTCTGAATTTCCAAATTCAGACGTTTGTGTCTCCTGTCCCAGATCCTATGGCATGGGCAGTAGATGCTCTGTCCCTAAGCTGGGACGGTCTCCTAGCCTATGCTTTGCCTCCCTTCAATCTGTTGGGCAGGGTGCTGCAGAAGGTCATGGAGCACGACTGCTCAGTTCTTCTGATAGCACCTCTGTGGCCCAGACAGCCCTGGTTTCCTGCTCTTCTGGACTTATTGATAGATCTTCCATTGGCTATCCCTCCCAAATGGAATCTTCTCAGTCAACCCAAATCCAGACAGTTCTATCAGAACCCAGAGCGCCTGCACCTTCACGCGTGGAGGCTATCTCGGTCTCCCTCCTCCAGACAGGCTTTTCTCAAGAGGTTACAGATGGCATCACCAGATCAATACGATCTTCCTCATCTGCCGTCTACCAATCCAGATGGTCAGCCTTCTGTGATTGGTGTCACAGCAGGAAGATTGATCCACTCTGTGCCTCTATTCAATCGATAGCTGAGTTTTTCCTTTATCTTTTTAAGGTTAAGAAATTAACTCCAGGCACTATACGTGGCTATCGTTCTGCCATTGCCAATGTTTTTTCTTACCGTGGTCGTTCAGATATCTGAATTTGTTCCTCCTTGTCCAATCTTCTCAGATCCTTCTCTTTGGAGAAGCCTCGGGTTAGACTGCTGATGCCACAGTGAGATTTGGTTTTGGTCTTAGATTCTCTTACTAAGCCTCCTTATGAGCCCTTGGGTTCTGCTCCTTCCAAGTTTCTCTCTTGGAAGACCGTTTTTTTGATAGCGTTGGCTTCTGGGAGACGGAGAAGTGAAATCCATGTTCTATCCTCTTCTCCTTCTTGTCTCACGTGGTCTCGGGACTATTCCTCAGTTACCGTTCTTACTGACCCTTCTTTTTTGGCAAAGAATCAGGTTCCTAATTTTTCACCAGAGCCTATCAAGATTCCTGCCTTAAAGGAGGTCTCTGGTGCTGAGAATCAGAATTTGTTGCTCTTGTAGGGCTTTGAGGTTTTATCTCGATAAAACCAAGAAGGGGGGGGGAGTCTAGATCCCGTCTGTTCTTGCCCATTAAATCAAGGCAGACTGATATCTCTGCTCAGACTATTTCCAGGTGGATTTGTGACACCATCAGGACTGCTTATGAGGGGTCTAGTGCTGACACTTCTGACAAGGTTAGAGTGAGGGCACATGAGGTTAGAGCTCTTTCAGCAGGCCGTAACACCTTTGCTGATTTTTACCTTCGGTCGCTTCCCTCCCATGCAGATGGGTTGTACTCTCTGGGTCCTCTTGTCACTGCTCAGACAGTCACATGTCCCCCAGTCAATTCTTAGGAAGGCTACCTTGCGGCTCAAAAGGATTTTTAGAGTTTTAATTGTAAATATCCTTTACCCTTATGGGTTTTTTTATGCTGTTTTTTGCTACGATTAGTGATTGTTTGCGAAGACTCCTCTACGGTAAGACAAATTCGCTATTGTCTATATGGTGGTGAGGTATTATTGAAATAAACTTGAGGTTTTTGTAGTAAAACCAATGTTTATGATATAATACTCACCACCATATATTGGAGGTCCCTCCCTCCTCCCCTTGTCTTCTCATCCAATTTGTTGGGGTGCGGAAGTGAGGTTTCGGGTCATGCGCGGTGCGTTCGTACCAAGCATTAAGGGTCCTCTCACTGGATATTTATTTTCTTTTTGTTATGTAAATTATGGGCTGTCGGTGGGAATACGCTATTGTCTATATGGTGGTGAGTATTATATCATAAACATTGGTTTTACTACAAAAACCTCAAATTTGTAGTGGTTCCATCGCTTACAGGTGTCACACTGTATGCCCTCATCGGTAAAGTTGTCATAGTGATGACATGTCTCGATATCTAGATCTTGCTCACTGCTCCTTGTGGCATTACCGGGATTGTACTCGACAGCTAGAACATCTGCATCGATGATGGAATTGCCAGATAATTCATCTAAACGAGTCATATCTGCTATGCTCTTTTCCAGGCATCTGGAAAATCCTGCTTCTACCCCATCCCGATCTACACCTTTCCCAAGTCGTATTGAAGCTTAAGCGTTTCAACAACATTGAGTACGAGTCAACAATGTCGCCGTGAAAAGAAAAGTAGTAGAATTTCGCGATAGTCTTTCTTATATTCATTTTGAAGCACACACTCAGTATGGAAGACACAGCGTTAGCTTATTTTGCATCTGTTAACCCACTATCCAAAAAAATCGTCCACGAGACACGATTGGCGAAGAATATTTTGAATGAAGAATGGGGAGGATTGAATTGGAAGAAACAGGAAGAGGCACTTGACGATTTTTTCGTTGACCGAAATGTCCGAGAAAAATATATTTCCGATGCAAAAGACAATACTTATGCCGTATCTTTCCCGAAATTACACATCCAGTCAGGAGAAAAAATAATCGTGGACATGGACAGTGACGTGAGTATAAGATTTGTTCCGTAAATAGCATATACAGATACAACAAAAATGGGCGTGTCAAATTGCAATACATACCCAGTTGCATTTGGTTATATGATTTGTGTTGAACAAATGTGTATATAAGAGAGCCATAGCTTAAATATGCAATGGTTTACTTAGTTCATCGACGCGAATTGAATTTTTAAAAAAATAGCCAACAAGATTGTGCAAAGTTATGTGGTTAAATCCCTCAAACAGTTGAAAGTTGCTACATATATCGCAATAATGAAAATGATATTGCATTATATTGTCACTAGATAAATTGAAATATTGTGATATAATGACCACTGATATGTTGTTGCACACTGCTAAATTTACTTGACTGAGTTTCATGACGAATATATAGATCACTACTATTACCAGTAACATTTAATTTCATTAAATATTTAACGTCAACATCATATATTACGTAGTAACGGACTATTAATATATAATCAAAGTGGGCTTTGGGATGTAGCAGCCATGCAGGTCTTTTTCATTTATTTCTCAGGAACCAGAAACTTGCTATATCCCTGAAGCCAATACCTAAAACCATTCTATTAAAGGATATGTATTTCTATGTGGAATTTTAGGCATGTTGTACAACTAGACTTTTTATCATTTCACTGTTTCAGTTTGAAGGTATATATACAAATAATACAATGTGCTTTTTCATCCCTGCCCAACAAAGCTGGCGGGGGATATTTAAATGGGTTCTATCCATCTTTCTGTCCTTCTGGATGCTGCTTTCCGTATATTTTTTGAAATACTGGTATGATTTTGATGAAACTTGGTTGGTGTACTAATTACCTTAATCCCTTGTCCATGTTTGATTAACAGGAAATTCTGCACATATTTAATGAGGCTTGTGTGACCTGATTGGCTGATGTCTTTTATCACTCTATGGAAAATCTTTCTTCACATTATCTTATGAAGGAATGAAAAGATTTTTAGGAAATTTGCTTTTAAGACTTATTACCTTAATTCCTTGGTCAGGTTCGATTATTGACAAATTCTATTCATATTTTATGCACTGCCATGACCTCATTGGCTGATATCTTTTGGCACTCTAACTGAATGCTTTCTTCATGTTATCTTTTGAAGGAACGAATGAAATATGATGAGACTTGCTTAGTAGACTTGTTAGCTTAACCCCTTGTTCAAGTTTGATTATCGGCAAATTCTATGCATATTTAATTAGGCTGCTGTGACCTGAACGGCTGATATCTTTTCCAGTTTTCGTCGTTGCTCAATTCAATCATATATATTTTACAATTGAACATGGGCAGGGGATCTTGATGACTCTGTCCTTGTTACATATTGCAGATATGGTCGTGGCAAGATGTTCATTCCGCTCCCTTTTCATGGCGCTCAAAGGTATGTGCTGGTAACTGTAAATAGTACAGCGGTATATATTTGAAATTTTTGAGTTTTAATTACTAATTATGTTAAAACTATACAATTTTGTCAGAAGTGTAACTCAAACATATATACTTTTGACATACAGATTTGAAGTAACTGTATATTAAAGTTATATCAAAGTTGTATGTGAAAAGTTTGTATAGTAATACTTAGTTATACAGTTGAAGTATTATAATTGGGTGTATATATAAGCAAAATATACTTAACTCTGTGATAAGTATAGTTCTAAATTAAAAGTACATTTCTGGATAGGTGCAATGAACATTTTAAACATAAGACTTTTGAAATATTGTGATACATGCAAATTGAAACACCCAACTGCTTCTGCTGTTGACAGAACCATAGTTAGAATGGTGGAGGTGCAATGAACATTTTAAACATAAGACTTTTGAAATATTGTGATACATGCAAATTGAAACACCCAACTGCTTCTGCTGTTGACAGAACCATAGTTAGAATGGTGGAGGTTTCGATAGTGTAATCCATATTTACATAGGCCAGTCACTTCACATATCAGAAATATAGTCTCCTTCTTCTTCTCTTTGTCTCTAGGTATCATTGACCTCATCCTTGATACTCCAGAGTTTACAATCACTTTTGCTTTCTGCATCCTTTGAACATTTCACGGTGAAATTGAAGGTACAAGCAATTAATTTGATTGATCTAGTGCAGGTTTCAGGTGGAAAAAAGTGCAAGCTCAAAGCCAGTACTACGTATCATTATGCGAACTTGTGATTCGTTTATATACATCAAAGTATCAAACAAGTCTTCTTGTATCATACACAAAGTGTCAAATGTAGAGCTTTCAATTTTGCATTGAAGTGTTCCAAGGGTGCAGAGCTCAAGCGTGAAATTGGTTGTAACCCATGGAGTATCGAGGATGCATTGACTATCAGCACTATCAATGCCTGAAAGTGATAGTTTTAACTCTGTATATGCAGAGTATACTACTACAACTGGTATATGGGTATATACTTCCAGAGTCAACAAGACCTTAATCTCCTAGATTTGGACCCAGAAAAGCTTTCTAAACCTCAGCCTTCTAAAGGGGCTGGCAAGTCCAAGACAGGACAAGAAAATGATGAACGACCAACAGCCTCACAAGAATTTGTTTACAACTCCAACCCCAGTATATGGGAAACTGACAAGTACAAAAATTGGAAATCTGATCCAAATAATTTTATTTTGCCAGAGACCAATGAAAGCTATGGTATTGGTCATGGTAATACAAGGGATAGCTGTGTCTCTGATGTTTCACAGCCATCTGTTATTGAAAGCAAACATACAGAGGACAATGAGGAAGAAATCTCACAAATAGCACCCCAACCAGCTAAAAGACTTCCAAAAAAAGCTTCATCCAAGTCTCCTGTTGCTAGCAGGCTGAAATTGTCTTCGTCATTCTCAAAACGTCGTCAAGAAGAAGAACAAGAACTTATGACAGATGAAATGTCCAAAAAAGACTTCCCCAAGGCACACAAAGACATAGAAAGTAATGTCTTTGATAACCCTATGATGAATATCCGAGAACAGAATTTAATGGATGAGGAGACAGAGAGCATTAGTAGTACAACCTCATCACCATCAAGGAAACCATTGTTAAAGGAGCCAAGGGTGCAGATGATGGAGCGGGAAGAACAGATGGACTTGTTTGATGGAGCCAAGAGGACCCTGGACCTAACTGATGATCAGGCAGGACTACTCACTGAATCACATGGCTCTGTTCTGTCTGGGTCAGACATGGTTGTCTTACGAGATTCAGAGGTGAGAATCATTTAATACATCATGTATTACATCCAATACTTTGGTAACTTATCGGTTATATTAATACCTGGTGAACCATGTAGATGTGCTGTCATATCATATCCTGCTGTTACTACATACTATTAATGAATTGTTCAATAGGAATTAAGAATTAAAAACTAGTTTTCATAATTTTGTATGTGTAGTTTAACAAGATTTATCAATGAAATTGTTTTTTTTCCTCGTTGATATAATAAGTTTTCTTCATGTTCCTTTCCAATAGGTGTCTGCAGAGGAGAGACCAAACTCATCTGTTCCCACCACTGGATTCACATTTCTTGACAACTGGTAGTGATGACAATAAAGCATGACATCTCACCACTGGGACCATCAACTGATAATTATACACTTAAACATTTGACAGATCTGGATTATATTTGTGCTGCTGATGATGTTTTTTCAGGCTTAATATATTACAGTGTACCTATAACCACACTTAAGCAATGGATTGCAGACACATGGACATAACAAAAGAATAAGATTGCAGTATTTCTTGGTATAACTTTCTATTTGCCTTATTTTGTAGGTCATAAGCTGAGAAAAACTTGCTCAATTTTTAGCATTGTCCTATTAGGGTTATACTGTAAGGTTGTCACTACCATACCATTTCACATCCTTATGTTGAGATGGTGATTTTTATGTTTTTGAATATTAACATAAAACATATGTATAATAAATATAGAAATATAACAACTTGTAAAGTGCTTTTGCACAGGAAGTGTTATTTTATTTTTTCATAATTGAAATGTTAAGACTAGTATAAATGTATTGGTTTTATTTAAAAGATCTGACTATATTTTGCATTCTGAAATTTATTTCGTTAACTTAAATGATCATTTGTAAGGCAAAATACATGTTTCTCTGTTGAAAGTTTGTAATCATGTGTAAAGTAATTGTGTGTAAAAAGTTTAAAACTTTTTGTAAAAAAAAAATCTACTAAAACTTGTGGAAGTATCCTGTTGTCAGAGTAGCACTCTAACTATTCAAACATGTTTGTAATGTCATGTGTATGTACTTACTTAATTGATTGGAAGTAAGGTCTTTTTTTTAAAATATTAGGTTATGAAGCTTTAAAAAATTTGTGAAATAACCAATGCTTTAATGAAAAGTGTCCAATACTGTAAGCCTTTATCTACATGTTGTTTGTAGGGAGTATTCACCACACATTAAATATATCTCATAGATGGATGCATGCACAAATAACAATGTGTCAGGCTTTTTTGTAATTTTTGAAATTGTCCAAGTTAAAACATGGGAAGTTAATATACATGTAGTAATTTTCATGTTAATTTATAGGCTAACTAAAAAGGGTCATTTTAATTTTTGGCGAGCAGAAGGTCATATTGCTCTCTGTCAATGTATTTAATCTAGTGTATTTTCAGCTGATTGCCTTACCTTAATGATTTTAACATAAGGAGAGGTCTGCACCACAATGACAGAAATAAGTATTTGAAAATCGATAGATGTACAAAAGTTAACAGGTATCACAGACCTGAGTACAAATTTTTCCAGAAATGAAATACGTTATTTGCATTATTTTCCCGGTTTCTTCCAGCATTTGGTGGATGGGGGCAAAGCTTGCATGTATCAGTACAGGTCTTTCTAAGCTTAATAATTTCTTTCTATTGTGAGAATCAAAACCATAACTATGATTCATAAATGCTGTACCATTATTAATAACAGAGAAGGGAAGAATTCTTCCATTATGAACATGAAATCAGTTTAAATACTTTTAACAACAGAGACACTGCAGTGTGGGAGAAACTCATTTTATATACATGGTGAAGAATATTACACTTAAAGATTTGTAAATTTCTTTTGATATACATAGAGACATTCTATATCAATTTATATATATGCTAGAACTATTACTCCTGTAGTTTTTAATACCATTTAAACTATGTTTACATTTTGTAAAAGCATTCTCAATGTTGTGAATACATATTTCTATGTGCAAGTGCAATAAATATACATATTTATTATTCAATAAATATATAAGCTTTCTCTAGTTTGTGAATTTTTGTTGATGCCATCTCATAATTCAGTTACAGAAGAGTTTTAAAATCTTTCAGATTGAATCAAGCAATCATTAACAAATTTTTGCAATATATTGTGACGGAATTATGAACAGGTGAAAATAACGCCTGAAAGGCAACACCTACCAGCTGAGAAAATGTTTAGAGAAACATTCGGCCTGTATTTTCATCCTGGATGTATGTAATCTATCAGCCATTTTAAAAAGTCACATATACTGAACCCCATAAAAAATGCAAGTACATTTTCATGTGAAAAATTTTAGTTGACATTTTGTATACTAGTGTTAATATCAATAATATGAAGTTGTGAATGCCAATGATGAAATGGCATGCTTTTTGCAATCACAGGTGTTACCTATACAGGTGAGTGTTCATCGAGACATGTCCTTTATAAAGTGGTCTATCCCAAAAACATTCATTCAATGACGGTAGCACAAATAATGCTCATTGCAGAGAAAAATGGTTCTTGGAAGTTTGCAGGCGGGTACTTCTGCTACTATTGTATACTGTTTCTGATTGTCCTCGGCCTGGGAGACCAAGGGTGACAACTCAGGCCCAAGATCACTATATTCTGGTAACTCACCTTCATAACTTCACCAGGCTTGCTTGACGCTTCTAACATACGGATACTGTTTCTGATCGTCCTCGGCTGGGGAGACTAAGGGTGACGACTCTGGCCAAAGATCGTTACATTCTGGTAACTCGCCTTCATAACTGGGCCTAGCCTGCAACTAGAAAAGCAGCTGCCATCAGAGTTGGATGGCACCCAGTGTCTGCTGAGACTGCCGACGTCACCTACACAGAAAGGCATTAAATGCCAATGTTCTCAGGCCTTACGTTGTTCCCTTTTTTGCTGCACAGTCACAACTACAGTTTGACCAGCAAGGAAACACCGTCCCCACACTGCTCAAGTACCTATGGGTTTCCTTGCACAGAATAATATGAATGTCCTCTCTTGGCTATCTCTTTCACTGGATATGGCACAAATAGAACGTGTGGGATGAAATTGGGAGAAAAATCGCTGCTGGCAGAGCTCCATTGCCATGTGCACAGCTAGAACAGAAACCCAGGCATTCTTCCAGACTCAGCAATTCCATGTATCCTTTATCAATGCCTTAGGCGGAAACACACATCATTGACCGATTTGTGATTTTCCTTTCATGGGGGTACCTGCATAGTATAGACAGTAGAAAAAGTAAATTTTAGGAAATAAAATCTAGCCACATTTTGTTTAATTTCAATTTAAAAAAACTGTTGAATAAATAAGTAAAAATTTGGTTTCTGTTTTTGATTTCTTACAAAAACTTAAGTAGGACTTGCTTTTCTTTTGGGGTTCAGTAAATATCCATGTTATAGCTGACTAACAAACATGTGGTCAGTGTGAAACCTGTATCCATCATCTGCTACATTCTTCTAGATTTGTCAAGTTCCTTATATATTACAGGTGTGCCAATCACTTCTGTTATAACCAAAGGATCAAATCTTCAATGATGGAGTTCATTCTGCAGGCAATTGCTGGTAGCATATTGTGGTCTTGTGGCATCTTTAATGTGACAAATGAACAGAAACAAATCATAAACTGTGAGGTCCAACTTGATGAATACGCTGCAGTGGGCCAGTACTTATTAAGGCGGCAGGGGGGTGGGGGAGGGGCCACAGAGTCACACTTGTATGACCAAGTGTTAAAAGTAGCCACATTGACTACAGTACACTGTTACCATCTGGTGTATTTTTTGGTCTATAATCTGTTTACCATCTCTTCACACTATTTTCGACCTTGGTGTACTGTCTTGTACACTATGTATGTCAGTGTTAGCGCACTTTACACTGGTAATTTGTCTAATGAAGGTGACTGTATAGTCATCGCAACATCACACTCTAATCTGCTACAGGTTGTGTTATAAGAACTTCTATTCTAAAGCCTTTAAGTCAGGCGACTTTTCCACAACATCAACTTGCTTGGCTCACTGGGCTATGTAATCTAACAATTATATCAAGCAATGAAACCCTTCAAGCCAGGCAACTGGTATCAATTTGTTAAGAAATCATCAAGACAAACAAACCATCAATAGAACATAATTTACTGTTTAAAAGTTTGTTTTTCAAACAAGTTCAGTATAAAAATAACATGGAGTTCTAATAGTAAAATCTTCAACATATCACAGTGATTCCTTAACACACACATAACTAAATAAATATAAGGAGTGTATTGATAGGGTTACTCTTCTCAGATTATCTATAATAAATTAATAGTACAGGGATGTAAAATTATTATAATAAAACACATTTGTAATAACAATTGACAACACATATGGCACGTGATATATAAGAGCAAACAAGACAATGGTCGAGATAGATATATACATTAACAACAAATGTGTGGATGTTAATTAATACATTGTGAGTGCAGATATAGGTACCAGGACAACAAATATGAGGAAGACATACAAAGACAGCAGAAAAATATAAGCACACACTACACATACTACACAGTAGACTAAGGTGAACATATTTGACAGTAAACCCAAGTAAGCACAATAGACAGTACACAAGTAGACACAGGTAAACATACTACAAAGTAGATAAAGGTGCTGTAGAAAAAATAAATACAGATTTTTGCAGGCGTTTACTTAGGGTGAGAAAATATACTAACAACATGCTGTACTCTGAATCTGGTAGATTAGCATTTTCAGTAATTCATAAAATAAGAATTATTAAGTACTAGCTAGAATCATTGGAGATGGAGAATGGTATCTTGAAGGCCTTGTATAATGACGTGTTATCTGTATCTCATTCAAAAACAAATTGGCTCATTAATATAAAAACATTAATGTCTCTAGGTTTTGGATATGTTTCATTTAACCAGAATGTTTGTTATAAATGACAGTTTACATTCGACGTTAAACAATGCTTGATTGATGCTTCTGTACAAAATTCAAATTATTTCATAACTCTTATAAATGGTTTTTTGTATAGTTTCCCTCAAGATGTTAATTGTCTTCAGTACTATCTTAGGAAATCTTTACCAGAGTCATATACTTCAGTAATTGCAGAATTTAGGTTATCTTCACATGACCTTCGCATAGAAAGGGGCAGATACGAAAGAAGAACATCAAGAAATGAGAGAATATGTCAAAAATATAACTTCAGATATTGAAGATGAATTGCATTTAATTGTTTGTTCGTTTTACAATGTTCTTAGAACTCAATATATTGATAGATATTATAGAATATCTCCATCTATGTTCAAACTAGTTAATCTCCTCTCTGTTATAAGAAAATAACAAAATTTTAAGTAACCTAGCAAAATCTCTAGTTGCTATTTCTAAGGTTAGATCAATGCAAATTCTTTACAATAAACATACCAGACAAGGCAGTAGATACATGTAAACATGCTAGGCAAGATAGTAGATACATTAAAACATACTAGACAGTTGATACATGTAAACATACTAGACAGTAGATACAAGTAAACATACTAGACAGTAGATACATGTAAACATACTAGACAGTAGATACATTAAAACATACTAGACAGTAAATACATATTAACATACTAGACAGTAGATATATGTAAACATACTAGACAGTAGATACATGTAAACATACTAGACAGTAGATACATGTAAACATACTAGACAGTAGATATATGTAAACATACTAGACAGTAGATACATGTAAACAACCAGTAGATACATGTAAACATACTAGACAGTAGAAACATGTAAACAACCAGTAGATACATGTAAACATACTAGACAGTAGATACATGTAAACATACTAGACAGTAGATACATGTAAACATACTAGACAGTAGATACATGTAAACATACTAGACAGTAGATACATGTAAACATACTAGACCGTAGATACATGTAAACATACTAGACAGTAGATACATGTAAACATACTAGACAGTAGATACATGTAAACATACTAGACAGTAGATACATGTAAACATACTAGACTGTAGATACATGTAAACATACTAGACAGTAGATACATGTAAACATACTAGACCGTAGATACATGTAAACATACTAGACAGTAGATACATGTAAACATACTAGACAGTAGATACAAGTAAACATATAAGACAATTGATACTTATAAATATACTAGACAGTCGATATATGTAAAAACATTTAGCAGTAGATACAAGTACATGTAAACATACCAGTAGCTACAAGTACATGTAAACATACCAGTAGCTACAAGTACATGTAAACATAACAGTAGATACAAGTAAACATACGAGCATTTCTATACACTTAATTGTCTACTAGCATTGATCAAAAGAGCTTCACTGATTAGAACAATGCATTAAGTGCAATCAGTAAAACATATCTGAAAACAACAAAAACATGCTCAACAAGAAAGTTGTAAAATAAGTCACATGCTTTCCAAGCATGACTATGGCCATTTAATTAATGACTAGATCAGTTGTCACCAATTTGTTTCTATCTAAGGTATATAAATATACCATTGGAGGAAAACATGAATTTAAACTTCATATCTCCTGTTTTACCTGTTCACTTATTACCAATGTACTTTGAACCAATAATCACACACATATTGGACATTGTCTATCACAATACATCCATACATACATACATCTAGTACAACTCAACAACCCTGTCTGTTATATTCCAATGCTGTAATTAGAGAACTGTTTACTCAACTTAAATCAAGGATCACATGAGTTTTCATTTTTATATATGAAACATAAGGCTGTTTTAACAACCCATTTGTATGAGGGACAAATAGATGTTGGATTCTGTTTATCACATGATCAATCTTTGTTGCTAGGATTCTGTTTATCACATGACCAAACTTTGTTGCCAATATTCCTAACAATACATTTACAGAATCAATTTGAAATTTAAGATATCTGAAATTCTGATTCTGTAATATTTTCTGTTGCTACTTTTTGTGCAACTGAACCATGATGATGCCACTAAGCTGTGACACTGGAAAAAAAACGTACAGCCAGTCTCGGCACTGCTGCGATTTTATTTTAAACATTTGTTCCTTACATAATTTATATAATAGTCTCAGCACCTCTGGGATTTTATCTTAAACATATATTGCTAACATAATTTACGTCATGAACATAACAACACTTACACATTTTAATAATTTCAAACATGATCATTTTTCCTACACCATGAACACATTTGGTACAATACCAATATTTGGTTACCATAAAATCAGCTTTTTGAAAGACTAGCTCAACACTTTGGAAAATCTTCAAATAGAGAACTACACAAGCAACACAAAGCTGAGTGTTACTCTGGCCCCACTACTGAACTGCTGTTCACACTGCCTGTTTTTACGAGTAAACTATGACAAAAATACATGTATTATGCTGTTAATATTTTGATTTGGCATTAAATACTTAAATATTACCGGTAAGTAAGATTCACAGCATGAAATCACTTCAAATATTGCTAAATCTCTTTAAAGTCATGATGAAAATATTTAATGCACAACTTTCCTCATTATCTGACTCAGAAGAGCAATCAGTCTGTTAATTTAACTATAATTATGTAAATTAATGTAATTATGTAAAATTTAAACAATTTTTCTATGTAACCTTTCCAATTCTCGGAATGTACAATAAAGATATTAAACACTGATTATTAGTCAGTCTTAAAGATATACAATATACATGATATGGTAAATCAATCAAGATTATTAAAAACTTGTCTATAATTTCAAGATGAAAAAGATCATACATGTTCTTCAGACTTTCATGTAAAGACCTCTCTATAGATATACACAAAGAGATAAAATGCCAGAAGAACTTACATATATGAATATTGGTAAAGTGTGTATTACATAAATATATATTTAATGGTGATGTGTAATTAAGCTCTGTAAATATTGTAGTAGACTAAAAAAGCACATAAGAAATGTATACATGAAGAAGTTATTGGATTCAATTTAATTTCCATTTACAAAGCTAATGATAACACTTGATGGGTACAAAAATAAGCTGACACGAAAAGTTCCGAGATATAAACAATCATACTCGGTAAAACAGCCTTCAGATATGTAATAAGCAATAGTACTATATAAAACAGGACTAAGTGGATAAATAATTTGTCTCTTTGGTTCCATCACATAAAACTACAGATAATACACAAATCACACATTTTACATGGGTCATAAAACATCTGGTCCTATAGTATCCAGTCATTTATAAAGAAAAAAATAAATATCAACCTTTCCACATGTATATGTATGTTCCTTCACTTCCGGAATGTTTTAAGTTAAATGGATTACTTATGTCGTATAGGGCAAGCTCATTTTTAGGTCTTATTATGCACATGACTTACAATCACAAGCACAAACATTTAAAACAGACTACACTTATCTAACCAGTAATATTTACTGAAGAAATAAGTTAAAATAATGTCAAATTCAAACTGTTGTCTCCTTCAAACAGCATGAAACGAAGACTTACCATTTCAGCTCTGGCTAATAAAATGACAAATATAGTGTTTTATCGCTGTAATTTTGTTTCCTCGCATCATTTGGTTGGGCAAGTAAAATGTACATGTACCTGCATTTTTGTAAGTTTGAGTTGGTACAATTTTTACGATTAAATCATTTAAAGTGTAGCATTTACTAAAGCAAACATAACACACTAATATTAAAACATCAACTATGGAGATCTGATCCTTCCCCTGTATGGATTGGCTTCACATAATCTAAAACATAGAGAGTTTGCAGGAACCCACAAAGGATGGTGACAATGACTCTGAACGTCTGTCTGATGCTGACTCACAGGTGGTCTACAGGAATGATGTAAACTGCTGCGACAATGACTTTGAACGTCTGTCTAATGCTGACTCACAGACGGTCTACAGGAATGACGTAAACTTCTGCAACAATGACTCTGAACGCCTGTCTGATGCTGACTCACAGACGGTCTACAGGAATGACGTAAACTGCTGCGACAATGACTTTGAAGATCAGTGTGACATTACTAGCAGACAGTTTACAGGAACGACATAAACTGCTGCGACAATGACTTGGAAGGTCTACCCGACACTGACTCCCACATGGTAACAGTCCCATCAGAAGTACACATACAGAGTCGCTGGGAGTCCCACGAATAAGCCAGGCTGAAAAAATAAATACCATACAACATTTAATAATACATTTGATAAACAAATTTACATGATCTAGTGATTTTTATGAAATGTATGATATCCCATCAGACTCCTGAGACCGTTTCATGAAACTTCAGTGTCAATCAGCATCTTGATGATTTCAAATGGGGAGTGCAACTTCCATTCAAATGATGTCATTTAGTTTCTTTAAGTATTTCTAACAGTTCCTATTTTCATTTTTTGTTTTTTTATTTTTTATTTTACATATGCCATACTTAACTACATTTTTCTTTGAAATTAAATATTTCTGATAACAACAACAAATGCCATATAAACCAGTTTTAAAATCTCTCCTTGAACATTATTTTTCAGGAGTTCTGCATTACTTCCCAAACATTGTCGTACATGTAGTATAAACATTATGTATATATTCCATTTATAGATGCTTCCTGTTTAAAAGCTGAAGAGATCATAACATTGCTTTATTCTAGTTTTCATTTACCCACTTGATGAAATGTACAGAGTTAATATATATTTGAAGACTAATCTCTATTGAACTCACTAACTATTGTAAGGACATGAATGAAATACAGAGGTGTGTCTCAGTAGTATGAGCTGACTATACAACAAAGACATTACTTTACCTAATGACTGGTTTGGCGAGGAGGGAATCATGCTGTAAATCCCTCAGAACTGTAAGGTTCCAGCTACTCCACAACCTGTTGAAAGCAATCACATGATTCTCTAGTTTATCATAGAAATTGACCTAATACAGAGTGCCTACCTGTAGATCTAGTCACAAATTCTAACAAAGGTCAGTAAAGAAGAAATGATTGATCACAATGATGTCACGCAATAGCACATGTATTTCATGTGATTATCATCATCAGCTATCCCTAACTGTTCAAAGATCTAATAGTAAACCCAGAGGGCCTAAACTCCTTACTCTCAGTCAGGGCATGTGGACTTATTGCAAGGCAATGAAATAGTATAGCAAATATATAGATCGTCTGATAACAGGGCATGGGCTTAAAAAATACAATATATCTAACATTTGTCTAGCTGTGACTCCGCTGAGAGTTACTCTCAAATATTTACCTGACCATCCCTGAGCTAAGACCACCTGCAATCACATTGATGGATCGGCCTTCTGGAGCAGCGGAGAATGCGAGGCAGTGAATGGTGTCTTCACACACACAAGAGGCCACAAGAGCAGCATTGATTGTGTGGAGTTGCAGGCAGCTTCCCGGCCCTGAAACGTATGTTTTAATTGTCAATATTGCTTTTAGGAGTAGATGAATTTTAGCATTCATTATGACTGTAACTATAATCCTTTGAAAGGCCAGTACAATGGTTGAAGGATTGGATGGCAGGCAATTGTTTATTTCTACAAATCTTGGTAGTCAGTTGACAGCACTGGTCCATTAGGGCATTTCTGCTGATGTCCCTCTGGTAGGTGTGCAGATGACAACTTATATGATTCACAACATACAGCTGCACATGATGAGTAACAAAGCATTCACTGAACATTTCAACTGTTAGTGGTAATTACATAGTAATCTTAATGTAAACGACCAGCTATATATTACTAACAAAAGAAAACTGCATTATCAATAAAATTGCTCATTTAATACTACTGGTATACTAAATTCAAATACAAAATAAATGAAGGCTTACCATGACTGCTGACTGAGGCTATGTCTCCAAGCTGTGGACTGATGGCTACTAACTTCACAGCAGACTTGTGACTTGAGATTGACCTCACATAGCACAACCTGCCCAAGGAGTACATCACAGATTACAATTTGATTTCCATACTTACAGGTTTCAAACAAAATTTGAAAACATAAAATATTCATTTAACCGCAATCTTATTTTAGCATTTTTTACACTGAACGTATCATGCAGCAATATGATTGCAATAATTAACATGTAGCAATGGTTGTCGATGCACTAATTCCTCATTGAGGTAATTTGATAAAAAAAAATGATGATGTGTTGAAATTTGATGGCTTAAAGAATTTAATATTTTACATTTGTCAGTGCAGCATTTCATCTGGTCCTAATGATATGTTAAGATTTTGGTCCTCTGTTGAAGTCAGGTGACTTTCTCACCTGTTGAGGTTACATGCCTCTCTCTAGTCTGATGAGGTCACATCACTAGATCTCTCTCACTGGATACTATCACATGTATGTCTCACCTGTTGTGGTCATACTGTTAGAGGAGTTCTCATACCTCTCTCTCACCTGTCGAGGTCACATACCTCTTTCTCACTTGTTATAGTCACATGCCTCTTTCTCGCCTTTTTACTTCATATACCTGTCTCTCATCTATTGTGGTCATGTGCCTCACCTGTTGAGGTCCCAGATGATACAGGTATTGTCGTGGCTGCTGCTGACCAATACACTGAAGGGTTTACTGACTACTAGACAGGAAATGCTATCTTTGTGGCCATGTAACATCCTCTTACTGCCCCTGACTTGGATGTGGCTCTCCTTCAGGTGAAAAAATAAGTTCCACATTGGCAAATGAGGTTTGGATATTCACAATTGTAAATTAAATGATATGTGACATATATAACCTGCTTAAAGTTACACATGGTGGGCAAAGAGCTTTAACTCTGATATACTAATTCACAAAGCCATATTTTTTATATGATACTCAATATAAAAAAAGAGGTGCTCAAATTCAAACTTTGGCACTTGTTAATAAAGGAGTTTATTTAAGCCAAATACATATAATAAGGGAATACTAATCTTAGTCCTGTTTGGTGGTGCTGAACAAAGTCACCATCCAACACAGAAGTTACGCATGTAATTTGATTTGAAAGACCTCTCACCTTGGCCTGGTTGTGGATGGTTTGGTATACCGTGATCACACCACCAGTACCACCAATAAACAACAGACGACAATCTGGCACGGATGCTAAACAGGTTATCTGGAAAAATATAGATATAAAAGATAATGGTGTTACCATTCATTTCTTTCCTTAATTACTTTAATTGTAAATCAGAAACTATCCATAAAATTTCAATGACCTTGAACTTTGATCTCTTGACCAATAGATAAATTGGAAGTACATGTATCTTCTCTACCTAACTGTCCTGTGTGTAAATGCAAAACATAAAGTACATAAACAGTTCTAGTGACCTTGATTCTGAACTACAGTGTTCAATCAAAAAGATTTACAAACTCCCCCTTATGTTGAGGTAAAACCTTAAAACACGTCCCTCTCTGATAGTACTGGGTAAAAATGTGATATGACAGTACTCATCTTTACCTGCTCAAAAGGGCTGTGTTGCAGAAAATTCTTTTTTGGTCGATTTTTGTCATTTTTAATTCTTAGGATTCCTCCAGGTTGCTGCCAGTCAATGATCGCAGCCCATGTCACATCTGTTGAAACATTCACTGTGGAAACTAAAACAAAACAAAATAAAAAAGTTTGCAATTACAAAGGATGCTTTCATTGACTAAATTACAAATGAAAGTTGATGTCTGTGAATCAAGAATTGTTCCTAATTAGGCATCAGCTATTACATTGTCTGTAATTACAGATGAAAGTTGATGTCTGTGAATCAAGAATTGTTCCTAATTAAGGCATCAGCTATTACATTTCCTGTAATTACAAATGGAAATTGATGTCAGTAAATCAAGAATTTCTGTTGGAAGATATTAATGATAATGTTAAGTAACATTACTGTTAACAATCCTCTCTCTATTGTTAAGATATACTACTAGGTGTCATTAACATGATCAGGAACCTAGCTACCTTTCTGTTTGCTGTTCATGGTGACACAGTAGCTGTCTTCCCCAACACCAATTATTTCTCCTGTTGACAATGCAAACATGGAGGCCATGGCCCTATCATATTTTTCCTGCCATACAACAGTTGGGGGCTCCAACTGGGGTGAACCTACATACACTCCCCACTTCAGGCCATTCACAGTGGGGACCACACTTGGCTGAAAGCAAAAATAAAAACAAAATTAGTTGGAAATGACAACAACCTCATATTCTCACCAGGAAATGTAAAATTTGATTATCTGTTGCAACTTTATGATAATGTAAGAAGTGGTCGAGTGACCTTTGACCCTTTAACCTTGGCTAATGACCGCCACTGTATAAAGTGTTTAAAAGGCATAAAGATAAAGGTTCACAAGGTATCATAGCTTTTTTATGTAAAAAGTTGATAAATGTTACCTATACACATGTCCATACATACCACATAAGGTGCTGATCGGTAGTCAAAGTCGTAATTCAGCCCTGTCTGACCAATCAGCTGTTTCAGAATTCCAGGCTGAGCTTGACCCTGTTGAGGATGGGGCTGTTTGAACAGCTGTTTTGGCATCTGTCCATATGTTTTCACCATAGTCCTCAAAGCCTGTCTCTTCAGGGGCTCCTTTACACTGTCAATGTCCATCCCGAAGTATGTCTGCAACATCAAAGTTACGATTAACAATCCTAATACATTCAATTGGCCTGAATAGTATCATTTATGATGTGACGAGAAAATCTTGTAAACAAAGCCAAACAACTACACTTGATATACTAATGTATATATAGTAATTGAAAAACTAGCAGCTGATAACATTGAAGGGAGACTACATCTACATCATTCAGTAAATTGTACTTCCTGTCAAGGATGAAACCTATAAATCTATATAAAGTCATTCTCATGACCTTTCATTCAATGATGATTCTAGCATATCTGGTTCTAAAGAAGAATGTTGAAATCTTAACCATTTTGAATCCTTCATCCAACTTCACTCCATCTAGGACTGCCTCTCATAAAGCAAGGATACAGAGAAAAATTGAGGTTAAAGCAAAGGAAAATCAGTTAATACTGTTATAATATGTGTTAGTAATTGTATAAAATTGATTAATACATGATTTTGCCATCTGGAAAAAGACTGTAACACCATTATGTTATTGTGAAATCAGTAGTGATTAAAACAATAAATTAATGTTGCTTACTGCAGGGTGAAACACATTGATGGCTTGTATTGCAGCAAGTCCTGTCTGTTGGTAGCCAAACACCAGATTGATCCAATGGTGAAGGTTCTGTCTGACATAATCTGACTCCAAGGCCTGACGGTGGACCAGGATCATCAGGCGGGGGTCTCCTTTACACCATGGAGGTAGAACTACGTCAGACACTTGCTGGCCATTCTGTCTCTTACCAAATGCAAATCCTACACAGAACAGCACAGACATGTATGTTTATTACAAACTACATAATTAACAAGAACTTTAGTTCGTATTTCAAATATCAATTCCATATCTGACCTTCAAGTCCAAAATTACTTACCCTCGGAATTTACCAAAAGTTCTGGTAGGAAAAAGAATTCAGGAATGAGCTCTTTTACATCTGTGGTAGATTCAAAACTAGCAAGTCTCCATGTTGTTTCAATGCTGTGGAAGGAGCGGTCAGGCAGGTCAAAGTTGTCATCTGTAGAAACATAACATTATGAGGAAGTGAAACACTGATGAAATCAAAAAAAAAGGATGAATGATCAGCATTGTTCTCTATATGAAAAATCTCTTATATTACCTAGCCAGAATGAGTTTACTGATATTTCTCAAGTTTGAAGCTATGCATCAGAGAAATTTGATTTGAAATATATACATTTTCACATATTTCTCTATGACAGGTCATCAAGTGCCCAACTTTGTGTCTGTACAAGAAACAATGACCTTGAAATTGGACAGTATAATAGGCATTGTGGAACAGTAGATCCCTATGAATTTACAATCTCCCAAAAGTTGTGTACCCTTATAATTTCATGAGTGACAGAATTTTTATCCAAAAAACAACATGCATTTGGTTACCTTGATAGCTAAGGAACATTTTGGTGTATGGAGGAAGGCGGATGAGGAAGTGGAGCACAGTGCCACTATTGGAGTAGTGACTGCCGTAATGGAACGGTGTCATCTTCAGACCAGATATGTCAGTATGTCCTTCACGTAAGTACTCCTGCTTCAGGATCTGTAACATTAATGAGTAAGGAAGGAATTGACAAAAATGTGATTAGCTTTATAGGTCAAATATAGCAAAAAAACTCTTAATATTTCAACATCATAATCTACTGTAGAGTGTTTCGTTCCTCTAAAATAGGAAACATTAAAAAATTTATCTACTTTATGATAATCTGAAATTGCTTCCAATTGATCATAAACAGGAAAACTATATTACTTAAAGTCACCTGAGATACAAAGTGAATTAGTAATCTAAATGCTACATGTGTTGTGTAAGTTACTTTGTATTAGTAAAGACAATTTACCTCATAGTTATTCTTGTACTTTTCTTCCCTGCTTTTCTCTTGAACTGAGATGGGTTTTTCCAGATTTCTAAAAATTGAATATAAAACCAATAGGTAAGTAGGTTTTTGTTTAAAAAATATTGTGTTTGTAACATTGGATGAGAAAACAAAATTTTTGCCAAATTTTCAAAATTACAAATGTCATATATGTTATTGGGCTTGATATATACAGCTCATGGGCGTTTTATACACGAAGGGTATTAGGGTATTAGGAAACAAACAGTGCTCTTTGATTTAATCATATCATATATAAGGATATGCTTCCTACCTATACACATTGCTATCCATGAGATTAAGCACAGAACTGACGTAGTCCCTCAGTACAAATGGAAAGACCGGATATTGCATGAGGTCGTTAAAGGACCTCCCGGAGATTTTATTGAGGTAGGTGAGGTAATCATAATTGGTTATCTCCCCTAACAACCAGAGACGTTGTATGTGGTTGAGATCTTCAGATTCCATCAGGTTAGGAAGTTCAAGATTAGAAAGAACCTTGTGTAATTCATCTCTCTCCTGTAAAAACAATTCAAGATCTAACCAGCGGAGTCTGGAGCCAAGTCAATGTTACTGAACAGAACATTTTGATAAATTGACCTGAGAACTGATAAGACACTCAATCAGAGTGAGGATTGTTTGAATGAACTACAACATAAAATTTTCTATTTAAAAAACAGAGTGAGATCAGTCTGGCAAAAAGATTGATATTTAAATTCTAAGGGCAATTGCAGAAGTTTTTAACATCTTCATTTAGTATTTTGATTAAACCCTAATTAGTATACCCTGAGTAAATTTAGGATTGAAAATTTATGACAAATGGCTTGTTGATACTTAATTCCAATATTTTCTACAAATAAAGGTGATACCAGTTTTCAACAAGAATATGCAACAAAATGGCCAGTGCTGAGCACTTACCCTTGTCTTATAACAGGCCAGGATACAGGTCTTTCCACTAGTCAGGAATATCTCAATACCTATGTCACGTAACTGATACCAACACCTACGAATCTCCTTCACATCCTCATATGGCCAAGTCATTGACAACTGGTCCTTGTTGCCAAGCAACACCTGGTCATTACATACAAAAGAATTGATCAAAAATATACAATTCCTCAGTCCCTCTTCAGTAACTACATATTCCATACAAAATTGAACATTATTTTGTTAGTGGTGGATTCAATTTCACTGAATCAATATTGTGTGTGTAAAATGTCCAGTTATTAGGTAGGAGGATGTTTAATCTATTAAACTGATTGCTTAAACTTCATTTCAAATCTCATAATACTGACAGCAGCTGTATCTGAATATTTATAATACCTGTGTATAGTTAACATCAGAGATGGCTTCATCTGCCACAAAGAAGATGCTATTCTCTCCTGAAATGGAAAAGTTTCATGCAATCATGGATGTGGTTTTATAATATCAAACTCAGTTTAGATGTAAAATTTTGTAACTTGGATAATGAAGTAAAACTCTCTTTTTCTATTTTCCATGTTTTTATAATTTCACATTTGATACACTACAAAAATAGGATGAATCAGACAAATATAATGTCTTATCACCTAATCCTCCTATGATTATTTGTAATATCAATAATCAGGGAAATTATATGTGGAAGTCAAGTGTTAAGTCATTTGTTACTGTAGTTTCCCGTTCAAATGTCCATCAACACAGGTAAACATAAGAAAATTGGTAACTTACCAATCAACAGCTCACCATTACTCTCATTATTGGGTGACACGGCTTTACACTTACAAGTGTGTCTAAAAAGGTAAAGGTCATCAGGTCATTTATGTCAGAAATGTTTACTTTGATTCTATATATCTGACTGAAAATTACTGCAACTATTGTGTTAATGCACATTTAACTATCTATCAGGTGTTTGAACTACCAGTGAGATCAATTTTTCTGTATGTCCTCATTATAAAGAATGCAGATTCATATATTCAAATTACCAATTAACAGTAATATGTTTTGCTTTTTATAGGTTCTTTTGACTGTGGGTGTGTTGCCGTATATTGGTCTCATCATTTCAGTAGAGCTGGTTTATCAGTATTATGAATTATGAGGTATACTTACTGTATTTTCTCATTGCGGTAAAGCTGGTATATGAGAGCAGCTGAATCAGATATTTGATGGTCGTCCTCAAAAAGGTAGATAAGTGGGGGATCCACAGCTTCAGATTCTGTAATTATGCAAATCATTCAATTTATTTCTACACAGGAGCTGAAATCTCAACTGATGTAAATAAGAGATGCTATTAATTTTCATTTACCAGGCATGTTGGCTGCTAGAAAGAATCTGATATAAATACCAAGTTTACAGGCTGCATCTTTACTGAGGAATTTTGATTTGATATTGAGGTGGCAGCGTTTCAGCTTCTTCCTTATACGACTGGGTCCCTCAGTGGGGTCGAGTTGCCATGACTGTGGATAGGAGTCAGCACAATACCAGATAGCCCTGTGAAACAACATACAATATGGTCTGATAATTACAGAGAAAACAACCACAAATGTTTATCTCTATAGGGCACATTTCCCACAGAGCTAGTTACATTATACATTATCCTATTTGTTGCGGTAAAATACCAAGAAACACCAAGCTATTTTTTTAAAGAAGGAACAATGTTTTATGCATGTACTATTTATTGGACAGCTAAAAATGGTGTTCGAAATCCAATCAAAACATTCTCATCAAATATCTACAATCTAAATCCGTTCATTAGAAGAATAATCTAAATGACTGTTATTTTGGCATAAATTTATGTAAACTTCGGTAAATTTGGAGCTAGATTTCTGAGCCCTACCTCTCATGTGTAAGGTTCTGTACAATGTTCTGCCAGGACTTTTTAACCTGTATATGCTCTGTCATGCTGCGCTTGATATGCTCCACAAACTTGTTGCGCTCAGTCGTCTGTAATCTGGTCACTGTTTGAGTAATATCCATGGCAAGGGTAGATAACTGTGAGTAGAGTTTGTCATTCCTTTTCAGCACCCTGTCAAATTAAAGAGCATCTACCAATGAAATTCTTCAAAATATCTTTATTTCTATTATCATACTATAGATTTTCCATCATTTAATACAAACAAACAATTACAGCATCCTAATTCTATTTTCAGAAAGTGACAAAGACCTTAGGAATACCAGCCTCTTTAGCACATTTACATATATTATACAGATATCTCATGCATCTCCAGGCTGTAGTTAAAAACATTTAGCCTGAGATGCTGGTAGATGACCATGTGTTATATAAGATGACCATGTGTTATACACTATAACACAAAGTCAACTCCAACTTCTGAGGGGCAAATATATTTTATTGTACCATGAGAAGACATTATACATTTGTTGCTTTTTTTTCTTTACATAATTATGAAAACTTTTCCAACCTTAGACAAAGTTTACCAAACATATGGTCAGAAGTCATGACTGAACATTGTAAACTTTCCCTTTCAATCTCACAGCCAGCTAGAGGACAATTAAAGGACTGAGTCAATTAGAAAAGAGCGCTTGAAATCAAGGAATTTGATGCAACAACCTTTATGACCTCAGTTATTTTGCACAAACACATAACATGGACCACGCAACAGAACGTTGTGTCATAGAAATACCAGAAAGAAGTTGATTCCAATACTAATTTGGTTATTGTTGCTTTATGTTCTATTAACATCCAGGATCAGGATGTGCCAGGTATGGTAGCTTGGTCAGAGTTCTCGGAGGAAAGCCCACCAACCTACGCCTGTACCTAGCGACTGCCCCACATAGGCCTCAAACCAGCGACCCAGACCTGAAGGGCTAGGGACAAAGACACTCAGAGGCTTTGACTACTTGGCCACTGCCGCCCCTCCAATATAAACACAGTAAGCATAGTGCAATATGTAATGAAATGGTTTATTGTCTGGTAAAATTTCTTATTTTAATATAGGGTACTTCTGTTCTAAAAATTAGAAATAAAAAAATAAAAAGTGGATAGACAGAGACACCCTGATGGACAGACACTGAGGCCCTCCACATTGTTGGGTTTGATCCTGTCAACTAGTGATAATGAAATGATGACATGAAATTCACATTTGTATGGAAAATGATATATCAAGGCAGTGTGACCTAAGTGGTGTGACCTTAGTCAAGTGACTATTTTGGGATTATTTTGCCCTTCAGATATTACTCTGTAATACTGCAGCGTAATAAAACTTGTATTTCACTTATAGTAGAATCAAAATCACGTAAGATTAACAATCACTTTTCTCTAATAACAAAACCAACCTTTCCATTGTCTGGAGGTGTTTCTTTGCAATCTGTTTTTTTCCCTTTTCAAACTTGATACTAATCATTTTCTTCTCCTGGTAAACAAAAAAGGTATTGTATTCAGTATTACTGACAGATTTACAGTAAAGTGATACAGCAAATTTGAATTAAGAAGAAAGGCTGATAGTGAAATATTGACAGTGTACCTCAGCGCAGTGGAACACTAATGATGTGAAACTTGGATGTACTAGTCATACAGCATTGATCAACCTTAGTACCAACACGTTTATAAAAACTGGACATTTTTCTGCTGCCTCCCATCAGACTTTTCTAATTGACTTACCAATAAGAAGGGTTACATTGTCTTTCAAATCCTGTGTTATACATTTACTTGTAATTAATCAATGGAGTTCACATGCGGCATAAACTGTTTTCAATTTCACCTTAAGCATTTTTTATTTTTAATTTATGCAATTTTGAGAAGAAAACAGAATTTTTAACATGAACAACATGTCTTTCATTGAATTGCAATAATGGTGAGACCTTACCTCTTTAAAGCACTCTTCAGTGTTTTTTTGTTTACTTGGATTCGGGGACACGATAGCTATTCCTGCATTCTTCATGGTGTTTAAGATCTTAAAAGCATCTTCCCTCTGCTGTATGTTGAGGCAATCATCCCAGGTGGTCAGTAGGTCAAACATATAGTAGGCCATCTCCAAACCCTTAACATTAAAAAGATCTTCATTAAAATCCAACTTTTTTATACGGAGTGATACAACACATCACCAGAACATTAACCAATAAAATATCAACGTCTTCTCCCTCCTACTTGTACGAATAAGATATACAGCAATATGTCTCACTATCAATAGAAAAATAGTCACTGAATATCTTGGTATTAGACAGCCTTCTTTGTTATGAAAAAATGACTGACTGAAAAAGGTGAAAAGTTTTCTAATTAAACAAAATTCAAATCCCAGCAAATGTTGTGTCCACAAAGTAATGATGTTTTCATAAAAGATTAATCAGTACTGTGGAGTCATTAAACATTTGATGTGTTCTATCATAACATGAATCTATAGATACTTTACAAATAATATTTTAGTGTGTTAATAATTTTTGGTAAATTAGAATAACGATCAATTAGCACATTCTCAGTAATTACTACATAATCACCATAAAGAAAGTGCAATAACTACAATACTGTGTACATTTACAACATATATAAGATACAAGGTAACCTGTCACAATGACATCAAGGGAAACCTACCAGATCACTGGCAGTGTTTAGGATAACCTTGAGGATCTCAATGCCCCGGACCTCCCCACGAATATAGGACACTATGTAGGCTCTGTTGTCAACTTCCTGACGTGGAGAGAGGAGGAATGTCATAAGCCGTCCCATCTGTACCCGTGTCACATCTCGGGCAGCCCACATTAAACTATTCCGGGGCTTCTTAGGCACCATTCTGTCCTGTAACCATGGCAATACAGTTAAATATGAAGTCATTGGAAATGTAATGTAGATGTCAGATTACATACATTACTATTTCATAATGTCATGATGTAATTTTTGTCCTCAAGAAAAAAATCCAAATTGATCAAATCTCCTTCCTTATTAAAAGTAAAAACATTACTCATAACAACTGAATCACTGCTGCAATGCAAAGTATGTTTAACAAAATGAAATATAGGTGGTCGAAGTGAATAAAGAACTCTTACCTGACTTAGTGTCATTTCATATGCCCGATACAGGAAGTCAAACAGCCTGCGTATATGTGATGTTTCCAAGCTTTCTACTTCTGGACGCTCAAACAGCAGGTTCAAGGTACGAGTATGGCCTTCCTTCTTCACAGTATCTTTGTCTGTTAACAATCAAATGTAAGGACATTTACCATATACCCATGAAAAGTACAATGTTACAAGACAAAAACATCTAAGTAGGACATTCGCAGCACATAAAGCATGCATCAATTAAAAGAATGGCATTTTATGGTAGAAACCAAATCATTACAACCAGGGCATTCTCAAGACAAAATTAAAGATGTATGTATCCATTCCTCATCACATATGGAAAAAAACTATCAAAAGTAGAATATTCTTAGTGTATGAACCATACAGCTATTGAAATTACAGCATTCTCAGGTGAATCATACATCTATAAAAGTGTTCATACACCAAACTCATGTCAAAGGTAGAGAGTGTTGTCCAAGCATTAACAATTCATAACTTATCTAAACTATGATACACCTAAGGCCTAAATCAAACAACTTTTTTTTAAACTTCAATCAGAATAGTATAAAATGCTGTTTAGCTTATAAATAGGTACATAAATGTAAATATATTTTGTTCTTTTTTTACACTTGACAGCTGGTTTGTAAATTCAAAAATCTAAACAAAAACATAAATTGAGACTTTTCAAATACAAATATGTTCTTTTGTACATGAGATTTGTATTTCCTTACCAGAAAAGACAAACATATCCACAGCTATAACCATGAAGCGTTTGAATCTGTCTATGAGATCCGAATGTGAAACTGGGATGACACTAAGTCGTTTTTTACGTCCGAATGTCTCCAGCACTGAAGTAATGATACCAGGTTTACCCTGTTTTGCCTGGCTTTGGTCAAAGGAGACAGTTCGGCTGATTCCAGGCAGCACTTTTGCACTTCCATATGATATATGACTCTCTGTGTCGCTGGATTGGGCTTCTTCATATGGAAGATCTAATGATAAATGGAATTTTGAGCTGATCTGCTTGGAAGGGTGATTTGTGCCATATGCTGGGAGGTAAGGCTGGGAGGGGTACCCCAAAGGGGTGTGTCCTTGGGAGGGAAATTGTGGTGCAGAGAAGTTGTGCCGAGGTCGAATACCTCCTACAATCAAACAGGTTAGTGTAAGCATCACATTGTTATCATCATTATCACAACATAGTGTCACCAAGGATACTATCTTGATGATAATGAAATATAAACCACATAGTAATCAAATTCTGTGATGATAGTGGTTTTAAGGCTTGGAGCAGGTCCAGCAGTATCTACCTGGTATGATACTTTTACCCAAAAATGGAGGGTGAAAATGTCAGTTGTTCTTCATATTTTGCAGTTATTGATCAATATAGATACATATTCTGTTTAAAGATATAACTTTTTTGTGAGATGGAGGTACCAAATTTTTAAGAATTAATGACTCAATCAACTTCTTACATTCCCCATGCTTCAAAACACCATGCTACACTGGTACAGCAGAAAACTGTAGAGGGTACAACTCAACAAGATTGCCCGAGTTATTGTCCACATTACAGAATATTTAATGTAAAACCTCCTGGATTATAATACAATGCTTAACACTTCACAAAACAAATTGAAGTAAAGATGACTGACGAGAATATATACCTGGAGTTTACTCTAAAATCTATTGGTTTACACAGTTCATGTGATCAATCAGAACTCACCATAATAACTGGAAGCCTGTGATGAAATTTGTCGTGACATCCAGAGAGGTCTGTTTTCCTGACTGGCACACTCCATGTAGTGTAAGATACTGGACATGATATGCAGCTCGATAGCTCGCATACACTGGACCTGTTTACATGATTTACTTCCTGTATAGTAAAAAAAAGAAAACAAATCTATATTGACTTCAAAACCATAAATTGTAGGTTTCAATTACAACTTTTAGCTTGTGTACAGAACCAATTGATCAAACTCTACACTACAAATAGTGTTGGTTAGAATGTCGTAAAGTTCATTTGGACTACTGGCTAATGGTTGCCCGTGTTGTTTCCATGCATCATTAGCTTACACATGTACTGTATAGTGATTTATTTTCTCAGGATTTCTCCTTTTATCTTTAACATGTTAGTCAAAATCAGTACAGTTTCCTACAACTTTAATGGTATAATTACTAGGCTAAACTCTACAAGAAAGATGCAATCATGAACTGTATATACAGCACGATCTAACATCTTGGCAAAGATATCCAGTAATCTGCTAAAAAACCAGATGTATAAGGATTCTCATTTACAAATCTGATTTAATTACAGGTGTTTTATTCAACTTACCTGTCTTCTGTAACTCTCTATCCTCTAGGTATCTCAGCAGCTCCAGGATCTCCTCTACCCTCTGTAGATGTAATGATCCACTGGCACTGGTTCAAAAGACCAAAGTGTAAAGGTCAAAGTTCAAACTCATTCCAATGAAAATTAATACTTAAGTCTTTGATAACATGGAAATAAGAAACTTAAAATAAAATCATGGACAGAGGTTGGCAAGGGAAAAAAACCCTTATCATTGGGAGTAAGTATTCACCAGTATACAAGTCTTTTAGATAAGTTGGGAATCACTGAATCAAAATCACAGAATTGACTTATAACCACTGAAACTATTAGTACTCAGATAATAACAAGTCAGAGATGATTTTTCATGATTCGAAGTGATCAGAAATGTCAAATGTATAGTGTAACTCAAGATGATGGAAAGAAACTGTACAACATAATTTCTGGAGAAAAATTAAAGTTGGCAGAGTTAATTTTGAGCTATACATTATTGGTACTTACCTGAACTCTCGTACCACTATGGTAGACAACAACAGCTGTATGGTGTTAACACACCTCTGATGATCTCCTAGTTCTCCCTGGTCACCATCCCTACAACCAAAAATCATTTGGATCATGTAGGAGCCCAATACTATATCATTTCTATATACTGTGATAATAACTTGAATCAAATGCCAAAACTGTTTTACATTTTCATTGTTTCCTTTGCAATTTAAAGAATGAAACCTTAAATTGTCCAATATAATATAACAAAAGGTATGATATAATATAACAACAGTATGACCTAATATAACAACAGTATGATATAATATAACAACAGTATGACCTAATATAACAACAGTATGATATAATATAACAAAAGGTATGATATAATATAACAAAAGTATGATATAATATAACAAAAGGTATGATATAATATAACAACAGTAAGATGGATGTGATATAACAAAAGGTATGATAATGATATAATATAACAACAGTATGATATAATATAACAACAGTATGATATAATATAACAACAGTATGATATAATATAACAACAGTAAGATGGATGTAATATAACAAAAGGTATGATATAATATAACAACAGTATGATATAATATAACAACAGTATGATATAATATAACAAAAGGTATGATATAATATAACAACAGTATGACCTAATATAACAACAGTATGATATAATATAACAACAGTAAGATATAATATAACAAAAGGTATGATATAATATAACAACAGATATAATATACGATATAATATAACAACAGTATGATATAATATAACAACAGTAAGATGGATATAATATAACAAAAGGTATGATATAATATAACAACAGTATGATATAATATAACAACAGTAAGATGGATATAATATAACAAAAGGTATGATATAATATAACAACAGATATAATATATATATAATATAACAACAGTATGATATAATATAACAAAAGGTATGATATAATATAACAACAGTATGACCTAATATAACAACAGTATGATATAATATAACAACAGTATGATATAATATAACAAAAGGTATGATAATATATAATATAATAACAACAGTATGATATAATATAACAACAGTATGATATAATATAACAAAAGGTATGATATAATATAACAAAAGGTATGATATAATGTAACAACAGTATGATATAATATAACAACAGTATGATATAATATAACAAAAGGTATGATATAATATAACAACAGTATGATATAATATAACAACAGTATGATATAATATAACAACAGTAAGATGGATATAATATAACAAAAGGTATGATATAATATAACAACAGTATGATAATATAACAACAGTATGATATAATATAACAACAGTATGATATAATATAACAAAAGGTATGATATAATATAACAACAGTATGACCTAATATAACAACAGTATGATATAATATAACAACAGTATGATATAATATAACAACAGTATGATATAATATAACAACAGTATGATATAATATAACAACAGTATGATATAATATAACAACAGTAAGATATAATATAACAAAAGGTATGATATAATATAACAACAGTATGACCTAATATAACAACAGTATGATATAATATAACAACAGTATGATATAATATAACAAAAGGTATGATATAATATAACAACAGTATGATATAATATAACAACAGTAAGATGGATATAATATAACAAAAGGTATGATATAATATAACAACAGTATGATATAATATAACAACAGTATGATATAATATAACAACAGTATGATATAATATAACAACAGTATGACATAATATAACAACAGTATGATATAATATAACAACAGTATGATAATATAACAACAGTATGATATAATATAACAACAGTATGATATAATATAACAACAGTATGATATAATATAACAACAGTATGATATAATATAACAACAGTATGATATAATATAACAACAGTATGATATAATATAACAACAGTAAGATATAATATAACAACAGTATGATATAATATAACAACAGTATGATATAATATAACAACAGTAAGATGGATATAATATAACAACAGTATGATATAATATAACAACAGTATGATATAATATAACAACAGTATGATATAATATAACAAAAGGTATGATATAATATAACAACAGTATGATAATATAACAACAGTATGATATAATATAACAACAGTATGACCTAATATAACAACAGTATAATATAACAACAGTATGATATAATATAACAACAGTATGATATAATATAACAACAGTATGATATAATATAACAAAAGGTATGATATAATATAACAACAGTATGATATAATAACAACAGTATGATATAATATAACAACAGTATGATATAATATAACAACAGTATGATATAATATAACAACAGTATGATATAATATAACAACAGTATGATATAATATAACAACAGTATGATATAATATAACAACAGTATGATATAATATAACAACAGTAAGATATAATATAACAAAAGGTATGATATAATAATATAACAAAAGGTATGATATAATATAACAACAGTATGACATAATATAACAACAGTATGATATAATATAACAACAGTATGACCTAATATAACAACAGTATGATATAATATAACAACAGTATGATATAATATAACAACAGTATGATATAATATAACAACAGTATGATATAATATAACAACAGTATGATATAATATAACAACAGTATGATATAATATAACAACAGTATGATATAATATAACAACAGTAAGATATAATATAACAACAGTATGATATAATATAACAACAGTATGATATAATATAACAACAGTATGATATAATATAACAACAGTATATAATATAACAACAGTATGATATAATATAACAACAGTAGACCTAATATAACAACAGTATGACCTAATATAACAACAGTATGATAAAATATAACAACAGTATGACCTAATATAACAACAGTATGATATAATATAACAACAGTAAGATATAATATAACAAAAGGTATGATATAATATAACAACAGTATGATATAATATAACAACAGTATGATATAATATAACAACAGTAAGATATAATATAACAAAAGGTATGATATAATATAACAACAGTATGACCTAATATAACAACAGTATGATATAATATAACAACAGTATGATATAATATAAGATATAAATAACAAAAGATATAATATAACAAAAGGTATGATATAATATAACAACAGTAAGATATAATATAACAAAAGGTATGATATAATATAACAACAGTATGATATAATATAACAACAGTAAGATATAATATAACAAAAGGTATGATATAATATAACAACAGTAAGATATAATATAACAAAAGGTATGATATAATATAACAACAGTATGATATAATATAACAACAGTAAGATATAATATAACAAAAGGTATGATATAAAATAACAACAGTATGATATAATATAACAACAGTAAGATATAATATAACAAAAGGTATGATATAATATAACAACAGTATGATATAATATAACAACAGTAAGATATAATATAACAAAAGGTATGATATAATATAACAACAGTATGATATAATAAAACAACAGGTATGATGGATATAATATAACACAAAGTAAGAAGAAGCATTCAACAAGGGAACTAAAATTTCCTGGTATATATTTACCTGTAGGATCGATTTATTCGAGCCAGCATGTTGGTGAGAGTTTCTACTAGACCAACCTCTAACATCATGGATCCAAAAGTAGAATCTTTGGTAAACAGCTGTCAATGACAAAACTTGTGATTCAGTACTCGTTCATCAACAACATTACTGTACACATTGAAACTTTTAACTTAAAGTAACAAATTTCTACAAATACAAATTAAAGTAAAATTACTCCATGAATGAAAACTTCCCATTTTAATAAGGCATATGAGGTTGTGAGTGATGTATAGCTAACTGCAGACTTGTTTCATTGTGTCAGATAACTAGTAACTAGTTTGTGGGAGATGGTAGGTGACTTGTTTGTGTGAGATGGTAGGTGACTTGTTTGAGTGAGATGGTAGGTGACTTGTTTGAGTGAGATGGCAGGTGACTTGTTTGTGTGAGATGGTAGTTGATTTGTTTGTGCGAGAAGGTAGGTGACTTGTTTGAGTGAGATGGTAGGTGACTTGTTTGAGTGAGATGGTAGGTGACTTGTTTGAGTGAGATGGTACGTGACTTGTTCAAGATGGTAGGTGACTTGTTTGAGTGAGATGGTAGGTGACTTGTTTGTGTGAGATGGTAGGTGACTTGTTTGAGTGAGATGGTAGGTGACTTGTTCAAGATGGTAGGTGACTTGTTTGAGTGAGATGGTAGGTGACTTGTTTGAGTGAGATGGTAGGTGACTTGTTTGAGTGAGATGGTGTTTGTGTGGTAGGTGACTTGGTAGGTGACTTGTTTGAGTGAGATGGTAGGTGACTTGTTTGTGTGAGATGGTAGGTGACTTGTTTGAGTGAGATGGTAGGTGACTTGTTTGAGTGAGATGGTAGGTGACTTGTTTGAGTGAGTGAGATGGTAGGTGACTTGTTTGAGTGAGAAGGTAGGTGACTTGTTTGAGTGAGATGGTAGGTGACTTGTTTGAGTGAGATGGTAGGTGAGTGAGTGAGATGGTAGGTGACTTGTTTGAGTGAGATGGTACGTTACTTGTTCAAGATGGTAGGTGACTTGTTTGAGTGAGATGGTAGGTGACTTGTTTGTGTGAGATGGTAGGTGACTTGTTTGAGTGAGATGGTAGGTGACTTGTTTTGAGTGAGATGGTAGGTGACTTGTTTGTGTGAGATGGTAGGTGACTTGTTTGTGTGAGATGGTAGGTGACTTGTTTGAGTGAGATGGTAGGTGACTTGTTTTGAGTGAGATGGTAGGTGACTTGTTTGTGTGAGATGGTAGGTGACTTGTTTGAGTGAGATGGTAGGTGACTTGTTTTGAGTGAGATGGTAGGTGACTTGTTTTGAGTGAGATGGTAGGTGACTTGTTTGTTAGTGAGATGGTAGGTGACTTGTTTAAGTGAGATGGTACGTGACTTGTTCAAGATGGTAGGTGACTTGTTGAGATGGTAGGTGACTTGTTTGAGTGAGATGGTAGGTGACTTGTTTGAGTGAGATGGTAGGTGACTTGTTCAAGATGGTAGGTGACTTGTTTGTGTGAGATGGTAGGTGACTTGTTTGTGTGAGATGGTAGGTGACTTGTTTGAGTGAGATGGTAGGTGACTTGTTTTGAGTGAGATGGTAGGTGACTTGTTTGTGTGAGATGGTAGGTGACTTGTTTGTGTGAGATGGTAGGTGACTTGTTTGAGTGAGATGGTAGGTGACTTGTTTTGAGTGAGATGGTAGGTGACTTGTTTGTGTGAGATGGTAGGTGACTTGTTTGAGTGAGATGGTAGGTGACTTGTTTTGAGTGAGATGGTAGGTGACTTGTTTTGAGTGAGATGGTAGGTGACTTGTTTGAGTTAGTGAGATGGTAGGTGACTTGTTTAAGTGAGATGGTACGTGACTTGTTCAAGATGGTAGGTGACTTGTTTGAGCGAGATGGTAGGTGACTTGTTTGAGTGAGATGGTAGGTGACTTGTTTGAGTGAGATGGTAGGTGACTTGTTCAAGATGGTAGGTGACTTGTTTGTGTGAGATGGTAGGTGACTTGTTCAAGATGGTAGGTGACTTGTTTGAGTGAGATGGTAGGTGACTTGTTTGAGTGAGATGGTAGTTGATTTGTTTGTGCGAGAAGGTAGGTGACTTGTTTGAGTGAGATGGTAGGTGACTTGTTTGAGTGAGATGGTAGGTGACTTGTTTGAGTGAGTGAGATGGTAGGTGACTTGTTTGAGTGAGATGGTAGGTGACTTATTTGAGTGAGATGGTAGTTGAATAATTGGTGTCAGATGTCTTGTGACTCATTATAGTAAAGTGATTTGTGCCACTCTTGTGTATTTGATAAATAACTTATTTTATGAATTTGGTCTGCAACGTATGTGTCTAGAGGTCTGTAAACTCATCTGTATGATGGTCGGACTCACCTATGTGAAGTGGTCAGTAACTCACAAGTGCTTAACATTCACATATGTACATGTCTGTTGGTCAGAAAATCACCTGTGTGATGCCCCAGCACACATATGTACATGTCTGTTGGTCAGAAAATCACCTGTATGATGGCCCAGCACACATATGTACATGTCTGTTGGTCAGAAAATCACCTGTATGATGGCCCAGCTCACATGTGTACATGTCTGTTGGTCAGAAAATCACCTGTGTGATGGCCCAGCACACATATGTACATGTCTGTTGGTCAGAAAATCACCTGTATGATGGCCTATTACACATATGTACATGTCTGTTGGTCAGAAAATCACCTGTATGATGGCCCAGCTCACATGTGTACATGTCTGTTGGTCAGAAAATCACCTGTGTGATGGCCCAGCACACATATGTACATGTCTGTTGGTCAGAAAATCACCTGTATGATGGCCAAGCACACATGTGTACATGTCTGTTGGTCAGAAAATCACCTGTATGATGGCCCAGCACACATATGTACATGTCTGTTGGTCAGAAAATCACCTGTGTGATGGCCCAGCTCACATATGTACATGTCTGTTGGTCAGAAAATCACCTGTGTGATGGCCTAGCTGATATGTGGTCAGTAGCTCACCCTTGTTAGTGGACCACAAGTCACAGTACATAGGTAACATATAAACCATTTTAATCACCTGTGTATTGTGGCCTGTATAACACATGTATTTGTTGACTAATATGTCTCATCTCCATAATCTTAAAAATGACTTACCTATACAAGCTGGACAACTCAACTGTAAAAGGTGTTTGTGAGTAAATTACAATTAAGTCTTACCTGTAGAGTGAGAAGAAGACTGTTACTACAAAGCTCAGAATCAAACACAGTCATGTCGAGCAGAGATGTAAAAAGACCAATGGCTGCTTGCTGTAGTGGTGACAAGTCTTCCAGACAAATTTCCATGTCCAACCTACAAGAAAAATGGTTATACAAATCCAAAGACCTATGAAAGGAATATACTCAGCAGAGATATTTGTAAATCATAACTAGATCCTCTATTATGTATGAACATTTTGTACCTGCTGGTGAAGTTGAAGGGTCGGTCCATGATGAGTGAGATGACTTCCTCTATCTGTTCCTGGTGGGTAGGATACTGATAGAGCTGAGCACCAATCAGCAGAAAACCCATCTTCTGGAGAAAAGTGTCCACCAGCTCTGAGTTGGTCAGTGTAGCTCGCTTCAGGTAGGCCATCAGTAACTGACAAAGAGGTGAGGAGTCACAGTTAAGAAATCATTACACCAGGTAATATAACATACCGATTCATTTGAATTGAATAGAAAAAAGTTCATATTGAATACATTCCTTTAAACAGAGAACCTTACCTTGAGTACAGCTGTCCTGATTTGTGGAGAACTGTTGTGTGCCAGGACAATGAGGATATCTGGCTTAAGGACTTTGTTAAAAACCTTTTGTGTTGTACTGTCAGGCATGGTTACTAAGACATTTGACAGGGTCTGGAGTAATCCTGAAGAAACAAAATTTATCATGGTATAGAGAAGAGGTAGCGTAGCAATTCTGTACACACATGGAAATTATTTCATTTAGCATCTGACTTAATAATCACTTAGTTTTGTTACAAACCATTTAATTCCCAGATACAAGCATCTCCTACACACAAGAAAATAAGCACTTTTGTATAGCAAACAACCCACCTGCAGGAAAATAAGACAACCCATTTTCCACATTGTTTCTTCCTACTGGATAAATGTCGTATCTGCTCAATATTGAATCCACTTAAAATAGGATGAGTCTACACCTAATCTACCAATAATGCATCAGATCTCTACCTACTCCCTATCTATGTATAAATTAGTAAGACCCAACTCTTATGTTATTGATATAAACTTAATTTATTTACAACAATTGCAAAACAAGCTATCAGCTTTTATCAATCACTCTTGTTGGTCCAGCTGGAACCGTACAGGGGTCTTACTCTGGAAGGAACCTGGAGTACTCATGGGAAATCCACATTGTCTGGCTAGTGATCCTTTACCTTTTCATGTCCATTCCAGGAATTGAACCCCAGACAGGTAGGTGAAAGGCAAGTGCGTTACGATTGCACCACCGAACCACCCACCCTTATATCAATAAGCTATCTATCTCTCTTTGCCTACCTACACAAAAAAAAAATAATAATAAACCACTACTAAAGAGAAAAATAAACTTTCCTATCAAATATCTCATACAGAGTCATAATCTCCACTATACTTACCAACACACAGGGCTGTGAGCCCTCTTTCTCTCTCCGATTCATCAGCATCAGTGTCTGGTACATCAAAATTTACGTCCGACCTTGGTGCATATAACCCTTCCTCTTCATTCTCAGATTGTCGTGGAAATGTGGAAATCTGTAGTGAATTTTCTTGTAAAATCACAGGAAAGTTGTTTGTAACTTTGTCGAATGAAGAGTCGGATGCCTCGTTGAGTGAGGAGCTGAGTGAGCTTATGTCTGTGGTATTGGTGTTGATAACAAGATGCTTCCCTTCATTGTTCTCGAAATCAGAAACAGTCTCTGATGTATCCACTTGGACACTGCTGTGGTCACTCACTCCTGGTACAGCTGACCATGTTGCCCAAACTGTAATACAGATAACAGCCATGTAAAAGTTTATAATTTTATTCTTATTCAAAATGATTTTGGATTTTCGTATTAATGATATCCTTGTTTTTCTGTGACGATAACTTAGCAATACCTAGGAATTTCAGAAGTATTGTTATTAGTTGCTACATATCAATATCATACATCTATATAACTATTATCATCAACATTATCAATAGTGTTAGTCATACAAGGCAACCATACCTTCTGTTTTGATATCATTGTCTGGTGGGACAGGACTTGTCTGGGAGACAGAAGGGCACTTGTTCTCTGGTAACAGGGCGTCTTCTGGGCTCATGGCGACATTACTGGCCTCATCAGATAACTCAGGGGCTGTAAAATATACAAGGATCTGTTAACCATCAAACAATATACCAATTTGACACAGTCAAAGTTAGTGCCTTATGTCAAAACCAATTTCAGTGAACCTTGTGTAGATAAATGATGAACAGACTTCCTATTCAGTTTTCAGTTAGTAACCTTCAGACAACAGTAAGACTGATGTCTTCAGGTTATTTGTATCAGTTTGGCAGCATCAGGTGTGTTTCCAGAGCATAATTTTTTTATATACCTGTGTTGGAGCTTGACTTTGATTCTGAAATACTTGACAGGGTATCCTGATGACTTGGGCGTCTGATCTGGGACAAATAATCCTTTTTCTTCATTGCATTTGTCTCAGGTAGATCTGGAACAATGCAGGCATGAACTACAGATATTTTGTCATCCAGAGTGTAGCATGATTGCTTGTTAAAACATTGAAAGCATACTAAATGTTGAATTATCTAGTATTAAGATAAACTATGATGAGACCTCAGCTTGAGATTATTATGGTAAACTATGATCAGACCAAGGTCTGAGAGAAATTCCTTTTTTTTCTCCAGTCAATCTTGATTTTCCAAAGTCTAGGCTTAATACCGCATAATTCATCATTTGGCTCTACAGTATCTAATTCTAAACTTGTATTGATTACTTGTGTTTTTTATACAATACACTGAAAAACTTATCCTTCCAATAGTCATCATTTAATGACTTACCCCACCACAGGCTGAAGTAGAAGTCTGCCTTCGCATGATTGATGTATGTGCTCGCAGCTGGGTGGACATTTAACAAGAAATCACACATAGACACAATCAGATGGACATCAGGAGGCGATCCCATCATGCTTTGGCATATACTGACCACTGACTGACCGATGTCTGTAGAGAAAGAAGGACGTGCATCCTGAATTCTCTCCTGCAAATCCAGAAATAATATATTGTCAAAAAAAGCACTTTTTAAAGGACCAAATTCATCTTATATTAGATATATACATATTTCATAGAAAGAGAAAAAAGAACAACAACACTTTGGCAACAAGGAATATAAAGCAGGTCCTATTAGTAGACCTGAACTGATAGCATCAGGTACATTATATCTTAGTTCATAAAGAATATATTACAATTACTTTTTGAACAGCAAAGATACCCTCTCCTACTGACTCCAGTTTATTGAATCTTCTTTAACTTCAGGAAATTTTAACTACCATAGAAAAGTATTACATAATTTTACATGCTTTCCTTTGGGGATTTTAAGTTAAGGAAAATTCCTTAAGTTAAGGGAGATTTTTGGGGCCTGTACAAATGTGAAAAAAGGAAACTCTTATATCAGAAATCTGAAATAATTCCTAATTGTGCAGTGCAATGTTAATCAACATTGCACGGTAATGAAATCTTACCAATCTGTGATTGACAAGACAAATGCGCCAAGGATTTCATGATGCATACAAATCTTTTTCATACTATCATTATTGAACAATTTTGAGAATATTAAAGTAAATATAAAATGAGTGCATCTAGTATTTAATAGTACTCATAATTTTAAAGTTTGAATATCTAACCTGTAGAGTAGAGAGAGTAAACCTACCCTGTACATAAGGAAAACCTTGTTAAGAATGTTGATAGACTGGAACTGCTTAATATTGAAGGCTTGTAGAGGGTGATCTTCCCTGATCAGTGAGGCAAGAGCACGGAACATGAGGAGTAAAACTCCACATTCAGAATTTTCCCAGATCCGCCAGTTCAGGAGCAGTTCCTCAATCACGGACATGTTGGTCACCACTGCCTCAGATTTACGGCGCAACACCAAGGGAATCTCACCCATGTCAGTACGGAACAGTGACTCACTGACACTAGCATCCATCAACACCTGTGTGAAATTATCATTTTGTAAGAACATGGTAACAACATGGAATTGATGTATCTATAATCTCACTAAATTGTTTAAAGAAAATGAGAAATTTTGCTCTATTATGAATATTGAACTAACAGAATCTACTTTGGGAAGAAATATTTTTTTGTATTTCAAGACAGGGAATTTTCTTTACTTCTAAATTCTATAGCTGTAATACTGTCTCTGCAGCATTACTCTTCTGACATTTTTCAATAAAGTTACCTTGAGAGTATGATAGCCAACACAACTGTGAGAGCTAGTCAGGACTTTGGTGAGGAGCTGGTGACCAGAACAGGCTATGTAGTCCCGTCCTATGTAGGATGAATGGTTGACAAAGGCAAACAACAGCTGTAGAGCTTTAGACTGACGCACCTCTAAGTCCGTGTACTGTTCACCCTTATCCTCATATACCTTCGCAACCAGGAACAAAATGGCGGATGCTCCTCCGACCTCTTCTAGTGCCTTCTCTAAGATATAATGAGTGTGAGCAGTTATCTCACCTTGGACTTCAGTGGGGATGTTGGTTGGTTGCTGTGACAGCAGGCTGGAGTGGACACTGGTCAGCCCAAGGTTAGTGATAATAGTGGCAGGTTCTTCATTGGTGGGACCAAAGGTTGAGTAATAACCCATCTGGTCAGAGTTCCATGCATCGTATGAAAGAACTACACTTGACTACAAACAATTAAAAAAGATGAAAAAATATCATTGTTAGCATAAAATCTATGTAGCATAGTCTATTGTCTCCAACCTGTTGATAAACCTGAGGATTCAAGAAGTTTTTGCTATAGATTTACATCAGAGTCATATTTTGATCAAAGAAAATAATATCAATACAAAAAGACTTACTCTGAGACTGTCAAGGTCATCATCTTTGAGGCTCACTAGGGTATCCATGGCAACCCCTCCACTCGCCACAGTGGCCTTGGACAGTCTGGGAGGGTAGGAGCGACCCACACCTGAACTGTCACATTTACTCAGTGTATGGCAGCTTGGCCCAAGGGTGTACAGATGCAGGCATTCTTCCCCACCAACACAACAACCTTGAATTATTTCACAGCAAAGTCACTTTTTGTTTACATTTTCCATGATAATCATAAACAACATTGAAAACATTCTGGAAAAAGTCATTATCAATAAGCCGTTGCAGAACTGATGCCAAGATCACAGTGATACCAATAAAAAATTCATAGTATTAAGCAAATAATTGACTGATTTTACCTCGAAAGAGCATAAAGGATGCAAGGGACCAAGATGCAAGAGGATCTGTGCTTGACTGCTCATCTAACAAGTGTCCCAGACAAACAGTAAGATGTTGGGTATCAATGTGAGCATGTTTCTTAGGAGATGGTGCCACCTGGTGCTGGAGCCAAAGAGTGTGTGTCCTACAGCCATCCAAGGTCAAGGTCACCTGATACAAATTAACATTAAGTTGAGAATGCATAAAATCATTAATTTGAGGTATGTAAAGCATGTCAAGCTTAAGTTCCTACAGAATACACGATACTGTTCTCCGTCAATTGGTGTGCTGTATTTTGTTAGAGTGGTTATTGTTGTGGCATTCATTACAACATGTTCTGGTTCTCTGGTTCTGTGAAAAATTCAAATTTTACAATTTTAATTTTCAAAAAAATTAAATGTTTATGTATCTAGCTTAGATTAATCTCAGACAAAAAATGCCTCAAGTAACTACAGGTACATGTGATGCTGACCAACTCTCTTTGCTGCTCATACCTTGCCTTTCAGCACTTCCAGCTTTGGGTTAGTGTCATCACTGCTCAATTCTTTGTCATGTTCCTCACTGTAATTGACCACCAGGTGATGCCACTGTTCCAAACGGAGGCAATCCTTGCAAACCGCCTCCTTTTGCATTGATCCAGTGATTTGTATTGTTTCTGATGTGACCCTATGACAAACCAGGTTTCATACTTTGAAATTACAAATGTTTTCTTCAGTATTAACCTTCAATACAGACAATATCAAAATGTGTCTGTTTCAGATTCAATAACAATAACTGAAGTTTTATATACAGACAAAATCTGTCTTTTTTCCACAAACTTTTTGTTTGTTTCCTCTACATACAATGAAGCTTTAAGGATTCAGGATAAACAAACAGTCGTATGGTGCTTACCTGAACAAGAGACTCCTACTGGAAATGTTCACCCAAATCTCCAACAATTTGTCTTCATTGCCAATGGATACAACATGGAAGAGATTTTTTGAGGCCAGAAGTTCAGACTGTTTTCTATGCGTGATGGTGTCAGACAAATGCTCACCTACAATGACACAATCTTCAGTATTTTATTTGTCTAACTATTCTCTCAGCAAGAATGAAAACACTGTGTTGCTTTTACTACCAATGTATACTAAGTTCCTGTGAAATGATACAAACATACGAAGTATACTGAATGAGAAATCCTTAAGAGTATTGAATACTTGTCTTATGGTGGATATCAAACATGTCAAAGATTTTACATTAATAGAGAAATCTAATTAAGTTTGATTGATTATTCCCGATACTAAGTGGACAGGTATGAAGGACCATAATTCATCCAATTAAATATCAGCAGACATGAGCCATGTCAGAGATTTCAAAGTAATTTTATTTAGTTCTATCCTTGCCTTTACTTGTCTGAAAAAAATTGCCCAGGAGAAATTTCAGATTGGGTTTGAAGTAGAAAAGCTACTAATTATGTTACAGGTACAGCAAATGTATGGATTCATAGGGATTTGCTCTGTTGCTAAGGTTTTAGTGGATATTTATAATTAAGTAGAAATCAACAAATGAGCAGAATATAGAGATGCTTTATTGCAGTTTTTCAGATATATAGCAGTCTTACCTTCCATTGAAGTGGAATAGTCTTGGGTCTTGTTAGACCAAGTATGTCCCTGAGTCTGGACGGCTCTATCAGATATCTGTAGCCACATTGCCAAACTGAAGCCCTCTATCCCTGGAGGCCACACCAGACCTCCATGCACCTCCTGGCTGATGGCTGCTAGTTGCCATGGCTCTTGTTTCACACCTCCTTCAAGGTCATCAATGTCCCTGACAACATCATCAGCGGTATCTACTGAGGTTGAAAAAGTAGACATGGGTATTGAGGATACACTCCCGTATGGATTGGAGGAAACCCTGTTATGTTCTGCTGATCCCTCTGATAATAAGTGTTTCCCTTGTAGAGTTGATGACATCCTCTTTTTCTTTGTGTCCTTAACTTTCTTTCTCTTACAGGGAAAAGTCACTGAGTGGTAAGGCATGGTCCTTGAGTTCTCCACAATAGACAGCAATGTAGACACCACAAGATCCTGTCAAATACAGAAGTGTAAAAATTTTGCATTTGCATAATGCAAAAAAATTCCTCAAACGGGATGTCACCTATAGATGTATAAAGGCTGATAAATTGTATTATATTCTTTAACAAACCTGTGGTATCCCTTGATGTTGCAGCAGACGGATGATCATCTGGAGTTCCTTGGCTGTCACTTGATGCTGAGCAAGTAGTTGTATCAGGGACATCAGAGCCTTTTGTACTAAAACCATATAGGGACACAGCATTATAATTATATATATCAGCATTATAATTATATATGTACTAGTACTGTACCACTTCAACCATATAGGTTCACAGCATATGATGTTTGGAAAAATTAAAGAACAACATTTAATTAATTGCCTTAACATATAAGCAAGGAAGAGACTACCATTCTGTTGTAAACTATATAAAACATTGCCTGAATACCGACCCATACACGAGTCACTAAAACATTGTGTTTTTATATAGTTTGGAATTCTCACTAATGACCATGACAAATCTGCAGATTGATAGTCAGAACTCTTTGGACTAGTACACAGGCACAGTGTGCATACTTCTGATCCAGACACTGCAATACATGTTTTTTTCTTACCAATTTCTGCAGTTGTCTTTGATACTAATTCTTCCCAGAATCCCACCAAAATATCATGTAGCAGACCCTGGCGAGTTGAAAATAAACATTTAAAATGTGTGCTACAAATAGCAGCTGGGTTCATTTCATGTAACACATTTCAAAATTTTTTATTGACAAGCCCTGACAATAGCTTTATGTCATTAACTCTTGTAAGATGTTTAACAGGATTTTAGAAATAGAATAGTACATGAGAATGAACATTCTCATCACATTAACACTCAACTGCTGACTGATGACACTATTAGGAACACAAATTGTACACCTGCATTTACATATTGAACAGCTATTTTCATCCATTTTTTTTTAAACACCAGAATACTCAAGAAAGGACTTTTATAACCATCATTTTACAGCCACAATCACCTTTTCACTGACAGCCAACACTGCCACATGGTTGGCACCTAGTGTTTGTAAAAGTTTGACAAGGACATCTGGTAGAATCTCGCATCCTTCTCCCTGTCTCTGAGAGGCCACCAAAAGGTTGACCACTAGGCGGAATACGGCTGGGAAGTACTCGCGCTGCACCTGTTGATCCATCACGCCAATCTTGCGTAGATCATCCTCTGACATTACCTCAGTGTCAGCATCATATCCTCGTTCTGTTGACCCATGGTACTCAAGGTCATCATCACTATGACTCTGTAACATCTGTCTAACATCATCATCATCTATATGGTCTTCCTTAATAAACTGTGAGAAAAACAAAGAAAATGCAATATTAGTCAAGGGACATAACTCCTTCAAAATCAATAGCAGAGAACCAAGGGACATAACTCCTTAATAATAAAAAAAAAATAGCTGACAAAATTTTAAAAGTTTTAATCAAAATCAATAACTATATATAGTGAAACACCATTCAAGAGAGAGCATAATTTCTTTATGAAATGGTATACAGAACAGACTCTGTGTTTAGTAACTATATATAGTGACCCATTACACTCGTTTGAGTATAAGTGTTTCAGTAAAACTAGACAGAGAAACACATGGTTTGCTGTAAAAAATAACAGCAATCACAACAGAATAAAAAAATGACGAAAGGAAAAAAATCGACGAAAGACACTGTCATTTACCTGGTGAGATAAGTTCATGGCCTGTGTTACATCTAGGACACTTGTTTTTTTTGGCATGGCTGATGACAAAATAATGTCAAAGAGCATTTTCAATTTGCAGACTGGGAGTTGAGCACAACCAAGGAAGGCATTGTTTACCTTCTGCCAAATCCTCTCCTCAAGATGTTTCTGTAATGTCAGTAAATTAACATATTAAGTTGAATAAAGAGATTGTCTATTTATTTTATAATGCTGTAAACATCATGTTTATAACAGTTCAAATGTTCACTCTCTTTACACCAAATTTGCTGAAATTAAGAATTAAATAATTTTCTCAATTAATCTAATTTTCAATTTGTCTTTTTATTGTAATTTGAATTCTATCCTACACAGAATACAAAGAAAATATTAAATGAAACAGGTTGAAATTACATTTACTGAAATAATGTAAGGAAGACATGTATAATAGCTATCCTTGCTGCCAAAGGTTACCTTTATGATGATATCAACTTTATTGGGAATAATCGGCTTGCAATACTTGCATAATACAACTGCAACACAGTGCAAGTACATAAAACATGTCACTTGTCAGTATTACAACCTTAATGAATTACAAACAGCAAAAGTAGTTAAACAGAAGTCTAGAGGAAAGGAATCTCTCTTATCTCACTATTCTACAGTTATATAGACAGTTCACTACAATAGACAGCTGTAATACAGAAGTCTAGAGGAAAGGAATCTCTCTTATCTCACTATTCTACAGTTATAGACAGTTCACTACAATAGACAGCTGTAATACAGAAGTCTAGAGGAAAGGAATCTCTCTTTCTCACTATTCTACAGTTATAGACAGTTCACTACAATAGACAGCTTAATACAGAAGTCTAGAGGAAAGGAATCTCTTTTTCTCACTATTCTAGTTATGGAAGGCCCTCTATTAGCTTCAATCCTATAGATAGTCCTTGATTTGTAGTCTCTCACTCTACTAGTTACTAATGGTGGGAATTAGTTAAAATCCACAATCAATTATAGGTTAAAATTGGAAAGGCTGTTGAATGTAGTTTATCGATTACATAATTGACTGACTGTGAGTTCAATATCCATAGAAAGTAAATGTATTCTCCATTGCAATATTGTCTTTTCTGTAACTTAAAAATGAAATACCTCACTTACCTAGAATTGATAACAGAATGAATATCATTGGCAAATTCCATCTTTATTATGCATAACATTAATTTTATTTTTGCTAAAAAAAACACCCAGGAAAATATTAGGGTACCGTTAATCGATCAAGAAATAACAGATTATACCCGATCATTGTCCCATCACCAGTGACTACAATTCTACAACGGAAAATGGTTTATAATTTGTAATGTCTCTGTACTACATTTCTGCAGGTATAGATGGTTGAGTAATGTTAAAGACTAGAGATAGAGAGGGTCGGAACCATCACCATTTGTTTACAATTATAATCACCTCCTCACACTCTGCGCGAGTAGTTGACAGGTCATTCTCCTCTGGCTGTAACAGGTATCCATATAGTCATTACAATCAACCCAAACAATACTTTATTCTTGTTATAACAAGATGTACAATGTTTAATTCAGTGGCCTTCAGGGTCATATTCTTGAAAAGTCATTTAAGAAATAGGTGATAGACGCATGAGGGTTAATTTTGATGATTGTGTTTGATATTCTACCAACAGCCAAGGTAATGTGGGTTGGAAAATGCCTAGTTACATCATTAAAAACACCCTGATACTCGTCATGACAATTTTGGTCAGAAATTATAACCTAAATATTTGAAAAATAAGTATTTGTAATATGATTACTTTTCTTTCAGTGTCTAAGTCTATATCAGCAGTGTGGAAAAAAACACCAGTATTATTTATGGACTCAGTATCCATTTATCCCAACACTTTACAGAAGAAGTAACGATAAATCTGATGCACTGGTCCCAGTTGTTCAAGGGCTGGTTAGAGATAACCAGTGGTTAGTGCAAATTTTCTAAAACGAATTTAACTAAATTTGAAACATTCTTTTTCATAACACAGTCATAGCTTTGTTGAGAAAGGTCAGATTGATATATTCTGAAGGTTAATTTTACACTTTTATTAGTTCAGTGGCACCAATTTGGAATTTTTCACTAGCTACGAGTTAACTCTTACTAGTTATTGAGCAACCAGGGTATTTATATATAAAATCCCCTTCTCAACCAAAATAAAGAAATGTGTGTCGAACAGACAGACAGATCTACTCAGACTTTGTCTACATTGTGATCACTGTCTTAATGAGTACTTAACAGTGACTCGTTCACATGTAATGACTTCCATGACAGATTTAGGCCATCATCTCTGACCACTGAACTTGACACTGACCCCTTAAACTTGACCATATCTCTGACCACTGAACTTGACCTGGTACACCTATAATTAAGTTATCATGACCTATTTAGGAAATAAGCATGAAATAGATAAGTTAATCTGGGTTATCTACAAATATTGCAGTTATATTGTAACAGATGTATAAACTGTTTAAGCTCAGGTAGGTCAAGTCCATTTCTTTACAATGGGGAAATTGTGCTATGGAAACAGTACAATCTGACAGTGATTGTTACACAGAAATGGTATGATTACATATTGATGGATCCATGAAATGTACTCCTCACTTATAGTAATAATAGAATATTTACTCATGATGAAACTGGATAGTGTGGCATGGGGTGTTATTCAGCCAGATCTGAACTATGACTTGGCCTTGCACCAATAACTTGACTAAATACAAAACATATTATTTAAACAAGAAAGAAAAAGACTTTGTGTCCTTGTACCTCTTTGCAGATTTTTATCTAGGTAAATACTGTTCTAGACTCAACCTATATGGGAGTGGGACTCCACATACAACAATGAAGTTCAGAGAGAGACAAGGTATTATTTAGCCAAATTTGCTATTTAACCTTGAAAAAGCAAGAACAATGTCAGAATAAGTGAAGGACAAAGTGTTGGACAGACCTGGCATTGTCCTTCATCCTCAGACTGGATATTGGTCTTCAGTGTGTGTAACACATATGTCTATAATTTTTATTCAGTTTCCTAGAACAACGGGGAAATGAAAAGTTGGGCAAGAATCAAGATTAACATGTGAACACATAGGACAGAAATGAGAACCAATCTTTGTCAAGAACCTATGACTTTGTTATAATCCTACTTATAGATTAACTCCTTCAATTCAACTAAAGATATTTCAGGGCATTATCTATATGTCAATGTACAAAATGTAGCATCCCGACAAAATCTGTACATTATAACATATATAAAAATATCCCAGGTGACCCTGTATAACACAAATCTTGGGTTTATCGATGATAAAAAGGTTATCATTTACAAAACCACATAAAACAGATGATAACCATTTTATATTGGCCTTGACATGTACTTTGATAAACCAAAAGTAGCACACTTACCGGATTTATTTTTTAGAAAAATCCCCAGTTTTAACATACAGTCAATATAAAATAATTACATATCATACTAACATTGAAAATTTTTCCCTTATTCAGAAATATTAAAGTACATAAGATTAATGAAAGGCCAATGTTTCTATAGCAACCTTGAAGATTCTTACCTGATGACCAATGTTTCTATAGCAGCCTTAAGATTCTAACCTGATGACCAATGTTTCTATAGCAACCTAAACATTCTTACCTGATGACCAATGTTTCTATAACAGCCTTAAGATTCTTATCTGATGGCAAATGGCATTCTGAAGATTCTAACTGGATTGTCAATGCTCCTACAGAATTTTAGATAGACTTACCTAATGATCAATGTTCCAGCAGCGTGTAAAGTACATAGTCTTACCTAACGATCAATGTTCCAGCAGTGTGTAAAGTACATAGTCTTACCTAACGATCAATGTTCCAGCAGCGTGTAAAGTACATAGTCTTACCTAACGATCAATGTTCCAGCAGCGTGTAAAGTACATAGTCTTACCTAACGATCAATGTTCCAGCAGCGTGTAAAGTACATAGTCTTACCTAACGATCAATGTTCCAGCAGCGTGTAAAGTACATAGTCTTACCTAACGATCAATGTTCCAGCAGCGTGTAAAGTACATAGTCTTACCTAACGATCAATGTTCCAGCAGCGTGTAAAGTACATAGTCTTACCTAACGATCAATGTTCCAGCAGCGTGTAAAGTACATAGTCTTACCTAACGATCAATGTTCCAGCAGCGTGTAAAGTACATAGTCTTACCTAACGATCAATGTTCCAGCAGCGTGTAAAGTACATAGTCTTACCTAACGATCAATGTTCCAGCAGCGTGTAAAGTACATAGTCTTACCTAACGATCAATGTTCCAGCAGCGTGTAAAGTACATAGTCTTACCTAACGATCAATGTTCCAGCAGTGTGTAAAGTACATAGTCTTACGTAACGATCAATGTTCCAGCAGTGTGTAAAGTACATAGTCTTACGTAACGATCAATGTTCCAGCAGTGTGTAAAGTACATAGTCTTACCTAACGATCAATGTTCCAGCAGTGTGTAAAGTACATAGTCTTACCTAACGATCAATGTTCCAGCAGCGTGTAAAGTACATAGTCTTACCTAATGATCAATGTTCCAGTAGCATGTAAAGAACATAAGATTCTTACCTGGTGCCCAGTGTTCTTGTAGCAGGCACTACACACAATTAGGAGAGCCTTTAGTAAGGATAACCACATGAAGCAACCCACAGGAGGCATAATTCTCCCAAATCCAATGGACTCCGCACCAGAGTCTTCTGATGTGTCTGATGGCATCTCACAGTTTGGTGAATACATCTGCTTCAGTATCACCATCAATATATCCTCTGCTATGATCAGAGAGTCTGAATCCTTAAAATGAGACACAAACTTATCACTGTTAATACACAGCTTGCTACAGGTCTCCCACATGTCAACCATCAAAGCTAGGTTTCTAAGGCACACTCTAGACCCTTCTTTGTCCTTTGTTGTCTCTGAAAACCTGTCTGTGGTGGAGCAGCATCCTGGCCAAAGTGACTTTTCATTGATATCCCCTTTTGTTTTCACAGCTAGACCATCTATAAATGCTTTTATGACCATTCCACCTTTAAGAGTATCACTATCTGTTGTTTCATTTTCATTGCACTTTAGTCGATTCTCATCTAAAAGAACTAAGGCCTCGAACACCTTTAGGGTTGGTTCACGAAGAGCATCATCTTCCAGAATCCCACAGATCTGTCCTAGTCCCCGCTTGGTGAGAAACACTTTGAGCACAGAGTCTACCTGTAGAAGGTAGGGCAAGGCTGACAGACAATGTACTTTAGTAGCTATGGAGAACTGGATCCCATCACATTCCTCTGATGAGCTCTGTGACACTTTTCCCCATGTTCCAATGAATGATCTGAATGCTGGGAGATACACTCTGAAGAAAATTTCCTCCTTCAAGTCAGGTTTTGCACCTATGACCAATACCTGAATATGTTTTGCTGTCAATTCACTGAGGTGTGCATTTGAGGAAAACATCAGTGCTCTAAAATACTCCATAGATGACCACCTTGAAACTGGTTCTGTACACTGTGTCAAACTTTTTCTTGATACATCTCTACTTGAAAAACCACTGTCAATATTTGTTTGGAAAGTGTCATTCGCCTTTGCCATTTTAGAGTCAGAATGAGAATAATTTGAATACTTCTGGCAAAATTGAGAACTACAATACACTGATTTGCCAGTACTTCTATAACTGTCCATCCCTCCTAGATAAGGAAACAAGATAATCTTATTAAGTGTTTCCAGAGCATAACTCTGGATGGCTGAAGAGAATGTACACATACTGCCAGTAATACAGGACACAATGGACTCCAGTGGAACACAACAACACATGGAAGAAAGGTGCAATGTACTGAGCACATCTACCTGGGACACTTTAGATTTGATGGTGGGAAGAATAGAGAGCAGAAAGGAGCACCAGGATGCTACCAGACAAACTCCACAGCAAGAATCGGGTAAGGGTGTTGTGGAATGTTCTAAATGATCTACCTCATTCTCGGACTTCAACGTAAATGGCTGACCCAGAATGTCATGGTGGTGGTCAAAATAGGAACCATAGTAACATTTCTGATGTTTCCTTTTCAGACAGGACACTGAGTGGATGTAATTCACCTTGACCGACTTTAAGGTGTTGAGGAAAGAACTGATGATCTTAATTGGCTCTACATCAATACAGTCCATGAAACAAGACTCGCCAGCCTTACTGCATTGTTGTCTGTCATATTCTTTAATTACACATTCTAAAAAGTTGAATCCTTGTCCTTGGCCAAAATCTTCTACAAGTTCAACAGCATTTTTAATATACACTAGATTGAAAGGCAAGTTTTGAAATATCATGTCAAAACACATGAGCAGACCAATGTTTATCTCTGAAAACAAGCAGAATTCCTGATCTACAACCTGGACATTCCCTGACTCCAGTCTGCTTGGCTGGTTTGTCATGGATAACTGGATTTTGATTTCCTGGAAGTGATTGACCTGCTGGGCCACATCCAACAAGACTGACGTAACCTTGTGACCCAGGATCACTCCAACACCATTTTGTTGAGTAGATATGACTCCACACAGGGACAGAACAACCCGTAACAACTGTCGCTGGAAGAAAATACTGTCATCTTTTTTCCAGGAAGAAGCTAACAACTCATCCATTTCAGTGGTTACTGAGGGATACATGCCAGTTAACAGATGCAACAAGTGTGGCAAGATGGAGGGCGATATGACCTTGATCAATGACACCTGGTCTAAGTCTAGTAAACACAAGGACTGGATAAGGTTGAGTATCAGACTGCACAGGTCCTGTGTACTACAAAGCTTTGGATCTTTTTTAACTTCCGTCAACATGGCATAAATTTCTTGCTCATTTTCCTCTATCATGGAATCCTGTCGAGTATAGTTCTCCTGGAATCGTGAACTTGACACTAAACATCTTCTAATCAGCCTCTTGTTCCGTCTTATCCTCGGTGCTTGGTCTTCATTTGAATGGTTACTCCCTTCATCTTGGTCCGAAGTTTCTCCAGCTCTCTGGTTTTTATGGGCCTGCTTCCGAAGCTTTCTATCTGGTTTGTTGGTATGGCGATGCCTGACCTGCTTGTGTTTGGGGATTGCTTTGTCTCTTGTCTGGGAAGACTTCTGCCATTTATATGACACCTCAAGTTGGGAGAACACATTCCCTATTGGTGGTAGACAATCAGTTGATGATTTAGATGTCAGCATATCTGAAAATCAATAAAAAAACTAGTAACAGTTGCTTGGAGATAAGTTTCATATTGGTGATAGTTATCTTAAGGTAAATACCTTAGGTGGTAATAAATAGTTCTCAACACAAGGAAAAGCAAACAAGAGTCGATAAAGGTTGAAGAAAAAACAATTAAATCCTATACATAGACGTGATCATCAATTTAATACTATGTATCACATAGGATGCTAATGTATGCTTTGGGATACCATTTAAGAACTGAAATTTGTGGTGCTGGTGCTAATCTTTTCTGGTCCATTATTCAACAGTTACAAAATTCGGTGTAGAATCATGTTCAACTTCAGCTTATCACTGAACCTTTTGTATAGGGCTGATAAATTAACAATAATATATGATACCATGATATGAATTTGTCAAGGTAAAATTAGTAATCATTTTTTCATTACAAGGCCCATTCATTGTTAACCTAATTTCTATTATAATTTTAGCATACAACAATTTTAAACCAAGTTTTAAAAGGAAAACAGAATGACTGGTATATATTCATTAGTATATTCTGCTATAGTTACTTACCAGCCTTGGTTTCTCCAGGGAGGAGGGTGTCCTCTCTGAATCTAAGACAGAAGGGAAGAAGGGTGACCAGCAAGTTACTGAAGTCTCGACCCACTGATAGTCCCTGTGTATGAAAAAACAGTAATGTTATTACAAGCTATTTTCATAATTCAAATGATTTCAAACATCAGTTTTGCCTGTATTGAATTAAAACAAATAATTAATTTCTTGTTATATGAAAACAACTTTAATCCACAACGATGGGGATTATATACATACCTGTACTCCATGTTTACTGATGAGTAGGAGAAGTAGCCAGCCCCTGCCTCTCTCCAGGTAGTTCTGTAGGGAGGGGATTTATACATACCTGTACTCCATGTTTACTGATGAGTAGGAGAAGTAGCCAGCCCCTGCCTCTCTCCAGGTAGTTCTGTAGAGCAGAAGGGTCATCATCATCATCCTCACAATTGGTTACCTGGATGATGTCATTCATGAACTCCTGACAGAGTGAGTTTACCACACTCCTCATTTCACTGAAAACACAACAAAAACATAACATAAAATTTCGGTCTGCATTTGTTGATATCTTTTTGTTGATATCATGTCAAATGCTTGGGTTACTTTAATAAGGTTTCTTATCCAGAGAGATCCTAGGCCTTGGATTACATCCTCCTTCAAACAACGCTGTGGTTTATACTTCCTGATATAAAATTTCCTGCTAAAATGTGAGTGGTTTTTATATTCTTATCATTTTTCCTTGTCAGACTGATGTAGTTTAGATAACCCCATTATCTTATTTAATATCTGTGCATGTTAACAAATAGGAATTGTAAAAATAGTCAAATTGATAATTTTATGCCATTTTGACACCATGTTTAAACAATTAGTGTCTTATCTCATTCCTAAATTTCCGTTACAATGTTGTTTCTGTCTACCTTATCTAATCATGCTCGTCTAAATTCTGTTTGTTTTTATGTTTGTGATATTTAAGCAGTCTCTGTCACTTTAAGACAAATATAATGTAAGAGAAACAACTAAAATAGAACATATCTTAAAAAAGATAAAGAGTTCAAAGGTAAGGAAAAAAAAGAGAAAAAAAAGAGAAAAAAAGAGAAAAGTGTAAAAAAGAATCATCAGAAACTGTATGTTATATCAAAGACATAATGAATGTAAATATTGGCATCAAATTATAGGTAAATATATCAACAATCTTTTTTCTGATATTATATATTTATGAATATAGTCAGACATTACAATCAGTGCACTAAAGTGTAAAGCATGTAAAATGGCCGTTCACAAACATAACAGTGTAGAATTGACATTCCTGGAATACATAATGATACAAGTATAGCCTACGTACACACATGCATACAAGTGGGCAACTTCCTCTTGATAATAGCTCTCTACTCTAGAGGTTTAAACAAAAAACTACACAAAAATGTAATTCCTTTTGCATAATAAAAACTAGACCTCTATCCTGTTTAATAATTAAACAATATGAATGTGTGTGTATCATAATATGCCATAAAAGTATGATATTGTAGCAGACAAAGGACATAACATCAAGACATCCACCAATATTTGGAGGTCCTGTTTTAGAGATTCAGATATCTGAACCTGGTCCTGGTTAAGACCATCAATACCTTATCTTGAAAAAAATATTCAACAACAACAAGAAATGTTAAGCCATCTGTTTGCTTGCTTGCTTTCCAAATCATACCAATACACAAATGGACAGTGTAATTAAATAATTGTAATATAATAGGGATCTTGACTATCAGATTGTATCTTACCAGCTGATATATGTCTATAGTAGTGTTACATTCTCGTGTCATTGACACCTATAGGAACTGACAGGTTTTTACCTCTACATTATTGTTTTATACTCAATTAAAATTTCTTCTGCTGCTCCAGTTTTATCATTATCAATTATGCTGCATTGATGACAGCACTTATTTATCAATAGATTTAATGACATTTTGTAATCAGAAACTGGAAGTTGACTTTTTCAAATCAGAAACTGAAAGTTTGTCAAAACGTTACTGTTACTGCGTATGCCATTTACACATACATACGTACATGCATTAATCCATAAAAAAGAAAGTACATTGTTCCTAAAATAAAACGAACCATGAAGGAGATGATGGTTGAATGTTGACAGACACTATATACATTTGTATAATACACTTCAATATAGACCCTAATTAACCAACTGCCCAAAGGCAATAACACTGCACTTACCTTAGTATAAAGTATTAAAGTATTGTAAACGTCCTACATACACTACACTGTCTGCTAGAGAAACGTCACATGATGCTAGCTACCGTGTGTTTATCATGTGTATTAAACCCCTTCACATCATGTGGCTGTGTTCATGGTCTGAAGAACATGACAGGTTAATTGGCCAGTGTGTCATTATTTCACACAGGTTTTAATGGGTTTTACTAGTTTACAAATGATTGTGTACTTGAAACTTATCATACAAATGTTTTGGATTTGTGTATCACAGACATGTCAGTTAAATGTGCTGACAGATCTATTACAGAGTTATAAGATTTTATCTTAATTTCTTATTTTCTAATAAATTAAGAGACTGAAAATCTTGTCAAGCTCAGCACTGAAACTGCAAACCAATATATATTGCTCTATATTTTCAACACATACAGTTACTATTTGTATCACATCACTGCCCTGTTATAATTGTAATGGAATGAAAATATCACACATTTAGATTTTATATTATTGATCACTCTAAAAATATGCTGAATGAATAAATGTTTTTATTTTCACTATTTGCTAGAATAACTTTCTAGCTGGATTTCATATTAATTAAGTATATCTATATAAGTAAGAAACCAATAGAAAATGTTCCAAGATACTTAAGAAATGCTGTTTTCATGAATACTGGTTACCTGATAAACAGAATCTTATATCTGTATCCATGTCATATGTATGAGGTTTATGAAACTCATTACACAATATACCTTATCACATCAAAAGCATATAATGGTAACTCCTTTTTCCATTCATAATATAATAATAAACTCCATTTATTTTACAACAATTGCAAAGTTTTTCCTTTCATATACCATACACATAAAAGATATATACAATTTTTCATCAAATATTTCCCTATTTCACTGGTGTAGTGGAGATGACTGAAGAAAGAAAACTCTTTTCTGTATCACATAGAAAGTTGTCTGTATCTTTGCAGCAGCTCTGATGTCATAATGCTTGTAATTTTAGTTGAAATGCTTGACATGATCTTTCAGTAAGATGGAATGTATGATTATAAGAATTGAAAATGGCTGAGACACATAAGGACTTCCTTATAATGATACTGAGATTTAATTTGAAGAAAACAGATCATCCCAAAAGTTATCATGGAGAATGAAAATCTGGACAACTTTTTTGTTCATATTGTTTTATAACCAGTCCATCAACAATGGACTTCATTTAGGGTCCTATCTCGACACTGGTCAGACACCAGACTGGATGACTACATGGCCACTTACTATACAGATTCCGACTATGTTATTCATTGTTTTACAGGACATATCAAATCCATTCATTATAAACTGGTACGTACTGTGATTATGATAGGTCCTTAGTTTATAATAAAATGGAAACTGTTGTAAACCCATTCAGTAATAGTGACATAGTTTACATGGACCATAAAGTAGGGTTTTTTCATCTAATAATTGATATTAAACAAGTACTTACATTATCCTAGGTTAAAGCCACAGATATATAAGACAGCACATCATGTTTATCTTTGAAAACAGTAAACACACAATGTCACAGCTTCATCTGGGAACTTGCATATCCAGCTTATAACTTCATAAACAGACAAGTATCCACAATGATCAGTTAGTTTCTTCATAAGTAAGGTATACCAAGATGCAGATGGAACCGAAGAGTTCCTGTATATGCACTATAGTAACTGTTACGCACTAGGATTCACATCAATATGTTTACTGTGCCAAATCCTCACAAACATCTTATATAAGTTAGGTGACAACAGGAATAGTTGTATCACTGATGAATTTTAGAATGTGTAGGTATAAATATATCATAGATAATGAGACAAATGTCATACAGGTTGATGACTCAGGTGTATTGACCAGGTATGTCAAAATCATTTTAGAATGACAAGTGACAAGGTGCTGATTTCACTTTTACCACTAACTGTTTGTAAATATTCTAAATAAAATTTATATTTCCATGTAAATCCTGTAAGTCTTTTGTGTTTACAGAAAGTGAAATGTATAATGTGATATTGTATGTTTGCCTGTTTTTCTTGATAGGATGGTAAAATACTACATATTTTACAAACATTATCATAAGGCAGGAACAAACAGATTTTTATTTCTTTTTTTTATTGTACAATAAATAAAAAAAACTTCAAAATGTAAGATGTGAAGGACCTGAAGTAAAATGTCTAATCACACAACGGTAAATAACCTCGAGCCAAGGTACACAACCTATCATCCTCATGTCTGCTTGTGAAGGTGTGTAGGGTACTTAACAGTTTGTGTACCCCCAACTACGTACACATCTTTATTAGAATAACACATGGGTAGATGACCCCAGATATATGTACATAGAGTAAGGCATGTCACCTACTTGTTTGTAAATACTGTAACTGTTCTGATGCACAGGTAAATAACTCACATCCATGACTTACACAATCACTGTAACTGTCTACAGCCAACTTGATAATAAAATCAGTTTATCAATATTCTGGGTGAAGTACACATTGTAACAAAAAGTAGTGTGATAAGACAGCAATAAATTATGTATGGAAGCTCAACAATTCCACCTGTTTTCTATAAAATCATATCACCATCTCATCACACTACTTTCCATTTTAGTGTAAATAATTAAAAGAGAAAACTCCTAGGATTTCATTACCATCTTGCGTCAGTGCAAATTGTATGCTTCCCACTAGTCATTTGTCTGATGAAGATGACAGTGCAGTCATCTAAACATCTCATATATATTTTCCAATAGCAAGGTTGTAATAATATGTAAATGAAAAAGCTTTTAAGAGAGGGAAACATTTGCTAACTTGTACATATGTAAACACTGAACAGGCTGAAACAAGGAAAAAGAAGCACTCAATGCCACAGAATTTTGTTTCTGTGAAAATTACCTCCCTTACAATAATGTACCACATACGATGCTGTGGTGTGACTTCTTCTCTATTTTGATTTGATTACATCGAGATACAAATATAATCAGTGATTCAAGAATATATTTTCATTGAAGAATAATTTCCATTTAAACAGAATATATATGGGTACCAGAGAAGTTATTTACAACCGATTTTTCTCACTCCCAAGAAAAGGACAAGATATACATTCTTCATCTTGATTTGTTACTTACTGCATTTCCTTATCACAAAATATACTTGAAAACTAAAACTTAAATTTCAAATAATAATTACATATTCTAGTCTTAAAAGAGCAATGCACTTACCAGAACATCTATTCAATAAGTAATGGATTAACAATATACATTCTCTGC